AATCTCCTTTGATTCATCATTGGACAGAGGTGGGCTACCGGTGTGATTGTGATTTACTAGAAATGTCTCACCTCTGTCCGAGTCATCATCCAGAAACTCCCCCTTCAACTGACCATCTTCATTGGCATCTTCATACAAACCTCTATACACAATGCTCCCCCTGTCATCTCTGCTTTCTCTCAACTGGAACTGCTTCTAATTATCCATGTCCTTCATCTCATCCACACTCAGAATCAATTGCGACATAGTATCTGCTTGGGGGGTTATGTGAGGTGTCAGCAAATGCAGGGTAGAGTCTGTCATCACAATATCAAATGAAATGTTGCTTACTTGACAAACATATTCACTATTAGAAATATGAAAACATACCTGGTCTGTCCTTTTGCAAAGGTCAGCCATGGTAGTAAGCTGGTGGCACAGATCTACAGTACGAGATGCCTCCTCCAATTGGCTGATCAGCCTGATCAAGATTGAAACCTTGATGCTGGTCCTGACTTGTACCCACAGATGCAGGATTCTCCGGGATTGAGTGCAGATTGAAGGTAGACTGCCTAACACCAGACTGCGGGGTATAGGCAGGGACACAGGTCTACCTTTATAGTACAAAGGCCTGACCCTGACTATACATACAGGTACATAGACCTGCATATAGTACAGGTCTATGAGGGTCACAGGTTTATAAAAGATAAACCTGTACTATGACCTGTACTATTACTATGTATGTACCTACGTGTAGTTTACTACACATCCTGGACATGTCTTCAAGTAAAGTAGTACTTAAGAGCAAAGTTTAACATGCAAAGTTTAAGTTTAAGTAGCTCTCTTACAGAATATATGTGTTAGCATTTGTGCTTTAATTAATTTAGTTTAATTTGAGTCTCACTCATATATTTATAAAAACTCCGCAGGTTTATATAGTCAGACCTCATATACCTATACTATGTGTACAGGTTTCACAGGTCCAACAAACTCATACCTGGACTATAACATTTACTATAACTATACTTGGACCTTTGCATAGTTTATTACACTACTATGTCCCTGCCTAGTGAGGTAGAGGTCTGACTGGCCGGCTGAGCAGACTGTGCGTGCTTCTCAGACTGGCTGTGCATGGTAGAATATATAAAAGTAGCCAAATAGAGGTGTGAGAATAAGCAGCAGAGGCACAGCAACAGAAATATAGCAGAGCAGAGACAGCAAGGATAGAGCAAGAGAGAGAGAGAGGGATAGATCAGATTACAGTGATTGCAATCAAAAGGACTTGTGCGCACGAACCCATTGAGATCACATGATATGCTTGGAGGGCTGGATGGAAAATTGGTCATTCCAAGGATTTTGTCTGCCGAAGGCGGGCCGAAAGTGCCAAGGGTGTTCTCAGGATAGCTGTCAGAAGCTACCAAGGAAACTCCTCGTGTGTACTCAATGCTGCGTCGTTCTCGTACTTTTTGCAACCCCCATTTTGCTTTGTATACTAGATGCACTCAGTAGTATACTGTGCTACACACTGGACTAGCAGAAATAGCACTGGGTCGTGCTTGGAACCTTACTTGGTATGTTTAAACTTGGTTACCATATGTGGACTCGCGAAGCCTCGCTAGTAAGTCAGATCATCGGTGAACGAACTTGCCATCATTCCAGCATCGCTTCCAGCACAGATCTACAATGAATATGATCCTGTACTCGGCAGTCAGATGTGAAGGATAGACGGTACTGTGTGCTGCACGCCACCGCAGACCAAGCCCATCTATGGTAATTACACCCCTGTTAGTAAGAGCTATGCCCCATTCTTCGCAGACAGCAATCAACCTCCTACTGTTATCCCAACATCTCTTACCATGTCGCATCCTTTGTCCAATGTGATACACAAACAGATTCTGTTCGCACTCACTGATCACTTTGATCGACATCGCCTTGAGAATGTCCTTTTTGCACCTACACAAAATGGGCACACAATCTGCTGCATTCACCTTAAAGTTGACCCGTCATCCAGCCTGTATTTGCAGTTCAAAAATGCGCCTGCGGGTATATTATTCGAAGTTGTCGGTCAAATTGCAGTGCAGGACTGCTATTTTACTGTGCGCGGAGATGGGTTTCAGTTCACTGAGGCTCACGATGGTCCCCCCCTTGTCTCATGCTGGATTGAACCATTGACCGACATCATGTCTTGCGTTCAGTGGAGAAAGGCTGTTTGTGCGATCAAAGTGATTGCCACTATTAATTCTGCACCTTGCGAGCTTCTTCATGCCACCCGTTACATCTGTACCGAACCAGCTCTGCCTACCTTGGTTGAACTGCAGGTCGGATGGCGCCCGAGAGTGGGAGAGGTGAGCAGAATACCTTGCATAGTACCGGAAAATTGACTGAAGCACCATGATGGGAAGTCAATTGTTGCCGACTTCCCACTTTTTAACCGTGCAGGCAATCACTTCATGCCTGCTTCTGTATCCGAAGTGCCATTTGGACGGCCCGTTCAAGCTCTTTTCACCATTGAGACTGCAGTGCAATCTCACAAGGAGTATTTGTATGCTCATTTAATTAGTGTCACCAAGCTCTAATGGTACTGTGGTGCACAGAATTTCTATCGCATGATGCCAGAAACAGTGAAAGTAACTTGCATGTACATTAGGTTAGTGGTAGCTATGTTACAAAATGTTAGCCGAGATTCCTGGAAGCTGGTGAGATAGTTACCGCTGTGTTGAAACACTCCGTCGTTCCAACAAGGAGTCGGGCCAGAAGAGATGCCCCTGAGCCTGCCACATTCACTCCTGTACCTCTATGTCGACCTTTGAGCCAAAGAGTGTGATCATGCAGTTGAGAAACTCGCTCCCACCTGGAGAGAAGAAAAGAAATCTAGAACAAGAATGAGAGAAGCAGGTTAGAGCTCTGCATTGATGGAAGCTCTTGTACTCACATGTATACAGGTCGGCAATCAAATTCAGGCCTGGAAAAGAGCACGAGCTTCTCAGTCTTACTCCACTGAGCAGCTGGAATGGGAAGCACATGTGGTGGAATATGTCAATTTTCTCTATGACCAGAGCAAGGTGCATGGCAATGCAAAGGCTCCCTCTACTGCAGACCGTAGTCTTCACAGAGACGTGCCACTCTACGGGCCTCGTTTCGTGCCGCCAATGTATCTGGAGCTATATAAGCGCAGTGTGACACCGGAGATTACACCTGAGACAGCATACCTGAAGCTGATAACTGTTGTCCATCCATTCTACTATCCGGAGATCACACAGTGCCCAAAGTGTGATTCGAGCGACATTAAATGGACCCAGTGGGCAGCAACAGGCCATTGTGAGGTGCATGGTCTCTTTCAGGAAGAAACTGCGATCGGATATCAGTTGCGATGCAAGGACTGCTTCGTGCATGCTGAAGCTGCTGGAGAAGGAGCTGAAGCTGCTGGAGAAGGAGCTGAAAATAGTGCTTCTGCTTCACGACAACAAGCCACATTTTTTGGCAGAGATGGGAGCATTGGGAAATACCCTGTATGTACCACGGTATCAGCCAAGGTGCTGTAGCATACTGATTGCGCTGTGCTCATACCAGCAAGCATTCCATACTGCCTCAAATGTTGTGCAGTAGCGAGGGACCTATTTGATCTTATTGTTGAGCTGCGGCCTTCGACTACAGCAGCTGGATTGGTGGAAAATGTCAAGTGTTCGTATCTTACAGCAGCACTGTCTCGTTGATTTAGTGAGCTGACACAGGTGATTGGACACTTCATCTGCTCGAATATCATCGGCGTAAACTCACCTATCTGTGGCACTTCCAGCTGTGACAGGCCGCCAAGAGTATGAGTTTAGTTTCACCACCACGGCTTTGCAAGTTCTTGAAACCAAATGACCAGATTGCAGGCTACTTTGACAAGTCCATCACGGATGATCTGATCACAGATGTATTCAACAAATTCAGTGAGAGAACACGCAAACCAGAGTCTGAAGCATACCTTCGCACTTTGAGTGGTTCGTATCCTTCACACACTCCCTATCCATTGGACTGATCTTCTTCAGCGACATCCATTTCCCTCGATAACACCTTCCGAGCTGCAGGCAAGGTGAGTATTGTGACGGTGATTGAGAAAAAACAGAACCGGATCAAGGTGATGAAGGGTGGGATCATTAGTGTGCTCAATGAAGTATCAGAGATCATATCCTGGGTACGCACCTCAATTGTTGACCCGGTCTCAGGCTAAAATGGTTCATGAAGTGCTTCTGTCAATCACAATCAACGTCAGAGATAACAGAAGTCTTGTTCGGCTTGAAGTGTCAGAACGAGTGCCTCAGCATGCTTGACCCAGTGCTGGCAGTCATTGACAATTGTTGTCACGTCCACGGTTCAATCAACAAACCATTTCCGCAGACTGAGGTGGTGCTGGATGTCTGGCATTTTATCGGCAGGTAATGTCGGGTCTCACACTTAATAATATGGTCAGTTGACTTTCGACACTCACAGATATCTTGCATGTATAACTGGCAGCACAAAGAACACACTACATGGTGCTGTAGCACAGGATCTTGTCAATTCAATCCTCAAGACTACAGCAGATAAGTACAACCATGCAGTATATTAGAATCAGCAACAGCAGGAACAGAAACTAATCGACACATATGAGAAATGGCAGAGGCATGGCGGCATCTAGAGTGCTGCGGCTACAAAGGCAGGTGCAATTTCAGATTCGCTAGCAGCAGTAGCTTACAAACATGCACCAGGCACATGAAGATCAGCTTGAACATGTCAGAAAAGGGTGCCTTACATGTACTCACCAGGATGTCGCCTCAGATGGAAGTCGAATTGAGGGCTCCCATAAGGGGTGGAACAGTCTTCAGAGATCCTATGCAAGTGGTCTCGAAGTTCTCACTGCTCTCGGACACGATCACGTCTTGCATCGCAATGTTCGTGTTGCGCAGAATGCAGATCATCGGGATTTATTCGTGGAGTCCACACATGGGTCACACCACCTTCGGTTAGTAGATGGGGTTGCAAGGTTGTGGAATGCCATGATCACCGATGAGGAAATTGTGAAAGTGCGCAACCTGCGGCCTTCGCCCATCCTTCAAAACATCGACAGTGGTGAAACGTTCGGACTTGTATGCGCGGAGTATGTAACGACATACCATAACATAACAGGCACAATCAAGGATGAACTCAAAGACAAGTTGCTCGATCTATCCCTGCATTCCGAAGCTGATGCAGACAGAATACTGCGCGAAGTCAACATTGATCCAATTTTGCATTCGCAGTCACCAAAAATTGACTCACTGAACAGTGCGGCAATACAACCTTCCATTGATCCCTCTCTTCTCGAGACCCCTCAAGCTTCTGCTCTTTCGAATGTCGCACAGCCATCAATTGCGTCCACATCAGCCTTATTGTCTCCTGTCAGACAGACTTTTAGGCCACCGACTGCACTCGATCTGGACAAGGATGGTATGGGCTAGGGTGAATATGCTGATGCTCGCTTATCTGGGGATATTTCGAGCCAACAGAAAGGAAAGGAAAGGGTGAGTCTTCTCGAGGCCCATGCACTGCTTTGAACCAGGCTACTTACTAGTAGAACACCTCACAGTCTCAAGCATCCTTACTACCAGATCCGCAGGCAGTAGATGTGGTTGCTGATGGTCTTGGCTCGGTAGAAGCGGTTAGCGCAGTCCAGAAGTGAAAGGCGGCCACAGTGGAGACAGATGGGACTGATCAGCAGGTGAACAGCACAGTGGGCCCAAAGAGTGGTCGCAAGAGCAAGAAGCAAAAGACCTCCAAGACACCAGCTGAGTCGACTGTCGCGGTAAGCTCCAGTGAAGCAGTTTCCAGGTCTTGACGCTCACATTAGCATGTAGAACCACAGTGCAGCCTCCACTAAGTCCACCAGCAAGAACATCCTGAATTCCACGCCAACCGTGTATCATCCATTTTTTGCACTGCAGCAGTTGTCAACATCAACAGCACATCCCTCCGCTGAGCTGACTACTCAATTTACCTCCACTGCCGAGTTGATGCAGGTGTGGGCCAACACATCTATGCTCCCCACTCTTCAGATCACGGGGCTGATGCGTGCGCAAAAAATCTTCTCAATTTCCACGGGCATCAATGTGAACTCGCTGAGTATTTCTTCTGACACAGAATTTTACCTTTTCATGGACATGAGAGCCGAGAAAAAGTGGGCCTCGTTCAACATGACTCCATGCAAGTGGGTGGAGGCAGCCGAAGCATACAACAGTCGTCTTGAAGCACTCAATTCAGCAAAGGGCCTCCCTACCGTGTGGAAGACCCCCCGTGCACTCATGGACAAGTTAGGCGAGCTTGAGCCAAAGATTTTGATTTGTATTGCCTCGAAGGACTACACCTGTATGTCTAATCACCTCACAGTGCTGTCATCTCAGCTCTGACACAGACACATCATTACCACAGCAAAGCGTTCAAATTCGGAGATGTTCTGGATGAAGCATTACTTGGCGGTCACTCTGCTCAAGACTCCTGAGCAAGGCGATGGGAAATGGGTGAGTACCGAGAATGCGAGATATTCGAAGTGTGAATACTTACTGATGGCTTGCGTGAAATCGACAGCGCAAGACGCATACCTGCACACGATGCAAGAGAATAATGTGGCCTGCTCAGGAAGGCTCGCGCGAGAATCATCGCAAGTCCTACTGCACGGATGGTGTCAGACAGACAGCTCGGAAGGTCCAGCGGCTTGTTGATGGCAAGACCGAGTCCATCATGGAGGAGCCTCCCAACTTCCCGCAGCCGCAGGGCATCTTCATGACTGGAACACACTTTCACCCTGTGATCTTCTTGAAGACGATCGAAGACATGTACGAGCAGCTTGTCGTGCAAGGTGGAAATGGTGGGGCCTTGTCAATGGAGTTCACCGCATTCACCACCCTGCTGGAGAAACGTCTCAAGATCCACTCGGATGGGATGGCCCTTTTCGAGCTCTATAGCTCCCTGGAGGTCGCATCCACATCGTCTGTCGCCAAAGCCATCGTCGAGTGCAACGAGGTCAAATATCTTCATGTTGACTGCTTATGCGATGAGCCGGAGACCCGCAATGCATGATGTCGACGTCCCGCCGCCACGCTTGCAGCCAGAGAAGGGGTTTATCGTGAATAAATTCTTTAATCACCTGTCCCGCGAGAGGGATTAATGTACCTTACTACATTCTCCAATAATGTTACTGTGCTGTGATATATGTGTGCGTCGATTTTCTGTGGCGTGTCGCCCGTTAGTTCTTCTGCTATGCCAGTGAAAACTTTGACTTGTCTCCTCTCGAACGCATCACGTGACCTCCGCGACCTCTCTCCCTGAGATTGGTCGAGGCCATTTAGGGTTAGGGTTCAAATTAGTCAGATTGGTCTTGGACCAATGTCAGACCAATATTGGTCGGTCCTTGGTATGGCGGTGTAGCCGGCTGGACTTTCTGAAATCTAGTGGACAGTGGCTGAAATTCGATCTGAGTCCGAAAAATTTCCAAATGTAGTAATATTTCAGCCACCAGTGTGCACCTTCTGCATATGGAAGGTGCTTAACGTGTCTGGTGTCTGGGGCACATGACCAAACAAACACGGCCAAATAGTTAGTTTTATGAGCTGGCGCAACTTGCTCTCTCTCTTTCTTCTCTACCACCACCATCCCCTTCTAGCAAGCCGGCCTCAAGTGGCTGAGCTTTATTGCTGCATGTTGTCATGGGCATGCAGTGTCAAAGCTCAGTTATTTGTGAGTGCCTTTGTATGGTAAGTGTTTCTTTTCCTGTAGACAGTATTATGTAATATGTGTGCTGGTGCGCACTTTACTGACTTCATCTCATGGCTGGTCTTTGGCCAGTCATGGGGTACATGTGGGTTTTGGGGGATTACACTGGGCATGCGATGACGAGTTGCAGAGGGCTCCATGTTCTGGGGGTGACCCACTCATGTCCCTTACCTGGTATTTGAGTTTTGGGGGATCACACTGGGCATGTGGCGATGAGCTGCAGAGGGCTCCATGTTCTGGGGGTGACCCACTCATGTCCCTTACCTGGTATTTGTGTTTTGGGGAATCACACTGGGCATGCAGCGACGAGCTGCAGAGGGCTCCGCATTGTGGGGGCAACCCACTTGCGTCTCTCACCTGGTATATGGGAATTGGGGGATTTTGCACTTTGGTGCCAATGCACTTCGGCGTGCCTGCGTCTAGGTGCATATGTGCTCTGCACATTACATTGTCGCCGGCCATCAGCCTTGTGCTGTGCGAGTCGTGCGTGGAGCCACCATTGGCCTGCTCCACAAGGTCAGTGTTTTTTACTTGTTTGTTTGTTTTTGCATGGTATGGTGGGAGTACAGGAAGTGTAAGGACAATGTGGTAAGTACTCCACTACACTTTATACTGATACTGACAACTGTTCTTCAGCATATAGTGGGTTTTATGGCAGTGGTGAAGATGAGGCCAAATCCTATAGTGGTTTGAAAGAACCGGTAAGTTTTTTTCCTTACACTTTGAAGAATACTGACCTTTTGATGTTTCCACAGCCTCTTACACATGTACTGAAAATTGATGATGGTCACTGCAGCGCGAGCAATGCAGCGCACAAGGTGAGCATTTTCTAACATTTTGCGATGGTTTTCTGACTTCCTTTTGGTGTTTTTCAGATTGTATTTGTACTTTTCTTGTAGTCTATCTTCTTTTTCTTTTCCCTGCTTTCTGGTGCTTGTGGTGAATGAGGGAGGGCCCACCCTCAGTCATCACAAGTTACCTTTTGTGTTTTCAATTTTTGTAGTTAGAAAAATTTGTAACACTTGAGTTTGTAACAATGAAGCATGAATAAGGCGAAGCCATGCCAGTACGCCAGGCGATGCACGGGCACTTCAGTCACGTGATCACATCACGCACCACCATGTGTACTTTTTGAACCCTTGGCCCATCTGCTACAACAGCATTCTCAGTACTTTCATCATTTCAAAGCCCTACTATCAACTATAGCTGGCAAAGCTCAAGAGTATGTGCTTTCTCCAAGTCAGATTTCATCTGATTGAGCAAACTGAACCATAGCTCTGAACTTCCAGACCCTTGTACCCCTGGAGGGTATCACTGCATATAGTATATATAATGTAAGCAGTAACTGTATGATGAATAAAGCCTAAGTACAGCCTAGATACAGCCTTAAATTATGTATTCAGAAGCTCCAAAGGGAAAAGAAGACTGTTACAAGCCTTAAACGTAATGTGCATAATGTCATTCCCTCAAATAAGGCAGATATTGAGAGGTATACCCTCAGGGTTTGGTACCCTTACCCATACCCTTACCCCTGGTGAAGGGTATGTACCCTTGGAGGGTAAGAGTAGAGGTACAGCTCAAAGTACCCAGGGGTATACCCCTGCTCTGCACTAGCCTGACGCCATGCTTCTTTAAGGTCCTGGAGGATACACTCGTTCAAATTTAAATAGCCAGTCACACACATTTATTGACTACTTTGCATACCTACCTTTGCAACTCGCAGACTATCTGACAATCATGTGACCATTGAATGCCTGTTGTGATTGAAGTGCAAACTCCTTCCACATTGCACCTTGCTTTGCTGCATAGGATGCATGATCACATAGACCTGCACTCACCGCCTCCATCTCCCCGGTCTGCCACTCATGCTGCTTGCGTTCAAACCACAGGACAGTCCATAACATCTCATATTACACCTTCAGTACCTCCTCCTTGTATCTTGTGTCTTGTGCCTTTGCTCTCAGCCAGTTAACTTAATTAACTGACATGGTAATTACAATCTGTGAATAAGTTTGACCAGGCATGAACAGATAGTCACTCACCCTCCTTCATCACTTAGGCTAGTGCAGAGCAGGGGTATGCATAACCCTCAAGGGTAAGGAGTAAGGGTATTGAAGGGTAAGGGTAGGGGTATGAACTTTCAGACTTGGAGGGTATCACTGCATATAGTATATATAATGTAAGCAGTAATTGTATGGTGACTAAAGCCTAAGTACAGCCTAGATACAGCCTTAAACTATGTTTACAGAAGCTTTAAAGGGAAAAGAAGAATATTACAAGCCTTAAACTTAATGTCTATAATGTTATTTCCTCAAGTAAGGCAGATATTGAGGGGTATACCCTCAGGGTTTGGTACCCTTACCCATACCCTTACCCCTGGTGAAGGGTATGTACCCTTAGAGGGTAAGGGTAGGGGTACAGCTCAAAGTTTCCAGGGGTATACCCCTGCTTTGCACTAGTGTCAGCAAGACCATTAAGTTTGGATGCCTTAGCCTGAAGCCCCATTTGTGTAGAAAGCTATACGGCCAAGGCCAAAGTGTGGAAAACTCTTTATAGAATGAAAATTTCTAGATCCTTGGCCAAAGCCACCATTTTCACAAAAACTATATAGGGCATTCTTGGCTAATGCCAAAGTTCAGAAGACCCTATATAGAATATAAATTTCAGAATGCTCAGCCAAGACCACCATTTCCATAAAAACTATATAGGATATTTTCAGCCACGACCAAATTTCAGACAATCCTATATAGGATTCCAATTTCTTGATCCTTGGCTGCAGGCATTATTTTCACAAAAATCTATATAGGGTACCCTTGGCTACAGCTAAATGTCAGGAAATGCTATATAGGATCAAAATTTCATGTACCTTGGCCAAGTAGAACATTTACACAAAGATTCTATATAGGTCCACTTGGCCAAACCCAACTGTCTGCAAACTCTATATAGGATTGGAATTTTATGACTCTTGGCCAATGGCACTATTTCAGCTACAATCTATATAGAGAAATGGCGGCCGACCCCAAAATGCCTGACAATCTATATAGACTTTAAACCGCACCTCCCTTGGCTAACTCCCAAATATGCGACTCAGCCTATATAGCCTACTTATCTTGGCCAACCCTATATCTCCATCCTATATTATATTCTTGGCCAACACTTGGTTTTATGGAAATTTACACAAAATATTCCACCTCAGTTATATGGACTTTTAGGTATATATTGGCTGATAGGTGTGGTCGAAGGGCGACGACGCGGAATGTATTTCTCCGGGGGCCTTGGTGGGCAGCAGCCACAGGTGCCCGCGACCGGCTAAATCTCGTGCCATCCTCTTCACAGAGCACCGGAGATTAGTCGGCAGTTTTCCCATGTATAGGGAGGATTCGGGTCAAATGTTCTAAGCGGCGGAAATTTGACCTGAGAAGATGTGCACCTACCCTGGATTTTTCCCTTATATGGGGGCTTAATTGGGGGCTGCCGACTTACAGGATTCGCCGAGTGAGTGGTAACCCATAGTACATTATTAATTATAGCCGACTCCATATAATATGGACCAATAAACTCAATAAATTCGATGGCACTTATGGGACGAAGATTACCAGTGCTAGCCTAGCTCGCAGCTACGCCCACTTCTATCCTGGGCGTTGAGGTGCCAGAGGTAGCAGGCTGAGCGGTTTCATCCAACTCCAATATTCGCAAAATAGGAGCAAAACTTCTCAGCTGCCCTGGGGCATAACGTTCGTAGCTTGGTTGCCGATCGTAAGCTATCTCGGCCGCTGCGATCTTGCAGTGACAGGAGAGGTAGATGAGCCCCTGCGGTTTCCTCGCGAAGTGCACAGATTATTACTTACCAAAATATCTGAAGTCAGCCCCTTGACGGGAGACGCTGATGAGCGAAAGCGGTGCATGCGATAAGTAGAATTTCCAAGCCATCCCAGAAAGATATCCGATGTGCACTGATGAATATCGTCAGCTGCAGCACCGCCGAAGTGAGACAGAACTGAACCATACATGGAAGTCTTGTTCGTATGGCCAGTCCTCGCTGCCCTTTTCGACCAATGGTTCGTCGTTCGTGAGACCGGGTTCCAGGATCGCTTCCAGAGGATGCTCGAATATGCGTGACACTTCGCTTTCTGATGCCTTGAGATCGTCAAGCACCGATATGTCGGTCAAGAGCGCCACGACGGGCGTCACCAGCAGTTTGCTGGAGGAGAGATAAGGCCTCATGACTGTCACCGTGTGCATATCGGGGCATTTCAACGGTAGAGCGACCTCCTCATAGGCTTCACGGTACTGTAGAGGGATACTTAATATAGTGACTGAGCATGCATTACTTTCCGACACCTACCGCAGTTTGTGTGACATCAACGTCGGTCTCGTCCACCTTCCCGCCAGGAAGAGCAGTTTGACCGGGGTGGGTGCGGAGAAGCTTTGATCGAGTGGTCAGTAACACCCTTAGCTTACCAGCTCTCTCGTATAGCAGTACAAGAACGGCTGCAAGGCGTGCAGTAGGGCGGTCTGACCTAAATGTCCGTTGGCGTGATTTATCTCAGAGGAGTGGGATACTGACGGACAGATCAACTCTTTCCGGCTCATGTACCGCCAGCCTTTCTATGCATTCTCGAGATTGTTCTGACAGGGATTGAAGGACTGAGGGAGTAATATGGTACGCGGTGGCCATCGTTCGTAGTGATCACAGAACAGCTCAAGTTGAAGGAGTCACCATTGGAGATCATATGACACTCAATTAATTACGGGCGTCCGATTGGACCTGCCACTGTGTTCTCTGACCGCGGTTATCCTGAGGCTTCCGGCGTGCATAGCATGATACCAAGTCATTACGCTCCTAATCTGTTCATCGTGCACAATCATGGACAAGGACAACCGCGACGACTTCACCTTCGCCAAACTTAGCGATCTCAAAGTCCCAGTCACATTCCGCATGTGGGTTGTCCGACAGGACGATGCGCCGTATAGCTGACCGTGCGTTGTCGTAGATCTCAGCTAGAGGGAACGCGGAAGCCTCACACATTCACTGAAGTCTTGGAGAAGCCTGAACTGCGCTTCTATGGTGTTCAACAATCCCCGTGAGCAGGCTCCCGCATAACCTCTGTGATCTCTCTCAATGACATCAGATGAAGCAATTTCTCGGACCTTTATGTGACCTGTCAGCTAGTGGCGGACAACAAGCCACTTACTATACCTATTCGAACAGCCTTCAAGTCCTTCAAGAAAGATTATACGTGAGTTCGTTGGTTGCACTTCGTTGACCCTGCGATTAATACACCTGCCGTGAAAGATGGAACGAATGGATCACGTTGCCAATCCGCTACTGCGATCTTCCGCTCAGTTCTCAAATTACTTTCACCGTGTGGGACATCGCAGGACCGAGAGAAGCGGTACCTGTTGGAGGTTCTACTTTCCGTCTCTTCGGCAAGAAGTGGTATAGCTCGTCCTTTTATACCCGAAGAAACATCTGCTGACATACTTGACATTCCAGGAGTCTTCGAAGAGGCAAACATAGGTTGTTCCTATGGCCTGATCGCGAAGCCGATGGATCTATCGAGAGTACCACCCCAAGTAAAGTTGGTAGTAGAGATGAGATGGGGAGATTGGAGAAGGTGTGTTATACACATTGCGTCGCTGCACGCGGTTCTTCCTACCTTGACCTTGTAGCTCGTGAAGAAATACGAACGAGGCGACCTCCCAAAGTCTGATTGGCTGGACGCTATGGCATTCCGCAAGATGGCAGAGATCCATGCTGTGGGCAGGCCCAAATGTTATTGAAGTCATCAGTACTGAGATTCTGCGCAGGCGGAAACCGAGAAGTCAGAGAATCTGTTTCTCTACATCGATTTGCCTCGCTTCGACTTTCCAGTCGTATTCTCTGAACCAGTATGTCTTTCATCTCTATGACGATCACTTTGCAAACCATGTCTTAGGATGCGTCAAACGTTGCATCAACTTCTGCTGCTGTACCTCCTGCTTCCACTCCCGTTCCGTCGACACCGTCCGCGTTTGCCGCAGACACCCAGCTGTGGACGGTCATTGACCCAGACATCGCCCGTGAGAATCCTGTGGAGGACAAGCATCGTCGTCTTGTTCGCAGTCACAGAAGCAGCCCTTACGATAGGGAGTTGAAGCCCAATGCGAAGATCAGAGATGACATCGCTGTGAGTATGCGCAGAAATACTCATCATCTTGTACTCTAACCGCCATTACAGGAAATTCTGAACTATGCACCAAGTCAACCTCTGACCGGAGAAGAGAAGGACTTGATTTGGAAATTCCGGTTCTACCTCACCCGCGATAGACGCGGTCTGACAAAGTTCCTCAAGTCCGTGACATGGCGCGATCCGTCAGAGGTTAAACAAGCTGTTGAGGAGCTATTGCCACAGTGGACCGAGATAGACATCGACGACGCGCTCGAGCTTCTCGGTCCAAATACTGTAGATTCCCGTGTTAGAGCGTTTGCGGTCAAGCAGCTCACTAGAGCCGACGACGATGTGAGCCTCTGCTATACGTACATGCAGCATATTCCGGCTCTGACAATTCTCTAGGAATTGCTCTTGTATCTGCTGCAGCTGGTGCAGGCGCTCAAGTTCGAGAGCCTCGCGAGCGATCAGCGATCAATTCGCTCAACGACAAGCGCCATCTCTTACGACGATAGCGGTCTAGCCGACTTCCTCATCGCACGGGCTGTGCGGAACCCGATACTGGGCAATCGCTTCTACTGGTATCTCATGGTCGAGGTGGCCCTCGATGACCGTGTGGTTGCCAAGATGTATGGCAGAGTGGTCTTCAAGTTTATGGAGGCCCTTCAGGTGATCGACGTCGGCTTTCTGAATTCCTAGTGTGGAGATGCTGATTCTCCCTTGCAGTCGGCAGGGGTTGCTGAGCGTCGGGACATCATGCGTAGGCAGGGCGAGCTAATCGCTACGCTCGCCAAACGTGCAAAGGACCTTCGCACCTCCAAGGACCCGCGCCCGAAGAAGATCGAGAAGCTCCGCACGTTCCTCGCAGAGTCCAAGAACAACCTCGCCTCCATGCCACCGTTACCGCTCCCGCTCAACGCACGCATCGAAGTAAACGGGATAATCGCAGACAAGTCGAGCGTCTTCAAGTCGAACATGTTCCCCATGCTGCTGTACTTTCAGTGCACCGACGGCTCGGAGTACCCTGTGATCTTCAAGGATGGAGACGACATGCGCCAGGATCAGCTTGTGATACAGCTATTCACGCTCATGGATCGGCTGCTGCGGAAGGAGAATTTGGACTTGAAGCTGAGTCCATACGATGTGCTGGCAACGGGCCCGTCACAGGGCATGGTGCAGTTCATCCCGAGCAAAACTATCGCTGCTATTGTAAGTGAACACGGAACACTGCTTAATTACCTGCGAGCGCACAGTCCGGACGAGGGCAGTGTGGGGACGTATGGGGTTGAGCCCGGTGTCATCGATACGTTCGTCAGAAGCTGCGGTGAGTGCAATCTCTTAAACCCTATCATTTCTCTCAACTGTATTTCCAGCTGGTTATTGCGTTATGACCTACCTGTTGGGTGTCGGAGATCGACATCTGGACAATCTACTTCTGGCTCCTGACGGTATGTTGTCTTATCGCTATTTGGAATTTAAACTGACTGCGGGTGGGTTGTCAAGGTCACTTCTTCCATGGTTTGTTCTCTCCAACTTCATATCACCGAGTACTCACAACGTCTGTTCAGTTGACTTCGGTTACATCCTTGGCCGTGACCCCAAGCCTCTCGCGCCCCCAGTCAAGGTGTGCAAAGAGATGGTAGAGGCAATGGGCGGTGTACAATCAGTGCACTACACGCGCTTCAAGAACTTCTGCTTCACGGCGTTCACGATCCTCCGCAAGAGCGCGAACCTCATCCTGAACCTGGTAACGCTAATGGTAGACGCAAACATCCCGCACATCAAGCAGCGCGATGTGCACGAGCAGCTGCTGGGCAAGTTCTGTCTGGATCTGACTGAGGAGCTGGCGATCGAGCACTTTGAGAAGCTGCTGAATGACATCTCGCCGTTCACTGCGGTGCTGGACCGGATGCATGACTGGGCGCAGTATTGGAGGAGCTGATGGAGGGTGTTCTGATATCTGTTCGGTGTAATGCTTGTATTTAATGTAAGACTAATACTACTTGTTTGGTGCCTTGCAGTGTTCTCAGGCTGTCCCCTCCCACGACCAGCCCTACGCGATCGAGCAGACGCCGGACGCATCCTTCGTTCGCAACCTCAACTTCTCCTTGTCTTCCGCCTCATAGTCCGCAGATGCTTTGGTGACCTTTATAGAACTCATATGCTTTCGTGATCGGGATCGTGACTTATTCGAGGTTCACTCTGCTCTGCCGTCTATCTGACTGACGTCTTCGTACTGCTTGTGAATCTGCTGTGCATGCTGTCTATACAATGGCCGAGAGTGCTGAACGCAAATATTGCTACAAATGCGGGAAAAGTGAACGATCTCTTTCTCTTCACCACTCTGCAACTGACTATGCGTTGCGCTGTACAGACGACCATACCCCAACGGAATGTTCATCTAATGAACGTCTTTGCTTCAACTGCCAAGAGCCGGGGCACCAATCGCGTGCTTGTCCCAAGCCCAAAGGATTCTTGAACAGAAAGTGCGGAGGATGCAGCAAAAAAGGACATACTTCGGCCGACTGTCCTGTGCGTTCAGTGAGTGCCTCGTCACGAGTTACCTCCCCACCACGGCTGAGCATATTCTCAGGAATGGATATGTAGGAATTGCGAACAGTCCGGACATGGACATTGGGAATGTTTAAAGCCCCGCGGTTGTTCGAAGATCATATGTCGACGCTGTCAGGAAAAGGGTCATCTCGCTAACGAGTGTCCGAATCGTGCGGTGAGCAATATATATTCTACTTCGCTTCCGCGGCGCGCCATGAATTCACAGAGCCACAGAAATGGCATTGTGCGAATTGCAACACCAACGGGCACATGCATTTCGAGTGTCCCAAACCTCGCGGATACCTCAAGATGACATGCAGACGTTGCGAAGAAATCGGGCATCTCGCTAGCGAATGTCCCAACCGTTCAGTGAGCATCTTACAACAGTCCCGCGAATTTGCCTGACGAGTTCACAGAAATGGAGATGCCTGAATTGCAAGGAGCATGGTCATTTCCAGCACGAATGTACCAAGCCGCGTCAGAAGACGTGTTTTTCTTGTGGCGAAGCCGGCCATACACTTCCGCAGTGCCCCAAACGCGTTTGTTTCGTAGGCTGCTTTCTCTTACTTTATTTCCGAATATTAAAAAACAGAATCATGTAGAAATGTGGAGCTACTGGACATCAGGGAAGGACATGTCCCAATCCACCTCGCTCTCAGCAGGCATCCTGCAGTCGTTGCGGGGGTAGAAATCACTTCCCTGGGTGAGATTCACCAACAAGAGATGCCGGTGTTGATTGGTTTTGACAAGATGTAGGCAATGTCCCGTTTCGAAGGCACAGCCCAATTCAAAACCTGAACATACGCATGAGAAGGAGCACTCGAATGCAGCAGCTGGTACACAGGGTGGTGCAAACAGCGACAATGCAAAGCAAGAGTTGGTGCTTCTCCATATCTGGGGATACCTGTAGCTCACTGCATCTCCAGGACGCAGAAAACCCGAGAGCAGTGGAAGCCAAATCCAGCAGCTTCGAGTATGTTGAGCAGGGCGCAGGCAGCGCTCCTGTGTGACGAGTACCGTTCTGCAATTGCGTTGCTTACGGACGCGATCGGTTTGTACCAGTCACACTTGTGTTCCGACTCGAACTTACGGGATACCCACCTGAAGCGCTTGACAGGGGTATAGCCGACATCTACTCGACTCGTGGGATCGCATACGCTAAATGCAAAGACTACCTCTCCGCTCTCGCAGACTTCCAGCTCGCATCCTCGCTGGCAGGCTACAAACCTTCTGTAAAAGTTCTCATCCAGACCGCTCGCTGTCGCTTCCGTCTCGGCTCGCACTCCGCTGCGCTCCTCGCCATCCGCGAAGCGCTGTCCATAGAACCTGGGGACCAGGACGCGTTGACGTTGAAATGTCGGCTGCTCGACCTGGGGTCGCACATTGAGAGGTACCATGGTGCGCGGTCGCGCAAGCACTGGCGGGCGGCGCGGACGTCGTACGAAGCATGTTTGACAGTGTTTGCAGATGAAAGTGTAGATTGTCCCGCGGAGATCCAGTGCTGGGGCATCGAGTTGCTCATTGCCGAAGGCAACTGGGTGGTAGCGATGAGAACCGCTGAGTATGCGCTATCACATCTTTACGATTTGTGCCGGTATCTGACGAGCTACATACAGTGAGTTGGTACACTCTAAATCCCATACCATCGAAGTCAAGATCCTCCGCGCTCTGGTGTTGTTCCTCTCTGGGAAGTTACCTCCCGCCTTCGACCAGATTGTGGCTGTGCTGAAGCTTGATCCGGACAACACGAGCGCGAGAGTGCTCCGTGCTCGGATCAAAGAGGTTCGCCGTCTGAAAGACGAGGGCAACTCACATTTTCAAGGACAGGAATGGATTGAAGCTGTCATGAAGTACAGTAGTGCACTCGAGGTGAGATACATCTGTCTTAACTCGCCTCTCCAGAGGTTGATACGAGCGTTTATTAGATGGTAACTGAGAAGGAAGAGGACTGCAAGGGATGTCTTCTCCGGGCGATCCTATTACTCAACAGGGCGACCGCGCGATCAAAGGTGCGTGCTTGACTTGGTCACCGGTGACGTATGTGCCAATTTCGATGGCCGCCAAAGATCAAATTGTACGCCGAAGGGCTGAAGGACGTCAACACCGCATTAGCACTGGACCCATCGTATTTCAAGGCGTACTGTGCTCGGGGACGCATATACGTCGGCCTCGAACTCTACGAATCGGCGGTCGAAGACTTCAAATCAGCCCTGGAACATGGTGCAGCCCTACTGAATGCTACCGACGCACGAACTTTGAAGGAGGAGCTAGAGTGCGCGGAGAGGGATGCAGAGAGGGAGCGCAAGAAAGATAAGGATTACTACAAGATCCTTGGTCCGTGGAACCTGTCCTACCTCGATAATCTCGCTGACATCTTGCTGGATCAACTGAACGTAGGACTCAAGAGAACATGCTCAGCGACAGAGATCAAGAAAGCCTACCGTACTGAGTCGCTGAAGCACCATCCAGACAAGGTAAGGCTACTCTCACTCTTGTAGCCCGGATGATGACTGTTCTCTCCCACTGCAGGGCGGTGTGGCTGAGAAGTTCAAGGTTGTCGCCGAGGCATATGAAACTCTCTCGGATCCTGCAGCACGGAGAGTGTATGACGCAAAATGGCCTCAGCCCGACCGCCATGGCTATTCAAGCTATTACGACGACGAGGATGGCTATGACGATGACGACGACGACGACGACGACGGTTTCTACGATCAGCGGTACCACCGGAATGGTTATCAATATGACTGAAATTTTGCACAACTGTGACCTTCGGAATGCTATCCAATGTGAGCGAGGCACGACGATACTCACTGTTCTACGATCCTCACTTGTCTGGCCAGCTTGAGAAGGATGATGAAATGCGAACGCGCAATCGTCCACGTAGGCTGTCTGCCTAGTTATGCCGGAAGTAGTCTGCTGCTTCTCCTATTGGCAGGTCGATCGGTCTCCGAGATCGGAAGACGGGTACCTGCTGTTCAGGAAGAGGTTGGCTTCCCTAGATATCGCGTGAGCGAGGAGAATGATGTTCGCCACAGTTGTCCGGTTGTCCAATCGTTTCTAGTACTAACTCTTGTCACGAATTGCAATGTATCTAGAGGCTGTTGTCACCAGGTGTTGATTGCTCTGACCTGAGACTCCTGATCTTGAAATTTGACAGCTGGAGAGCTTCAACCTAAACAGTTACCACATTTGGCAAAAGGATCGGCGATCTCTAGGAAGGGCGGCATGACCCATCCTTCGCCAGCAGATTCGCCCGATTATGTACAGACTTGCCTCGCGTTCTGGCCTGCGACCTTTGGATATGAATATCGACAAACACTCACTGTGCACAGGGTGGTCATGCGTACATCCAAAGCGCTCAGCAACGGGGGATGGAAGAGAGATACGAGTTTTTGGTTTACAAATCCACTCTGTTAGGCGGTGACGAAGTCCATTTCCACAAGTTGCGATGGCGATTTGCGGAAGCGTAACCTGAAGCTCTTCTCACCTACATGTCTTCTCCCCTGGTCTCTGTTCCAACAAAATGGATGATATTTTGCACGTCTATGAACCGCAGTCTCCAGATCTTTGCTGTATTTGCGCTCCGGAGAAGCCTTACCACCTGAATGTTCCCTCCATAGTGGGGCAACAACACCCACGTCACCTTCTGAGAAGTGGAGGAATCATACATGAGATTAGGTCAGAAACCGATGTAGGGCGGATGTGAGGGTATGGTCCGAGACTACCCCGTTCCTACGATGCACGACAGCTCCATACTTGGTGAGTGCATCGCAAGCTGACCGTCATTCCTTCTCCTACAGCAGATCCTGATCGATCGACGACAGGTGTGTGCGCAAGTTGGTAAAATCCCCTGAATCGGACGGAATACACATGCCCGTATCCCATATCACCCTGCAGAATTCCGGCGGCAGCGGTAGGTGGCGTGTTCGAGGACCCTTTCTGTTTCCCACTGGTACGAACAACTGTATGAGAGGCAGGATCACCTTGAGACCTGGCGCAGCGTTGCGTATGAAGCCATACAATGGGCATCTGAACAGAATATTTCAGGTGACAGCGATGGATGAATACTGATATCGCACCTGACATGGAAAGCCATGCAGCATCGGATCACGCTCCGCAATGCAGATACTGTGAGTATCAACCTCCCATGTCTCTCGTGGGCAGATCGGTAAGTTCGAGCTATGTACCCTCAACTCGGGCTATTGGACGCCAGCGTGGATCTGAGCGCCTGCCAGTGCACGCAAGCTACAGAACCGTCATTCACGGCATGTTGACAAGTATCAGAAAAGTTTACCTGACCGTGGACCTGGTGGGCAGAGAACGTGGCTCTTATTGTGGATCATGATGCTGTGCATACCCGCCGATCTGGTGAATGAGCAACAGTGCAGAACGAATGTGCACGCTCGCGTCCGCTACTGTCAAGTGCAGAAAGGCGGATACTACTCGAATCATACTGAGGCGCCGCCTCTCGGTCAATAAGACATGGAGGTAGAACGGGTATGAGAAAATGCCATACCTGTGATGCGAGGTTGTTATCTCATCAGCGAAGAGCTGCGGCATTTGTTGGTTGAGGACGACGGACTCCCGATATCGAAGACTGGCATTGTGCCCTACGATTAGCGTCATTTTAGTGCGCAGTGGTAAGTCTTGTCTCATGACCCTTTGTTGAGTGCCGGGCACGTTAACTGTATGCAAATCAGTCCACATTTCTCCAGACCCACAAAAGAAACTGAGGGCATTAGGCATAGCCTCGAAATCTTGCATTTACACCTCTGTCGGTATATTGATGGGCAGACAAGAGAGTGCTGAGTTCATTTTCTGAAGCTGCCACCTGCATAAGAGGAGTCATGGTCACAGCAGAATCAAGTCCATCGCGTGGGTTTGAAGCTATGCGCCGGTATACCTCCATCACCATCGTATAACGGCACCTCGTTGCTTCACCTGGCTCACAAACATCGAGGACGAGTTGAGAAGCTATTGACGCTAGTGAAAGTAGAGGAACAGGCCTAGGTCAAAGGGGATTCCGTCTGCAGCTCCGTGAGAGTCACTGGGGACCTTTAAATCCGTAGGTGCGCTCGTACGCAGAGCTTAGCCGTCTAAACTGTGTTGTGCAGATCTAACCGTACGCATGGTAAAGTAATGATTTGCAGCAGTTGGACACCCTAGGATAACACGTCATCTGAGGAGACATTTAGTTGCAGACTGTTTAAGAACGCGAGAGTCATCGACAAGAGGGGGCAAATCTTGGCTATGCAGTAGCACCCGTCTATCGGATCCACATGGATGTGGCCCAGTCTGGGCTCAAATATGACGCGGAGAACGAAGCTGAGGCTGCGACTGTAAGCGGTCGACTAAGGAAGCATCATTAATGTCATGGAGATGCGCCAGGCGCGAATCCCATCGGGCAAAGCTTCCGTACGCGTGCGCTGGCAGTCTGATTCTGAGGCTCGACCTTGCCGGATTTGGAAAGTTCATCTGGCCTCGCTTGCAGATCCGTGTTTCGGATTTGCGGGTGAACAAAACGCTCTGCAACAACTACGGTTGTCGCACTGGCCCAAGTTCGCTGCCGGGGAAAGTTCATTTGAATAAATTGCTTAAGGTGAGTATCGACCAATGCGCGGCTGGTCCGGAAAGGATATGGCTGATTTGGAGAGGCATGATGTTTCCTTCAGTTCCAGAAGCTGGCGATGGGAGTGGTTAACGTATACCCTGTGCACCTCTACCTCGGTGGAGGTCAGACGCTCCATCACTGCGCACCAAATTGGTGGCTGCCGACGGTCCCAAGCCATCCCAAAGCAGTAACGACCGTCGGCTACCACCCAACAGCTCGCGGTAAACCGGATTTTCCTCCCTGATCTCAGTCCATCATCCCACAAATTCTGCTGAAAAGCCGACGATGCTTTCCATCCAATCGCATCGTCGGAGTGATTGCCGCGCTCTGCCAGATGAATAGGCATATAAGATCTCTGTCTGCATCGCAGGCAGCTCGCCGTTCCTATACCCCATTGGGCGATCCATTCCTCTGCACAGTCTTGTCTCGTCAGAGCGCGGCCAGCGATCAAAATGTCGAATAGCAGTGACAGTGCCGCCGCTCAAGCTGCAGCAGTCTTGGCTGCCGAGCAAGACCTCCTGAAGACGGACTTCGGAGCGATTTTTGCAGGTTTGTGCACTTTTAGCGTACACGGGCTGTTTCCCTCAGTGCGTGCTCGGTACAGGTACCTTCATCGCCGTGCTTCTTCTAGGATTTGTGCTTGCCCAGGTGAGTAGCTCCTCTGTGACTTTCTCTGTGACAACTAACCACTTGTCGCAATAGCTGTACATGTACTACACACGCTATCCAAAGTATGTTTCGCACTTAATATCCTCGTTCGTTTTATACACAAGACTGCTCCGCACAATATAGGGACCCCATCGGGATGAAACTGTTCGTAGGCTTCATACTTTTTGTCGATACCCTTAGTTGTGGTATCTTGGTTGCGTGGTAATTATTCGCTTCTATTTGCCTCTACGGTTTCCTGAAAAGTTCGGTCCTTCAGGTTCTACATTGCATTCATTAACCACTGGGGAGACATCACGGTGTTCGAGACGGGAGACTGGCGTACGGGTTTCTGTATAGTTCATTTCTCCTTACTAATAATTGTTCTGCCTTGTTCGCTATCTTTCGTATACTACAGTAATTGCTACCGGTGAGTGCATGCAGTTTACAAGAGCGCAGTGTGCGTCTCTGATTATCTGGGTTTTAAGATCCGTTCTTCCTGGTATAAGCGGTCAACGTGGTAGTTTCGGCCGTCGTTACTGACACGGTCTGTATACCAGGGATTCATCGCAATGTGCAATCACTTCTACTTCTCCCGGAGAGTCTATCTCATCACAAAGAACGTCTATCTCACCATCCTCATCTGCATATGCGGTCTCGGAGCGGGCTGTGCGGATTTCTGTAGGCTTGTCTACAGGATGCTTGCTGATTTCTGTGTCGTAGCGACGGGACTCGCAGTGACGATCATATGGGCTAAATACCAATTCCGGTTCCAGGACATCATCCTCGAGAAGGCGGCGTTCACGACATGGATGTCATGGTCCGTGGTTGGCGATCTTCTCATCACTATATCCATCACTTGGTATCTGCAACACCGCAAGTCCGGATTCAAGAAGACGGATACATTGGTGGACAAGATTATTCGCAGTACGTGTCGTTTGTTCGACTGTTTATTTTCGCCCAATCCTCATGAGCGACCGACTTGGATCCGGATTTGTAGATACCATGCAGAATGGTACGTATCGTAGCCACTGCTACCTGCTATTCGACTCGAACGTTCTCACTGGCTAGGTCTTCTTACTGCCGCCACCGCGACCGTCGATCTAATCATGTACCTGGCCATGACGCAGACAGACTACCTAGGTGGGTGGATCGTCCTCACAGTGCAACGTCTTTCCGATGATGTCGTGTGCAGCTCTTTCCGTCATTCTTCCTAGATTGCATGTCAATAGTATCATGTCCTCGCTGAACTCTCGTGAGCCCCACCACGTAGAGAGTCCCTCGTCGGAGGCCAGCGCAATGTTCAACTCGCGTGTTCTGAGACCAGACGTAGGTGTACATACGTGACCGAAACCTCTGTTGACCTGAACTGACGGCATTCATCATGACAGCACGCAGAAGTGATGGTACATGTCGAGACGCACGAGATGGCCGAAACCGCCAAGTCAGCGCCCGACTGGGAGCACAAGACGTCAGCGGTATAACCGTGGAGCGCATCGCATTGTATCGAAGTCTTAATTCTTACGATGCTATTCTATTGTCCAAGAGGTGTACGACCAGGAAGTAGGCATCCGCTCATTTGATAGATTCTCTCGCCTCGATTTGTCGGATAATGTCGTTCGCTGTGACGAATGTCTCTGCAAATCGATGGGAACAGTGGCTTAGGTGGTCCACATGCTATGTCATTCAGTATCATTACTACCCGCCGAGAATGATGATTGCAAAGTATCAGTACTACAATGGCGACCGACTCTGACTGAAGAAACAACGGCGCACTCCCCTTAAGATAGAATAATTTTATTCATGCACTTTCGTCAGCTTCCAGCTACCTATTCTGTCAAGGTTATTTTTGTCAGTTTGGCTATTAGGAGTTCAGGTACTATGATGGGTCGCTCTTAAAGCTCATGATTTTCCTATAGATAGGCAAAGTGCCGAATTGTGGGTTCCGCCGAATGTGTCGTATGACCTACCTACCTATGCCCCCAATTGATCCAAACAGTTGCTAAGGTGCTAGATTTCACCTTATATGGGGTTTCCGGAAAGCGTAACCCGTAGAAAATGTTCACTACAGGTGTCAGCGAAGTCCATTCCGAGTTTACTTGACCCATCTGTTCTACGTTTCTCAACCTCAAGGCCTCAAGGGGTAAGGTGCAATTGCATGCCTTTTGCCCTCATCATCACCTGGATCATGAATTCAGTGTGAAAAATCACGAGGTTTGCTGCATTGACATTTGCTGCAGTCTCGTCACTTCTCAGACCTATAGAATAAAGAAGTGCACCGCATATTCAGGAAATACAGATACGAGACATTGCACTGATACTATGTCATGGCCTCGAGATAAATCCCTAACGCCTTGCCGGGGTCATCCCAGTGGATCTGATGTACAACAACCGTCAGCCGCTGGATAATCTTTCCCGTAGCAGAGTGCACTCACTAGGTGGTTTACACCCTCTGTCATCTTGAAATTGATGAAGCCACCACCATTGCCAGCATCCTCATCCTGCATTGTCCACCACGCCAGGATACAAGTTGAAAGGGTAGAATCCCCAACCACCGCCCAGACCCCCATCTTCGGCACCACAGCCCTCGTCGCACGGTCAAAGCGCGCTTTGCGGAAAGCCGCGAGGTGCTGCGGCATCAACAGGAATAAATTCGGACCTTCGAATACGCTGTCGTCAATGAGCTCTGTAATGTCCTCCGCGGTCATGCTGTAGATCGTGGGCCGGCGGAATAGGCTGGGTGCGGCGAGCGACAGGAGTTTCGGGTCGCGCTTCGACAAGTCGCCGTGATTGAAATAGGCGGTGAGCCACGAGCGGTGGAAGAGACTCTTCTCGCCTTCAGGGATGATCGGAAAACGAGAACCAGCCCCCTTCCTGGAAGCCAATAGCCAGGGATGGTGGCTCTGAATGTCCATGATTTTGAGTTCCCGTCTTGAACACATGGAAACCGTTCCACTCACCGTCCATTATCAATGCTCGGAGGTACCTCGCAAGGCGAGACTGCACCTCGGAGGGCAGCTTATCGAAGTTAGCGATCGCAGAGAGCGTCACGGTATTACCGGCGGACCACCCAAGGAGGCCGACACCACCTTTCTTGCCATCCTCAGAAATCGGCGGAATGTCGTACTTTTGAATGAAGGCGTCGATGAAGTTGGCAATCTCGATCCCGCGGGCGGTGAGGAATGCCTCTTTCACCTCCTCTGTGCCACCCGTGGGTAGTACGGCGAGGTCAGCTGGAGCGAAGGGTGTCGATGGAGCATAGCCGCGATTTATGGCTACGATGCGCAGGCCGGCGTCAAGACCGAGTGCCTGCATTTCTTAGGGAAAAACCCTGAGAAAATCCATAAAGCACGAGAAAAACTTTGAAGAAAGCATAATGAATTTTCGTGGGAAATACCATGATTGTCCAATCAGCAGCTGAGAATCACGGTTTTTCCTGGAGAAATACTTTATTCTTTTTCCAGAGTTTTTCTGTGCGCTTTACTTTAACCCTTTCTAGAGGTTTTTCTGTAAAAAATACTGGGCTATGTGTGAGATGCCGAATATGGTCTCTTCGCGGCAGGGCTCTACAAGAGAGTACTTGGCTGTGTGTCTTGTGCTGCCGGAGCGAAGCGCAGGCGGCTCCTTTTTAGGCATTTCCATCAGGCGTCTGTCCTTGTATTGTACCATCAGCTTTTCGTCTCAAACGATCTCTTTCCTTGTTCCAGTGTTGTTTCCGTACCACCACAGGAGCAACATGGTTGTTGTAGCGTTTCCATGGTTCCAGCTGCATTTCATTCCCAGCATTTTTAAGCTGCCACTGGAGGCAAAAGTGGATGTTCTGCCTTGGAACAGTGTCTGAACATCCAAGGAACAGATTACGTTTTTGGACATGTCACATGTTCTGAACATGGTAAGGAACATCTAATATGTCTCGCACAATGTTCCATTGGAGAGCATGCTGGAAACATGTTGCATATACCATTCTGGAACATATAATATGTCTCACACAATGTCTCATTGGAGAATGTCCTGCAGACTTGCTGCATGTTTCATTCTGGAACATTTATCATTTTGCTACTATATTCTGGGCTTGTCTCTTGGTGCAATATGCTCTGTATAATAAGGATTTCTCATGGCCAAACACATTACATTTCTGGCTGCTGTTAATCTTCAGAACATTGTGAGAAGATGTTAAGTGCTCCTACTCCAAACATACAAGATGTCCTGGGCACCAAGAACATTGTAAAATTTTAGTATAATTTTAGTATGTATCATACATGTACTGCAGATGTTCGTGGTGCCCAGGACATCTTGTATGTTTGGAGTAGGAGCACTTAACATCTTCTCACAATGTTCTGAAGATTAACAGCAGCCAGAAATGTAATGTGTTTGGCCATGAGAAATCCTTATTATACAGAGCATATTGCACCAAGAGACAAGCCCAGAATATAGTAGCAAAATGATAAATGTTCCAGAATGAAACATGCAGCAAGTCTGCAGGACATTCTCCAATGAGACATTGTGTGAGACATATTATATGTTCCAGAATGGTATATGCAACATGTTTCCAGCATGCTCTCCAATGGAACATTGTGCGAGACATATTAGATGTTCCTTACCATGTTCAGAACATGTGACATGTCCAAAAACGTAATCTGTTCCTTGGATGTTCAGACACTGTTCCAAGGCAGAACATCCACTTTTGCCCCCAGTGTGCAGTCCTCGTTGAAGTTGTGGCCACACATCTCTTCCTCTAGGTCCCGCCACCATGACGTACAGTCTATGGGAGTCATTCCAGGCCATTATGGCTAGACCTGCCACAAGCAACCTCAGATTTTACATGTCTGTGGTAACTCTGCCAGATATGCCTTCCGCCGTCACCGCTGAACCAATGCCGCCAGATGGCCATAAAGCGCACAAAAATCAGCTCACGGTTATCCCCCAGGCATTTAGGAGACTGGAGACCATACATGTAATGGCCAAAGGTTTCTCCCAAGAGGCGCTGGATTGTGAGCTTAGATGTCAACTACACAATGCATTGCTGACGATCGGACGGTTCGCAGTCGTGGATCGGCGAATTCCCTCTGCGCCACTGGACGCAGACAATGCCGATAAAACTATGGGAGAGGCACTCACCCTCCCATGCGCCCCATACTACAATATTCCCGAGCGTACTGTGGGGCAGGTCTCCAATATTGAGCGGTGAGTTTCATGCACACTGACTCGACTTCGTTGCTCATGCTTTACGTATCCTGCAGAGTCTGCCGTTGGGTCATGGAATACCCCCTGACAACCTCTCAACGCATTCTACATCTCACTATGCCACAAACAGATGACTGGAGTTTTTCACCTGAGAAGCATGCCCGTGATATCGACATGGACAAAGACATATTCCGGTACACCACTTTTAGTGCCGCTGCTGCACCTCTGTCTCCCAGAGGGTGCCCAATACCTTCAGTCACTGTGGTCATACAGCCACCGTGGATACTTTCCCCGCAAGATCTTGTGGCATTTGTAGGTTGTGGAGCAGTACGTTTCAACCACCGTGGTGGAATACAAGCTGACTGGCCGCTGCAGCTTCCTCCTTATAATCCGCATGGCGCAGGCAGAGATTATACCTGCAGTCAGAGGCTGTGGAGCATGGTGCGATAAAACGATCTCATAGTTGAGAAATCAACTAAAATCAGCAGAAGATCTGGGATGTCTGTTTGCTGAGGCGAGCCAGTAGACTAGAACTTCTTCCACGGTAGGGTCTTGTTCATCCGACTTGAAGATTGGCGATACAAAGGCTCGTGTCCACCCTGTGAACCGGCCGTCAGCACTACCTGTGAGAGGGTATAAAAGGTGCATACCTTTCGAGAAGGCACCGAACACCCAACCAGAATATGAGGTCACCACAAACCAGCGAGATCGCTCTCGGAGTAGGTGTCGACGGAGGCTGGACGATACCCGAGGTTAGTGGCGAGCCCGAATACGTTGCCGTTGAAATACCGTGCCTGGTCCGCGATATTCTACCGCCGGTCTCATTTGCGGAGGAGCGAAGAGCACTCATGGCATTATCCCTGCTGTCGTGACAGTGTTGTTGATCGGCTCTCACCAAATTCGTCTTGCGCATGTAGGTACCAGAACCCGTTCACACCATTGGATTGGAGGTCGCGAACTCAATCCCTCCACCTCTCACCCGTAGACCCCCCTTTGCACCCTCTATCTCGGACTGGAGTGGCGAAGGTGGCGGTGAGCAACGTCCCTGCAATTGATACAAAGCTCACAAAAGATGGCCTTGCAGCACATATGTCGGACACTTCATCAACCATTCATGCTGAAGAAGTTGACAGTACGCTCATGGATCTCCAGGACAAAGGCGATTGTGGCAGTTTGTCTGGAGTCCCGAACAACCCCATCGTGCGGGAGAAACACAGTCACGACTCCGTCGACTCTGTTGAGGGTATCCAACACTGGATAAACCACGTAGATCTGACCAGCGTTCCCCCCGAACGTACTCCATCTCCGAGTCCGTCACAGTCGTCTGTGTCAACGGTGCGAGAGTATACGTGGAACAGCAGTCGAGAGGGTGACTGGGTGTCAGTCGATGTTCGGGATCGTCGTTATGATTATGTGTGCTCAGGGTAGTCGACAGTGTTATCGTCGCTTTATAGTGTTACCGTTGTTTTGTAGTGCTATCGGTGCGTTGATGTGATTGCTCTGTATTGTTATGCGGATAATTCTATTGGGAAACCCTCAGAAACCCGGAAACCCCAAGAAACCCCGGGTTTCTGAGGCTGCTCGGAGAAACCCCTCAATTTGGAAACTTGTGGGGTTTCCCTCTCCGGAGGAAGTTTCGGACTCCGGCCGGACGCCCTCCTGGGGCGGCCATGTTGGCATCATCGTTTGTGCGGGAAGGCAGGGCAGACTCACTCCTCAGCTTCTCATGGCAGTTGACGAGAGATCGAGAGACCTTGCCTGCATGCACTCTCCATATTCTTAAAGTAAATTTTCGCAAGAATGGGAGAGGGAGAGGGAAAATTGGCACCCGCCGTAAGCCTTGTCAGTCCCGCCCGACGTGTCCTGTTCACGTACATAGAGTGTACCGAGCTCCTGTGTGATCGGTAAGCCCCGAATCAACTTACAATTTCGCAGCGAGGGGCCTCCTCTGCTACGGGGAGGCCGCACTTTACTCACTTTCAGAAAGAGACTGCAAGCGCGGCTCCCCATCAAAACCGGCCGGCTGTCAACGGTCTCCCTTGCACAGAAACCAGGTTGCTGAGCAACTTAAGGGGGTTTCTGGGGTTTCCGGGTTTCTGGGGGTTTCTCAATAGAATTATCCTTGTTATGCTGTCAAACACCTCAGCCGTCTGCAGTCGTGGGTGTGCGTCCATGTCCCGTTTGTAAATCGCGATTGGGGCGAGTAGAGACGGTTGAGTCGCATGCTGTCGACATTGTCAGCCGCACTAGATTTCGATAACAAATGCGACAGTCGGCGACTGAGAACTGACGAGGCGTGAATACAACAAGATGGATGGAGCATACACGCAAACACACTCAGTCATGCTCCGCTGAAAGGCACACTTGCGTGCTAAAACACAGGTGCATTGCCCCTTCCCTTGCAAACGATGTAGATGCTCACGAAGGCGAAGAAAGCGAAGGCGGCATAGACAGACCAAAAAAGTTGGGCAGAAAGGACAAATTGCGAGCGATGGAGAAATCCAGTTACCGTGGGACTTCACATAAGTGCTAAAATAAAGTGATGTAGAGACAACATACAGACAAGGACTGAGAGGTAATCGCGAGAGTGCTGCAACGCCAAGAGAACCAAGTCGTATGTAAACGCAGAGCACATCGGTGTCGAGTAAGCAGAGAAATGCAACTGGACCAGTCGAGAGTGTGAGATCTAGTAACGGACACTGTCAATTTTATGGAAGCACCTTGGAAAACTGAAGACATTGTGCACCAGCTCGCTGTTCAAAAGAACGATGCACAGTCGGCCTGCCGGAGCTACACCCAGCCTTTCAAGTAAATGTACCCAAGTACGAGGGAAGGAAATTGAGACTGTGACATCATACTAAGTCCCGCATCTTCACAGACTGAAGGCAATTATCGCACAGATAGTGCTGCTTGCAATAAGAGCCGGGTGTTTGATCAAGGTCGTCCAAGGTATCACACAGTAGGATCTGCGACTTAAGCGAGAATACCTCCAAGTGAATCCGCAGAAATGGCCGCACCACGTCTAGCCATCTCATCTAGCCTTCTGAGGCAGCAGCTCTGCAATCCCGTCTCTGCGAGGTGCTACACCAAGTTTGGGACTACTCAACTGCCAGTAGCGACACAACGCGAGTGGAGGCATGCAAGGGGGCCAATGAGACGCGCCAAGATCAATGCGGAGTGGCAAGGCGTGTCCTCCCGACGAATAACAAGGTGTTCTCAAGCATCAGGTTCGCATTCCAGGTGGTGATACCATCGGGAACGTGGTCCTGACCAGAGCCAGACCATGGTCGTGGAGAATCCGGTATAATTAGTGGGGACGTACGGGTGCTTGCATTTCAATGAATTTCTTGGCCTGTTTGTTAAAAGGTGGGAGGGAAGATCATGGCGACGCAATCTACACAGTGCTAAGAACTGTCAACGCACCTTTTCGCATTGTACAGGGCTCACCAGAGAGTTGCATGTGGACGAGGACAGCGGCTGAAACGGTTGTGGATAACAAAGGTGGAAAATACAGTACAAGGTAGCGTGACGAGTCGAGCTGCCTAGACGCGACAGACCGGAAATGAAAGACCTACGTCCGTTCAACCCCCAGCCATGCACGACGAAGAGTGTCTTGTAAGGAGCATTAGATTCTGTGGACTTGGGAACACCGCTGTCATAGTAGTACAGTTCTACGCCGTCACTGTTAACCGTAAGAGAGGGCATTGCGGAAGCCTGAAGACCCGATTAGCAGGAGATTGTACAGGTAGGAAATGCGACAATTCTCCCAGTGATCTTTCGGACGCAGATTCCGTTATATCATCGACTCACATCATACTAGCCCGTTTGAACTGTCGTTTTTACGATTTGCTTCTAGGATGAGGAGACGGAGCACGTCGAGGCGCACAGGATTACTGATCCTATCAGGTACATGACAGGCAATGGTGGCTTACCACTAGCCGCAACAAGCAGATAGCGGAGGGGAAATCGTACATGTCGTAAAAGCATCTTTCTGAGGATCCAGATGGACACTCGGTAGGTAGTTTTTCTGACAACCTGAGGGATATATGTTCGGCCTGAGGCATCACTGGCAGCAAACTGGCAGCGCCCTCTAGTTGCCATATACGATCGCAGGACCAGTCCACCGTGTGCGGGAGAGCAGAGAACGCCTCCCCTAGGCCTCCTGCCGATGAGATGTGGATGATGTATTGGCGAAGAAAGGTGAAATTGCATTCAAGAGGTCTGACTCTGAGTGTTCAATCGAGGAGGCGTTCCGGTCGTCTTGACGAGTACGATGCGTACAAAAAGGTCATGTTCAGGATTCCGCGTCAAGCCTATTGATTAGAATGAATTTGTACGTGCAGCGACAGGATAGTGACAGAAAGTGTCAAACGCGTAGTGGCCGTCCTCAACAGAGACGTCTATGTACCCTCCTCCGAACGGGAAGAGACAGCAGATACACAGAGATGCACGTTCAAACACTCATGCCCATTCCAAAATACAACACACACATCAAATGCAACAGAACAATAATCAGACTCTAGATACGTACTCCACAAATCAGCGTTGAGCGAAGTTGAGCGTCCAGGATCATCACCTCCTCGCCCTAACCTTCCTCCTCTGCGGCACATACTCCTCGTCCTCCTCCCTCTCCTCCGTGCTCTCCTCTGCGCCCTCGACATACCCCACACCCATGAACACTGGCATACCTCCGGCGCCGCCGCCCTTCAGGAACCCGCGCTTGGTACTGCGCATCCCGACGCCGACGAGCTCGCCGCTCTCCATCTCCGCCTCTGCCTTCACCTCACCGTCCGCATCGCCTTCCGTCCAGAGGGCGTCACCCGCACGTTGCAATTCTTGATCTAGGGTACGCCGTCGCCGCCTGCGCATGCTGCTGCCAACAGCCGGCGCGCTATGCGTCGAGGACACGCTCAGTTTGCGGGACAGCACAGATGCAGGGGCAGGGACAGAGACAGGAACAGGAGCTCGCGCCGCTACAGGCAGGCGCGAAGCCTCTTTCCTCCTGTTCTTCTTGGGCGGCGGTCGGTCAGGCGCCGTGTCCGAACTGGCGTGTAGGCCGACGGGCACGAGACGCGGGGACAGCGGCAGTGAGAGCGGGTCGTCGCTTCCCGAGACGTCCTCATCCGCGCTGACGACGCGCATGGGCTTCGCGCGGGCACGCGCAGGCGGGCGGGGCTTGCGCGGCGTGTCGGCGGGAAGGGGCGAGCTGGGTACGCGCCGCGCGAAAGGGTCGCGTGAGGGCGGGTGGATGGAGTCGCCTTGTGCTCTCGTGTTTCGTACCTGCGACACATCAGGCTCGGGCGACGGTGAGGCTTTGTGGCCGGACTCGGGCAGCGGATGTACGATCTGTGGGGGCTCAGGTGAGGGCTCCATGTCGACGTCGATGATCTCGGAGCCCGGTGGTGGGGGTGCTGATTTTCGCCGCCGTGGAGGGGGGTCCTTGGCTTGCGCCGCTTCGACGTTGGCCTCGTGCGTCGCGGCGGGCGGTGTGGGTGGGAGCCGCTCCTCGCTGTCGCCTTCAGGCTCATTCTCATTGTCGGAGCACAGCGACGGCGTGGTGATGTCCGTCTCGGTCGTCGATATCGACGGCCAGCCTCGTGGGGGTATACCCTGAGGCCCCGGGTACGATTGTAAGAACGATGACGGGCCAGGCGCGGGCTGGCGTGCATCATGTAGGGCCCGGGAGGAAGAGGATGTGAAGGAAGCGTCGCCGCTTGTGTCCGGAAGGCTGAAGGTCGTGAAACGCCTCTTCGAGGGCAACGCTGTACATAGCAAAAGGTCAGCCAGTCGACTCATAACAGAAGAGCCTACGATGCACGTACAAGATTCCCCAGCAGCGCCCTCCCGCTTCCTCTTTTCCCCAATCCTCGCCGCACCCACATCAAAGGAGCGCTCGCCGTACGCCCATCTGCTGGAGCCGTCGCTCGCACTGCGCGACGCTGCGCCCGCACCGGGAGGCAGCATCCCGCCCGAGACCTTGCGCAATCGTACGGACTTCATCTCGCTCAGGAACGCGGCCATCTTGTCCGTCGGGACGTTCACCGTCGGGTGGCCCTTGCGGGTGCGCGCGGGGTTGATTGGGGCTTCAACCGGCGGCGTGGTGGGCTTGAGGCCTGCACGTGCTGAAGCAAGGAAGGTGCTCGTACGTTCGGCGAGGGACGGACCGAGGATGGGGAAGGTAGGAGCGGGAGGGAATGAATTGGGTGGGGGCGGAGGCGGAGGTGGGGGAGGCGGCATGAGTGACGACGAATGGCTCGAATGTGTTCTCGCGGCAGCAGCGAGCTATTGAAGAGCCAAGTAGATAGCATCAGTGTATGCACGGTAGGCGTGACAGAGAGATGGGCAACACACCTGTGCCTTGAGCTGTGCAATCTCCTGCTCGAGCATGCGTATGCGCGCCTTGTCGCGCTCGCGCTCCTCGGAGTCGCGCGACGGCTGCACGCTCGCCTCGCGCACGGCGCGCAGTTCCTGCTCTTTCCCGCGCACGCGCAGCTCGCCAGATGTGTCCCACGCGCGCTCCTTGCCCTTTGCCTTCGCAGACTTGGTCGGAACGTCCTCGTCTGGTGGCGTATCGCCCTCGTCTCTCTCGGGATCTGGTGAAGGCTCTCTCCTCTTCCTCTTCTCTTTTGTATATATTTTCTCCCTTGCCTTGGGTAGTGGGGGTGGGGGCATAAGTGCCGCGTCCCTGTCAACGAAGTCGGTGCCGTCCTCGTCTCGTGGGGTATCGCCCTCGTCTCTCTCGGGATCTGGTGAAGGCTCTCTCCTCTTCCTCTTCTCTTTTGTATATATTTTCTCCCTTGCCTTGGGTAGTGGGGGTGGGGGCATAAGCACCGCGTCCTCGTCAGCACCGTCCTCGTCTCGCGGGGTATCGCTCTCGTCTGTCTCGGTACCTGATGAAAGCGCTCTTCCCTTCCTCTTCTCTTTCGTGCACATTCTCTCCCTCGCCTTGGGCAATGGGGGCGGGGGCATAAGCGCCGCGTCCTCGGCACCATCTCGGACGGACGCAGCGCCGCCCGAAGACGGGCGTTCGTCGTCCGCCCTCTTCCTCCTCTTCTTCTTCCTTCTCTCCTCCACGCGCGACGGCCCAGCCTGCGGCTCGTCCTCCGGGGTGACCTCGCGCCGGCGTCCCTCCCTCCTCCGCGCGTCACCACGTATCTCCGGGGATGGCCTGACCTCGGGCTCCTCAGCCGCCGGCTGTGGGGTCGAGCTGGGGTCGCGCGAGGCGAAGCGCACGCGGCGGTCGTCAGGGCCTGGCACGGGTAGCGGCGGGGAGTCGGGCATCATCGACGGCGAGCGCGGAAAGAGCGAGCCGGGCATGGTGGTGCCCGACCGCGGGCGGTAAGCCGCAGGCGGCGGAGGGGGCATCAAGCCTTCCTGCTCGCGACGGTCTGACGCCACGCGGGGTCAGCGGGGGGAGAACGCGGTGAGGGGGACGCGACGCACCATCGGTCTCGAGCGGGGAGCGCGAGCGGGATCGGGGCGGCGGGGAGCGGTGGCTGCGCGTGCGCCGGCGGGGCGCAGGTGACTCGCTCTCGGAGTCGGCGTGCGATGCGCTCGAGCTGCGCCGTCTGCTGCGCGAGGCGGATCTGCGGCGGCGGCTCTCTGCGCGGGAGCGGTCGCGCGGGGAGCGTCTCCGCGCGTCGCTCCTGCTCCTGCTCTTGCTCTTGCGCGCATCCGCGGGCCTCTCCTGGTCGGCGTCGTGCTTAGTGCGCGGGACAGCCTGCGGGTTCAACACGTCCGTTGTGCAGGCGATCAGTAGCGGCAGAGGGAGAGGACGGACCTTGGGCTTGGGCTCGGCGCCGGTGGCGGTGTGCACAAAGGACTCGAACTCGCGGGAGACGAAGGAGAGGACGTTGGAGAGGATGCCTGGCGCGGGCGGGGAGGTATCGCGCGGTGGCGGGCCCATATTGCTGTGTGGTCCCAGTCAAACTGCCGGTAAACACGCACAAACAGCGCGCCGCGAACTACTCAACGCCTGCGATGCACGCAGTGGGATTGCATGTACTACTGTACAGTGAGACACGCTGCATAAATTAGCGCACGGCCGTACACGAGCACCAAGTGAAAACAAACAGAAATCAGAATATATAATCGACGTGAAAAAATCGAGGCCGTCGTTCCGGTCATTACTACAGTGGAAGCAGCGCCGCTCATGGATACCCGTTGTTGTACGTCGAGTACCCCGGCGGCGCAGAGCCAGTCGACCCCGCGACCGACGAGCGCACCGCCGCGTACGGGTCCGCGTACTGCATCGTCCTACTCACCCGCGGCGTCTCCATCTCCTCCTCGCCCGCTCCGAACCCGGTCGGCGCCGGGTCAGAAAACGCCCCGTACGCGTCGATGCTCGGCCGCGGCTGCTGCCCCTGCCCCGCGCCCACATTCGGCACGCTCGGGAACGCGCTCCCAGGCCCGTATCCCGTCCTCGGCGGCGCGTACGCGTTCGTGTCCGCAAACGGCGACTGCGCAGCGTCCGCGCCCTCGATCGTCCCCGCGGGCTTGTTCACAGACGTGGCGTAGTTGGACTCTTCATCGTCGTACCCCGTGTCCATCTGCCCGTCGCCGTCCATGTCCATCGGGACCGTGAACGGGGGGTCGCGCGGCCGCGACGACTTGCCGTTGCGCCAGTTGAGGACCGTCAGCACGAACGACGCGACCCAAAATCCTGCACATCGCGTGTCAGCGCGCGACGCGTAGCACAAAGCACAGACAAGGACGCACCGAACGCGAGCCAAAAAAAGATCGCAGCCGCCTTCTTAGTGCTGCACCAGCCGCCCAGACCCGACCGGAAGCTGCTCCCGAGACTCGCGTGCGGATCCTTCAACGAATCCTTGCATCCAGGCTCCGTCCACGCCGAGATCGTTACAATAAACCTGGGCGGCCGTCAGCGGGGAAACTGGGCGCGCGGTCACGGACTGGAAACGCACGAAATGAGCAGGCTCACGGCGACGCCCGATCCGGTGAAGATGAAGCTGACGCGCGGCTCGGCCATCGCGCGGGCGAGGCGCGCGCCCTTGTTGTACTTTTCGTACACGACGGGGACAAGCAGGAGGAAGAGCGGGAAGAGAATGCCGACCACAGAGATGAACACGGCAAAACCGGACAGGCCCGCTGCGCAGGGCGTCAGTAACCGATGCACGTCAAAGGAGGGGAGCAGACGTACAGGGCCCGATCTTCCAATGAGCCTGGAAGGCGGCGACGCTGGCATAACAGCACATGGCGAGGAAATTGAAGAAGGACTGGGACGCGTGGAAGACGATGGCGGGTTTGGAGACGATCATCTGGAATGAGGATTAGCGGGGGCGCACGAGTCTGGAAATGGGATGCGGACCCATATCCATATGGTGGAGAGGACGGGGATGAAGAGGAGGAAGACGAGATAGCCAGCGGTCTGGGTCGCCGCCATCGAGCAGAAGGGCGAGGAGCAAGAACATGAACCTTACGTAAGGCGGTTGCGCATGCTGCGATACGGTTGCTCGTGCCCGCCAGCAGCACCGCCGGAGTGGAGAGGGAAGTAGGAAGGACGAAGACTCACGTCGTCGACAAAGGGAACCATGCCGCCGTTGCCGATACCGGTGGACGAGGCCTGCATGCCGAGCGAGGGTTTCTTGTCGGGAAGGACGCGGGCGAGTGCGTTTTGTATGGAGTCTAGGAGAGCCATGTTGGTGTGGATAGATGCGATGTGAGCTCGTGGACGACGATAGGGTGGAGGGTGAAGGCGATGGTCGTGAAATGCAGCTCAGAGCAGTGAGTGCGTCGTGGCAAGTGAATCGTAAGGCTGTGTCACGCAGTTATCGCACGAGGACAGGAATCAGAACGATAGATGGAGCCTGTGAGATGAAGTCGTATATGTGCGCTCGTAAAGCAGTGAAAGCAGTGTGCGGAAGAGGACTGCGCAGAGGGCGGAGCCGTGTGGAGAGCGTCGTCTGCTTTCGTAAGCACGGCGGCAGCACCGTCGGCGGACCACCCCGCCCGACTCTGCGAGCAGCAGACGGTGACACGGACACCCTGCAGGACTCGACGCACATTTCCTCGATGCCTCATACATCCTGTCCCTCGTCACACATTAATTTGGCCCGCTGCGATGAAGGCCCGTTATGACGGCATAGATTGAGCACGTGCTTCGACGGAGAAGCGCGTGACCGCGTCGCGTTTCGGTCGCGACTGCCTCGTGTCTGGGACCACCGCGCACCTCTCCCCTAAACGCTCTTCACAGACGCTTCCCTATCGCATGGCTCCCCTACGCCCTGTTCAATGGCGTCTCACACTTGACCACAGACGATCCGCAAGTCAGACATGCTTCCGCCTGCTGGCATGACGTCCGAATCAAAACGCACTCGCATCAGCCGCCTTTAAAGCCCCCGTCTCCCTCGTCTCTCTTCCCTACCTATCCCCTCCATCTCGCATCTTGCCCTGCACGCGAATATTTCCACAATTCCTGCAGTGTATCCTTGACGCATATACCTACCAAAATGATTTCACCCACCCTAGCCTCTCTCCTCAGCGGCCGCTCCTCGCCCCCATACTCCCCGGCGATCCCAGACTTGGCCGAGTTCACCAACCCCGACGTGCCTCCGTGCCCGCTCGGGTGGGAATGGTGCAACGACATGCACGTCTGGCTCCCCGCGGACCTCTCCCCCTTCCTCGACAGCACCCGGGTCTACCGCGACGCCGCCGTCTACCCCTCCATGCGCGCCACCCCGCGCCCATCGAGGAAGATCGCGCGCGTGTTCAGCCCCGAGTTCTGGCGCAAGGCAGAGAAGCGCCAGCAGAGCATGCCCTGGGACGAGGAGCAGCGCGGTCCCATCAGGGTAGAGCGCGCCGACGGATGGGTGCACGTCCACGGCGTCACCTTCTCTCAGCTCGACCTCATCACCGTCCCCCAGGCCCAGGCCATGGGTCGGGTGCGTCGTCTCTCTTATGCAGCGTCTCTCTTATTGACCGGCTGGTTTTGCACCATCAGGCGGTGTTTCCCCCAAAGTACAACGGGTACGAAGGGCTCGTCAGTCCTCGCACCGGTTGCTACTAGGCCCTAGTGTTCACTCTAAAATAACCCGTGCTTGGTGTTACACCGCATGGCTCTCGCGCGCTATCGTTCTGCTTCTTTTTCCTTCTCATTTTACTTTCTTCGCCGTGGCTGCGTCTCAGTCAACGACACTGACGACGCGATCACCATTCGATTACGCCCCATGCTCTATGCTTCCTCTTATGCTTTTTTCCCCTTCGCCATGCTATTAATTTTCCCTTGCACGCCCCTTCCACTAACTTTGCAGATCCACCGGACACCCTCAACATGCGCGCGCGTTGGTCACCAAGACTCCCAGGAGCGCAGGTAAGGCCCCGCGTGCGAGTACCCCGTCGAGCGAGGGAGTCATGACCCCGACGACCTCGACGGTGCACCCGTACGCGCCGGGCCATCTCTACTTCCTCCGTCCCCCTCGCCTCGGACGTGCTGCTGAAAACCCACTCTTCCCGAGTTCCGTAGGTCGAGCGGCGCGACGAGGACGTGAGGACAAGCCCGCGGTGAAGACCTGGCTGAACCGCCGTTCGTCGAGGGAGGGCCTGATCACCCCCGGGAACTCGGCGGCGGCGGCGGTAACTATCCATCCTCCGTCTTCTCCCTCTCCCTCTCTTTCTCTTTCTCGTTCCTGCTCTTATCGAAGTCGACGCGGGCTGACGAGACTTGCCCCCAGGCTCTCGTCCCCGGTGCCCGACGAAGAGCTCAACGCTACGGAGGCGCGCGGGGGAAAAGACGCAAGTGGGAAGGGACAGGCCGAGCGCGGGCCTGCTCACCCCGCGCCCGACCTCACCGACGGTGACGCAGCCCTCGTCCTCTCTCATCGCCGCCCACAGACGCTAACGAGGCCAGCCCACAGGTTCCTCGGCTGGCACCGTGCGACGTACACTGGAGAAGCAGGGGGGACGAGCGAGGGCCTGATCACCCCAATGACCTCCGAGCCCCCGACTGACTCGCCTCTCTTTCCGAACGCAGCGCCGCAAGACCGACCCGCCGCCTGGGCGCCCGACGACCCGGCGAGGTACGTGTTTCGTCGTCGCCTTCGCCCCCTTGCTCATATGTCTCTGATTCTGCAGAGGGAGTAGGGGGGCGCGCGGGCGGTGGGTCGGAAGGAGGGAGTTCTGGATTGCGAATCTGGGGCTCCCTCCTTCCTAATCATCCTTGCTCGGTAATCGTCTCTCGCCGGGCCTGAAAAGTATTCGCGGGCCTTGAAGCGTTCCTGCTGGGAACAACGAGCGTGACCTAGCGTGCATCCGACTGTCGCATAACGCATTGATCGGGAGCATGAATCCGAGTTGATAATATGGGATTCGGCGGTGAGCATATGTGACACGCATTCTCCTGACACTGGGTGGCGACACGCACGTTCAAATTCACGGTGGCTGAACTTCCAAACTTTCGTCAATATATGATACACTCCAATCTCGTGCATCGTGCCTCCTCCACAGCTACGTAAGTGAGTCGAGTGTCAATTTTCAAGCTGCCCGTAACGGCGATGAATACCCTCGCACAGGCTGAGAAAGACGCGGAGGAAACTTTCTCAATTTGCCATGGCTCAGAACGGCGGCGTGTAGATGGAAATCTAAGCTACCGCCAAGGACCCGACGTCTCGGAAAAAACAGTGTGGCTCTGGGGTTAGCATACGTACCACCATATGAGTGCGTGCGCGCGCGCGTCCTCAGATCTAATGCCATCCACTGCCACTGCTAGGCTAGCTCCATCGAAAGGCAGCACACTCAATCAGAGTAGGAGGTCACGCCGCCTTCGCTTCCATTGCCTAACCTGCGATTCCACGTCTTCTGGAGCAACCTACCTTCCAATATGGCTCAAGACAAGTACAATTCAATGGCACGGTATATCGAGGCAATTGGGCTTGCTGTTTGTACCTCTACGCCGTTCCACTCCGTTCTTGTGACAATCTCCCGCTAATCGAGTCTCCGGTAATGCCCTCTCTTGTGGTTAACAGTGACGGCGTAGAGCTGTACTATTATGACAGCGGTGTCCCCAAGACCACAGAATCCACCGCTCCTTATATGACACTCTTCGTCGTACATGGCTTGGGATTCAACGGTCGTAGGTCTTTCATTTCCTGTGGGCAAAGATGCCCAATTTGATTTCTGGACAACAGGGCTCTACAAGAGAGTGCAGGCACTCGGTCTTGAAGCCGGCCTGCGCATCGTAGCTATCAATCGCCGCGGCTATGCGCCCTCGACACCCTTCGCCCCAGCTGACCTCGCCGTTCTAGCCACGGGTGGCACAGAGGAGGTGAAAGAGGCATTCCTCACCGCCCGCGGCATCGAGGTCGCCAACTTCATCGACGCCTTCATACTACAGCACGACATTCCGCCGATTTCCGAGGATGGCAAGGGAGGTGGTGTGGGCCTCCTTGGGTGGTCCGCTGGTAACACCGTGACGCTCTCTGCCATTGCTAACTTGGACAAGCTGCCCTCCGAGGTGCAGTCCCGCCTCGCGAGGTACCTCCGGGCTTTAATAATAGATGGTAAGTGGAACATCTTCCATGCGTACAAGAGGGGAACTCATAACCATGGATATTCAGAGCCACCATCCATGGCCATCGGCTTCCCCTTAACGGAAGGATGCTGGCTCTCGTTTCCCGATCCCACAATCCCTGACCGCGAGAAAAACCTCTTCCACTGCTCGTGGGCCACCGCCTATTTCAATCACGGCGACTTGTCGAAGCGCGACCCGAAACTCCTGTCGCTCGCCGCACCCAGCCTATTCCGCCGGCCCACGATATACAGCATGACCATGGAGGACATCGCAGAGCTCATTGACGACAGCGTATTTGAGGGTCCGAATTTATTCCTGTCGATGCCGCAGCATCTGGTGGCTTTCCGCAAGGCGTGCCTTGATCGTGCGACGAGGGCGGGGGTGCCGAAGATGAGAGTCTGGGCAGTGGTTGGGGATTCTACCCTTTCAACTTGTATCCTGGCGTGGTGGACAATGCAGGATGAGGACGCCGCCCATGGTGGGGGCTTCGTCAATTTCAAGATGACAGAGGGTGTAAACCACCTAGTGAGTGCACTCTGCTACGGAAAATATTATCCAGCGGTTGACGGTCGTTTAGATACACTGGGATGACCCCAGCAAGGCATTGGCGATTTATCTCGAGGCTATGGTATAGGTTCGGAACAAATTGTGAATGCTATATCTGTATTTCCTGTAGGTCTGAGAAGCGTGGAGTTTGCAGCGAATCTCGACGCAGCAAATCTAATGGAATATGCTTACCACCCTGAATTCATGATTCTGGCGTGCGTGACAAGGAGGCAATAAGCCATGCAATTGCGTTCCACACCCCTTGAGATCGAGGAACGTGAAACAGATGGGGTGAGTAACCCGGAATGGACTTCGCTGAGACCTGTAGTGGACATCTATCTAAGAGGCCCAATGGACAAAGTGATAGAGGTAGCCTTGGCAGACAAGGTAGTCCACACGGGAGAGAACGAACTCCAATACATGGAAGCTAACCACAGTGCTTGGATAAAAATATTCCAACCTGGGTTGAATAATAGCACTCTCATTGAAGATGAGTAGTACTCGCGTACCAAACGATATATTGAGATCAACCTACTGGTTCTTCAGACCGCGTACACAAATTGGGTTCCGCCAATTCCTAGACTGCGCGAAGTGCAACAGGATCGTGATTGCGAACATAGATCGATCAGAAGAGAACGCATCGCATGAATTAATGGCAAGACGCAGTAGGCGCAACTCAGATATGTTGTCTTTTCAACGATGAAACCGACCTGCACTCGAACACGGATGGGTGCAATCTAATGCCGCTGTAAAGTGTGAGCTCCGAAAGCCGCACTGATACATCCAGTCCTACGGCGCGTGAAATCACCGGCAGCGAAGGAAGCACTAACGATCGGAAACCCCAGTGATCGGTGTGAAATCTTCGTCTTCACGAGAGCGTCGTTTTCTATGAAAGATTGCGAGATGAAGCATTGCGAACTAAACAAGTAGTACAATCCAGCGGTGCACCGTGATGCTTTTGAATATGACGCCTCCTCAGCCGACCACACCGACAATTTATGATAGGTTGTCCGGACGCAGCGAACGCACAACCTTGCCTGTGACACAAATTTCAATGTCAGCGTATACGCAATGGACCAAAAGAGCTCCCCAAAGACGTAGGAAGCACACGCACCAGCTCTCCAAATCTCCTGCTCGTCAATCTCCTTGAGCTCCTTCTCGAGATCTTGGCGGTATGTCGCACGGCCATTGAACTCGAGGCTGCGTCGTGTCTCCGTGCCGTTGCGGACGCTCTCATAGAGCCTCTCAAAAACGGGAGTGTTGGTCTCCTCGAAGACCTTTGCCCAATCGAGAGCACCACGGCGAGCAGTAGTCGAGCATGCGTTGTACATGTAGTCCATGCTGTAAGAAAAAATAAGAGATAAAACGTAATCAGCCAAGCCAATCGTACCCGTGCTGGCCAATGAGCGGATAGAGCGACTGGGTAGCCTCCTCGACGGTCTCGTTGAAGGCCTCGGACGGGGTGTGCCCATTGGCACGGAGGACCTTGTACTGCGCACAGAACAATCCTTGGATGGCACCCATCAACTATCCCACTCAATCAGTGGTGTTCATGCGATAACCAAATTTTACGTATACGCACAACACCACGCTCGCCGTACAGGTCCGAATAAACCTCCTTCTCGAAGGTCGTCTCATACATGTAGCCGGAGCCGATGGCAACACCAATAGCAACGGCCTTCTCCTTGGCCTTGCCAGTCACGTCCTGCCATACGGCAATACTGGAGTTGATGCCACGGCCCTCCTTGAAGAGGGTGCGGACCGTCCGGCCAGATCCCTTGGGCGCAACGAGGATCACATCGACGTCAGGAGGAGGGATGACGTGCGTGTCGTCCTTGTACACAATGGAGAAACCGTGCGAGAAGTAGAGCGTCTTGCCCTTGGTGATCAGCGGTGCAACCTTCGGCCATGTTTGCGACTGGGCAGCGTCGGAGAGAAGGTCCATAATGATGGTGCCACGACTGATGGCTTCCTCAATCGGGAAGAGGGTCTTTCCGGGGACCTAACATGGACAGCCGTTCAAAAACCGTCTGCGGAGTCGAGAGATCCATACACACCCAGCCGTCCTCCACGGCCTGCTTCCAGCTCTCGCCGCCCTCACGAACGCCAACAATGACGTTCAAGCCATTGTCGCGCGCATTGAGACCCTGACCATGGCCCTGGGAGCCGTAGCCAATAAGAGCGAGTGTGTCGTTCTTGAAGTAGTCCTGGAGCTTGGCAAGGGGCCAGTCGCTCCGCTCGTAGACGACCTCCTTAGTGCCAGCAAAGTCCAAAGTCTTCATTCCACGCGTGAGCTGACAAGTGGAGTGAATTAGCTCCGCTAACACGGGTATTGGTGCACTACTTACCGGTACATCACGTCGGGACACTGACATCGCATTCCTCGCGAGCAAGGAGTACGACGCAGTCTGGGCAGACATTGGAATTTTTGCAGCCGCACGGGGAACACGGCGAGTGGCGGAACGGAGAGCCTGAGCAGAGCGAACAGCGAAGGAAGACATGGTGGTTGGCAAAAGAAGGACGTGAATGACTCGCACGCGTCTCGCGATCGACTCAGTTTTAGCCGCCTGACTCTACATGCCAAAGATGGCAAGCGTTCAAGAACGAGTCGTACCGTCAGTGGAAGCTGCAGAATTTTCGTGTTGAGGCGCAGCTCAAGCGCCTCTCGCTCTATGGAATCCTCGTCTACGTTTCCAGCACTTCAAGACGATATGCTGATATTCGACGAAGTGACGGACTAATAACACCCTACCCCCATCAGGAACATCCATTCCGTCTCCTCCACTCTCATCCGACAGGTGGCGTGGGCAGTGAAGCAGCACATTGTTGGACGAACGATCGTTTCGTCGGTAAGACTGATTCAACCTGCGAATCGGTCATCAACGAAGCAGACAGGTATTTGCACACTCACTATGCAGCGTGATAGTTATGTGTTGCATTTCTCAGTATGGCAGTTTGATATGTGGTGTCAGAATATTAGAAGCTTCATCAACAGCACTTAATTGGTCCAGCTCCATGACTCATTCGCAGATAAGTCCAAATGCTGTATATCCGTGTGTGCTTTGAATCGAAATGATGTTGGATTCACTGAAGGTTCGGTAGTAACTCAGCGAAAAGAATATTTTCGAGCAAACGTTCTTCTCGCTGAGTTGCTGCTGAACCATTTACTGCTCCTCTTCTTCCGCTTTGTTCCCTTTTTCTAGATCCGATGAAGCGACTCTGAGTCTCCTCCTACGTCCTTCCCCCACATCCTGCGACAATATAGGGAAGATGAGATGGCTTGATCCTTGCGGAATAGATGTAGAACCTTTCCTTTCATGGATGCTTCGTCCTGCACAGTCCCCCATTTGAACATCGGCCGAGTTGGATGAGCACGCGTCCTTTGTTCCCGGCTTTGTTCTCTGTGACGACGATGATGCACTGACAGAGCTCAGCATGTTCGATGCTTGTATGGGATTGCATTCGAAACAATCCAGCATTGAAATCTCCATACGTTGCAAGGTGAGGGGGCTGCGAAATGGGTATGAACAAAGGCAATAGCAATGCAGTTCGTGACGATCTCGGCTACGGAGATTTGAAGCCCGTACAATGCCGAAACAGGCCCTTACAGTAGTCTCCCAAAGGCAGACTGACACTCTGCTTCAACCTTCGTTCCTCAGCATACCTTACAGGTCCATGGCGCTTACTTGGTTAACAACTTTGCGAATGTTACGGCCAATGCCATGCTGGCCGCCCGGCCAAGCTTTTCCATCGAGAACAAGTCCAGGTCTCGTGATGCTCTGGAAAAGTAACTATGCGAACAGTAATACAGTCACGGTAACTCACGCGTTCTTTGTCTCCCGATCGTGTGTCAGACATTGCTGGCGCCACAGCGTGAATCTTCAATGTTCGTATTATGCGGACTGCATTCTCGTCTTCACTAACTTAGTCTTATGACAGCACGATGACTGATGTAAACGTTGAGTCGGTGCAATACTCTTTGACAACTCTAAATGTCCGTCTTCGCTCTCCCACCTTGACTGCAGATCTTTCACATGCTTTTTGAACAGCTTGAACAACAACACGCTCAGCCAACACGACCACAGATTCGAGCGGTCGACCTCACTGTGCCTTCGCCCCCCGCTCGCTATCCTCCATTAGCCCGAGCCACGACAGAGAGATTCTACGCGCTGGGATGGAAGATTTCAGAAGAATGGTTGAAGGACTTCGCCCGCCGAACGTGCTCTAAAGCTCGAATCAAGCACACACATAGTCTAATCGTTCTCGGACTCGTGATGCTGAAGCGGTACGCGAAGTATGAACACATGAACTGCTTCGTCGTGATACCCGACAACGTCCCACTCACTGCTACCGGTGACGACTCGACCCAACCTATCCTCGCAATATAGTGGACAGCAACGAGATTCTTGTTCTATCGGAGGCCGAACCAAGCACAGTACGATTGGTTGATGGAGATATTTGGTGGCGAACCTCAGTGGTTCAGGGACTCGTTACCGAAGGAGCATTTTCACATTCATGGCATCGAGACATGGTGAAGCCTGTTACCGTTCCCGTCGTACCTATCTCTTCCTTGTGATCCCTTCGTTGCACGCTAGCGTTTCTAGCTCCCTACGTATACATGTTTATGCACGTCAATGGGATTATGAGAATGTGGCCTGAATACGCGGTAGATCACGTGGTCGCGTTTATGTTGGTAGTTGATCTGACTGGCATCTTCTTGAATCTCTATACTCTTCACCATTGGAAGCTTTTTTGTCAGCCTTGGGTGACTTTGTCGGTGTCAATCTTTGGTCCAGAGATTGCTTGATTGCCATCGCATTGACTGCCACTCCCCGGTTCCTAGACAAACAGACTCACACAGGCACGATATATGACTGGTTTATTGGTGTTTTCGATGAAGATTGCGGGACCGTAAGGTTATTCGACGACCAAGGAACGCTCGGAAATCATTACTTTCGGATATTCTGATGCGCGGCGTGTGCGGATGGAGCATGGTGTTCGTTCAATTCGTGTGTACTCCTCAGGGAGTTTTTCACAGCATACATTCAAATCCGTGAACGACGACGTCGCGCATTCCGACCAGTAAATCAATCATTTGTATCGCTAACAATCTACTTGCCTATCCTCGACCTGTAATAACTCCGAAACAGCCTGTGACCAAGTATTTAACCTTGCACCAGAGCAACGGCTTTACACGGCGTCACTTTCCTCCTAGTCGTCAGAAGCATCGTCAAACGCGTCAGTGCCCGAAGCATTCGTTTCTCCAGGCCCTCGCACTGGAGGGTCGAGAAATTCACCGCTCAGCTCTTTGAGGCGAAGGCGAGCAAGTTCAAGAGCTTTTAGTCCATCTTGACTGGTGAGGTGAACGACCCGAAAATCGCGGAATATGTCGTTAAGTTGTCGATGAACCTCGGACAAGGTCTCGTCGTCTTCTCGGTCCTCCTCATGATCGCAACGTTTCTCCGCATCGGTTCCTCGGCAAACTCCGATCACGCATCATATAAAGTGCCGGCATGTTCAGCTTCACCTCACCCACGTACGTTCGCATCATATCGTGAGTCTGTCAAGCAAATTCGAAGTTGTCTTGACCTCAGAGTGCATTCTAGATCATCACCATGGATACAATGCAGTCATTGCGCGGTGCAATGATCAATTTGAAGGTGGGTCTTGCCTACTACACTGACTTGCATCCGCATCCTGATCAGTGGTCTTAGCTCGAGGACAAGGACCGGAGTGACCAGGAGCGTGGCCAGCTCATGCTATACCCAGTGGACATCAAAATACCCTCAATGCCAGCTCGGTTACCACCTCTACCTTCAGATTACCAGACGCATGAGCGACACTACACCTTAGGTTGGAGGATTACGAACAATTGGATGAGGAACTTCGGGATCCAGGCTAGCTCTCGGGATGTCGCGATGCGCACGTCCAATCTATTTTTGCTTGGCCTAAAACAACTGAAGTGGTGGTCTGGCTATAAGCACCTCTGCTCGTTCACTACTCTGGCTGATGGTGCACCAATTCCGCCACGCAGTACCACAGGAGAGGATGCTCCGTCGCAGACGCAGCGCATTATTGCCGTCACATTCTCCGCCACCCGAGAGCTTTTGAAAAGGAGACCCACACAGGCGCAATATGATTGGTTTGTTCAGCTTTTTGAAGAGGAGCCAATATGGTACAGAGATCTACTGCCGAAGGACCGTTGGTACCTTCACGACATAGAGTAGAGCGTCGAGTTGGCAATACTTCGTAAATCAGCTTATATTTTTCTTTCGGACGTCAACTGTTGTGCGTGCTTGTACAGTCCGAAGGTAGAACTTGGTATGCCAAAGCTTGTATCCATCTAGTATGTAGTGGCCTCAGTTCAACTTTAACAGTCCTCACATGACTGACGCGTCGATACGTCACGTGGTCGTGTTGTGTCCCCACCAATGGGCTTGCAGCTGAAAATTCAACCGGTGGGCCCTCAACAACTGCTACATAACATCAAACCCACATCCGGATTTCGGTATAATGTGCACAGGATGTTGTCAGAATGATGTTGAAATGCCCTGATCCCAACGTGAGTAATCAGCACCTCTCGGCAAACTCCGATCACACGCACCGTATAAAATGCTGCATATTCGGCGTCATCTCACCCACATACGTTCACATCATATCGTGAGTCTGTCAAGCAAATTCGAAGTCGTCTTGACCTCAGAGTGCATTCTAGATCATCACCATGGCTACAACGCAGTCATTGCGCCGTGCAATGAACGATTTGAAGGTGAGTCTTGCCTACTACACTGACTTGCATCCGCATCCTGATCAGTGGTCTTAGCTCGAGGACAAGGACCGGAGTGACCAGGAGCGTGGCCAGCTCATGCTATACCCAGTGGACATCAAAATATCCTCAATGCCAGCTCAGTTACCACCTCTACCTCCAGATTACCAGACGCATGAGCGACACTACACCTTAGGTTGGAGGATTACAAACAGTTGGGTGAGGAACTTCGGGCTGCAGGCTAGCTCTCGGGATGTCGCGATGCGCACATCCAATCTGTTTTGGCTTGGCCTAAAACAACTGAAGTGGTGGTCTGGCTATAAGCACCTCTGCTCGTTCACTACTCTGGCTGATGGTGCACCAATTCCGCCACGCAGTACCACAGGAGAGGATGCTCCGTCGCAGACGCAGCGCATTATTGCCGTCACATTCTCCGCCACCCGAGAGCTTTTGAAAAGGAGACCCACACAGGCGCAGTATGATTGGTTTGTCCAGCTTTTTGAAGAAGAGCCAATATGGTACAGAGATCTGCTTCCGAAGGACCGTTGGTATCTTCACGACGTAGAATAGAGCGTCAAGTTGGCAATGTTTTGTAAGTCGGCTTATATCTTCCTTCGTAGGTCGTCCACTGTTATGCGTGCTTGTGCTGTCAGGATGTGGAACTTGGTACGCCAAAGCTTCTATCTATAGTATGTAGAGGCCCCAGTTCAACTTCACAATCCTCGCTCCGAGTCGAGATGCGTGCACCCTTCACTAACGCGTCGATACGTCACGTGGTCGTGTTTGTGGCCAACAACCGCTACATCTGCACAGTATCTGTACGTGAGTCTACAACGAAGGAATGTTGTGAGAACTGCTGTAATACCGGTAGAGAGAAAAAGCTCAATGTTCCCATCTCACCACAGCCACTGAACCGTGAAACCCACAAACGTGAGTCAATCGATCAATAGTAATTATTCAACCACTCCTCGTTCCATCGTAGAGAAAAGACCAATGTGCGAAAGAGGCCCTTCTTATGCATAGCTGCCCCTGCTCATCGCCGGTGACCTCCCCAGAGCCATTCCCGCATTGTTCCTCCGAGTCAACCTCGAACTTAACCATAGACTGTCAGTCTGATCAGCGACGATTCACACGGAGGACTAAAATGCAGCACGTACCCTTCGTCGGGTTTTCATTTCCCTCGCGTTGAGAAAGAAGGATGATTGAGCGAGATTGGCCAGTTCTCGCTCAGTCACCCGCCCGTTCTCGCAAACTTCCTTCCACCCTCCGTGTCATCATCTACAATTACACTGGCGTCGTTGAGAGATAACTCGTCATTTAGCTAGGCAGTACTTACGTGAGGCGACCGAGAAACTGTGCTCCATGGTTCTACCCGATCCTGTTATCGGAGAGACGCATGAGATAGACAAACCCGGTAGGAAGACGTGCGCTTGCTTCGTACCACTTGTTTTACCCTCGCAGTCGCCAGAGACGAGAAGAGATGATTAGGTGAGACGCCTCTCCTGTCTCCTGCGACTTCTTTCCGATACCAATCTGATCAGAAAAACTTGAGTAGCATGGCCTGTTTGATCTAGGAAACATGTATTGCATCACGCGAGGCGATTCACGTCAGTCTTGTCAGTTTCGCATCGTGATGCTCACGATCAATGACCTATCTGAAATCTACGAACCCATCAGTAGCTAGGGCGGTGGGAATCGAAGAAAGCGTACCAGACATTCAACGTCCAACACTCGGCGCAGCAACTGCTTCTGCTCCATCCTGTCCCTGGGGGTTCGTAGACTCTGTCCTGTCAGAATAAACAAGAGCCACGGGATCCAAGATGCGAGAAAATACTGTACCGCCGGGGAAACCAGGTTCGTCGGGGTGATCAGGCCCTCCCCCAGCTTCGCAGGCAAGTCCATCTATCCAGGAGTGTAGGTCGCTCCAGTCTTATCAAGTTGTGCCCCTGCGACGATCTGTTCTCCAATACAGAAGGGTGTTCAGCACGGCTATTACAACGAAGAGAGCACGATTCAAAACGGTCTCTGACGCGGCGGAGACATCGAGGTCGTCAGGTTCATGACTCCCTCGCTCGATGGCTCGTTCGCATCGGAAACCTTACCTATAATCCTCGGTCTTCCCTTGAGGCTGCGCAGCGCGGTTGGTCTCCCGTAAAAAAGCACCTGAAGAAAGGAATCGGAGAGAAATGTCAACGGCACACGAAGCGAATATCTGAGACTCTGTTTTTGGTTTTAGTATTTTTCTTTTTTTTGTAGCGTTTTGGATTTAAATGGATGAAGAAACGAAACGAGAAAGACGGAAAAGTAGCAGGCCGTGAGACGCGAATGCGTCGTCACGGTGGCGATTTCAGCTTGGAGCTCTCCCCGTCGGAGGGTCCGAGACGCGTGTCCGAGCCCTAGAAACTCGGACAAACGTCGCAGCCACGACGAGTTATCTCCAAGCATCCGTCGCCAAAAAAATAGCGGACAGTGAACATCGACACGAACAACCCCGACTCCTCAAAGAGCAGTCTTAGGGAACGCACGGTGAGAGATGTCCGCGCGGCCCCGCGCGACCGCGACCGGGAGGAGCGTGTACTCGACTGGCTTGAAGCCCGGAATGGGCACCCAGTCGAGGTCAGAGCGCCTGCCGGTGCCCTTCACCACCGCGATTTTGTCCTTCAGCGTCGCACCGCTCTTCTTGCCTTCAGAGGAGAAGACGCGAACGGGCTTGGCCTTGGACTTGGGAGGGGGAGAGTGCAGGATCTTGCGGCCGCCAGCAGCCGAAGACTTGCTACGGGTCGGGAGCGAGTTGAAGTGCACGGAGGAGACGCGCACGACGGGCGGGAGCGATGCGCACTTCACGAGATCCACGGTGGGAACCTGGAGAGTTACAGCAGACATGGTAAATGTGTGTGTGGTAGGGTGGGTAGGTGTGAACGGTGAAAATGCGGGAGCGTGTTGTGAGGTGTGGGGGAAAACGAAGGGGGATTTTACACTATACATTGCGATCCCAACCAGAGCAAATCTCGGTCTCACGGAAGCTGTCGGTCACGATATAAATGACAGGCGGATCCGCCTGTCGTTCGTCACGCCAGGGATCTGAAAAGTTTCTCTGAGATTTCAAAAGCCTCAAAAGCCTCAGAGAAACTTTTCAGACGCCTGAGCCTCGAAGAAACTCTTCAGATACCTGATATGATGTACGACATACAAGTCGGGGTGAACCCGGCCCCTTCTCAGAGTTTGGTCTTGTACGAAATCCTGACGGCGAAAGGCAGTCATTTTTGAAATCCGAAGGGATTGAACATGACGTAAAGGTCATATCGAGCAGCCAGATTGTCCAACTTAAATTACACGAACTCGAACAGGACAGTGAAGAAGCATAGATAAGGCACGCAAGCACAGAACAGGTAGGCCTGAAGAAGCTTAAATGCGTTAGTCTATCAGACCATCACTGGCATATACGAGCACACAAGTCCGGAAAAGCTATGCATATGTAACGTCCGCAGGTGGAACTTGTACGGGACAAATCTCGAGAAGACGCACACGCACCACTCGCACTGCGATGGCAGGTTCCGATTACCGGCGGAGAAAGAGGCACCAGAGCGACAGCCCCCTCGACGCCGCCCAGCACCTCCTTCACCGCTGGTGACCTTCATCAAACCCAACTCATGTTGCGAACCTGGGAAAGAGCAAAAGTCAGCGAGGAGCCACATCATCGCACACGGACATACTTACCTGGCGCATGTCTCAACCATCTACCCGATCACCGGCGACAAAGAGAGACCACAGAACGAGCGCCCCCACGACACCAGTTCAGCCATCTCCCTCACCGCCGGCGACCTCCTACCATCCATCCAGTCCTCGTCTGCACTTAGACCTGATACACATTGATTATCAATGAAGATTCGCTGTGCTAGGCGACAAACAGCGCTTACCCCGTGTGAGTGTCAGCTCTCTAGCAGTCACCGACGGAAGAGAGAAGCGACATAGCAAGTGCCCCCACGACACCTGCTCAGCCACTCCTCTCGCCGCCAGTGATCATCCTTGTCCGTATCTGCTATCCAGCACGAGCCTGAGCAAAGTTCGATGAGCCCCAATTTACTCCGGGCAACATGTAGCGCCTACCTGGGCTTACTCGTCAACCTCCTCCGTCACTGATTAAGAAAGAAGCAGCAGAGAGAGCGCCCCCACGACACCCGCTCAACCACCTCTACCTCCGCCAGCGATTTCCCTCCGCATCCTCCAACGCGCAAACCTAGGACAAGCGGGAGCACACGAGTCGACCGTTCCTCTATGTCCCAGGTAACGCTCACCTCGGGCGGAAATATCATCTCTTGTCCGTCAAAGGCGACCAGAAGGGAGGATTGAGCGAGAGCGGCCGTCACTCGCTCAGCCACCCCTTGCCGCCCTCAGTGCGCTCTTATTGCCTCAATACGTTTCGAACTTCCTTTCTGTTGAACTTGACGCCTCCTACCGCACGATCAGTCTGAGAATGCAGCAAGGTGGCTGCGAGATAGTTAGCTCGGCTGGGCTCTACTGTGCCACGATCAGAAAGTCCGCATCATGAAGGAGGATAAGAACGCAATGAAGGCGTCACCGAATGACAATCCATGCGACTTCAGAATTGAACTACCATGTGTCTTCCAATCGCATTCCACCGGAGCCTGTGTTTGAAGTGTGTTATTTAGCACTGTTCTCCAAACGTGCAAAATGCATTAAGCACTGTACCATATCCGGGGAGGCCAAGTTCACCGGGGTGATCAAGCCCTCCCTCAGCCTCGCCGAAACCACACATCCAAGTCGGTCGGCTTCACAGTTCATATCGCGACCTGTACTCATGGAAAAAGCAGGCGCTCAGCATGATACGAACTAACACGATGCAATGATGAACGGCCCCGGACACGTCAGAGGCACCAAGATCTTCGGGTTCATGACTCCCTCCCCCGATGACCCGTCCGCGACGGGGGCCTTACCTGGCCGTCAATCCGCGTCTTTACTCTTCGTGCCTGAGGCTGCCTAGCGCGTCCATCGTCATAAAACCTGAGGCTCAAACAGCAAAACGTTAGCGTGAGAGAAAAAAGCCCAATGATCCCTTTCTTTCTTTCCTGTCGCTCTCCATATTTTGCATGCAAATCGCAGGAAAATAGAGCACGGGAAACAAAAGAAAGAGAACGAGGAAGGATGACCATTCAACAGCCAGTCTCTCCCCGATAGGCTGAGCGGCAGGTTCATCCTCAACGGGTTACCTGAGACGTCCGCACGAGGCCTAGAAACTCGGAGGGACGCCGCAGCCCCCAACGAGTCCCCTGCGCACTGCACGGTAAATCAAGCGCTCAGAACCTGCGAGGACGGTCAAACTCATATTCAAGAAGAAGTTTTGGGCGGGAACGTACGACGAGAAATATCTGAACGCATCTGGGCCACCTCGAGCAGAAGTAGCGCGTATAGGCTGGAATCTTTCGAGGCTCGGAATCAGAATGACACCTCCACAGTTGATATTCTGGCCATTATCGCCGCCCACTTCTTCTACCGCAAGTAGGCCTTGAAGATGGAATCGGATGATGAGGATGAAAGGAGCTTGTGACCACCAGCGGCCAAAGACGTGCATCTCGAAACAGCACAAGACATATTTACCGGAGTGCACGAGTGTGTGAAGGAAAATGACGGAAAAATGTGTTCTCAAGTTGACTAGTTGACTCGAGGATAAGCATATCATTATAATTGCGATTCAAACTATATGGTCATAAATAATCAGTCGGATTGACTATTCATGGCTACATGTAGGCTGAATCACAATCACAACGAGTTACTCAACTCATCAATGTTTGAATCGCAATCCTCTTCGGGGTCCAATGCTGACATACACAAGCAGAGTTCGCAGATAGCCGGAGCACATAGTCTCCCCAGAGGCAGAGTACTACAAAAGATATCATCCCTTCAAGCTTCAAGCTTCAAGTTTTGAGTTGTTGAACGCGCCGAGTGGAGACCGTGACGTGACGACTCCGTGACGTAACAGTGACAGCTCGCGCTCTTCACGTGAGATATGGCGCAGGTGACGTCATGCTGCGCCTTAGCACTCTAGCTATAATATGACAGCCCTCACGACACGTCGAGCAAGTACTTTTAGAATTGTATATAACCATTTCTTAGAAAAGACGAGTAAACAGAATGATGCCTCTCGAGCTCAGTCGTACTTACGCATAACCTCGTTCCCCCTTACGTCCGTCGCGAAGTTGCTGCGCACTCCCTCCTTCCAGTTCGGCTGCTCAAACGTAGACGTGTGGCACCATGGCTTCAGCGTGAGCTCAGTCTCGATGACATGCGCGAAATGCTCAGACCAGCCCTTGCGTGGGAAGGCCGCGGTCGTAGTTTCGATGAGTCGTGGGTGGACGAGATTCGCGCGCCTGCAAGTAAGCTAAGCATCTGTAGCGGACACCCTGCATCGAGAACTTACAGCCCAACATTATCTGAACGAATAATACCTCAGTGATCACCACGCGATGACAACAGCGGCTGGAAAACTTACCGAGGATGGTCGCCAACTGCAAAATCTGTCCGACCATGGTAACGTTCCCTCTGACGAAAACGGGTCAAGACCATCGCGCACACACGTAAATGATTCTATTCACCCCTTCACAAAGATATCCTGGTGCCGGATAATCGCATCGCACACACTGTCTGCCTGGTCCTCATGCCCACCTTGTGCGAGGATGAGCTCGCGCGCAACAATCGCGCCCTTGAACTCGAACGACATCTTCGTTGACGCGAGAAATCGCTCGGCGGTGCCAATGTCATGGAGGAGACACACAAGGTAGTACGTCCCGGAGTCGTACGTCCAGGTAGGGAAGTGCGTCTTCACCAGTGCAGTACCTGCATCACAGCACGCATCAACACAAGATCTACTGCGGATGCGCCGAGGGGTGTTTACCATAGACGTACACCCTGTGGCTGTGATTGTATGTCTGCTCGTCGAGTTCTTTCTTCACAGCAGGGAATAGACGCGTCAGCAGTTCCGGTCGGAGAATGACGCTAGACGCCTACTTTGACAAACGCCTTAACCTGGCGCACGACGGCGGAGTCAGGGAGAGGAAAGTCCGAAGCCACGAACAAGTCTTGCTTTGGGTTGGGACCACTGGCGGTGGGATGATCTTTGAATAGAACATCTGGGTCCCGTGGGACAGGGGTAAACCCGTAGAACACAACGTTGTTGTCCGACATTTCTAGACTGGGAACCAATACTAAACTGAAAGCGACGTAAGCCACTGAGTAAGGCTGCAAGTGTGATATACGCACCAAGTCCTAAACTGCGCGGAGTACGTTGGCAATGGGTACACTGGTCGACCGAGCAACTCTTTTAACCATCTACCTCCCATCTTCTCTATACCCTCACAGCACGTGCAATCTTACACAAGCCCTCCCTCGCTCCCTCGGGCATCCCACCTGCTGACTCGACGAACCATCGATACTCGATAAGCGCTGTGCACAGCGCGAACAACGAAGCTCACTGAAATCCGCCGTAACGACGATCGCACCAATCCTCAGACAACTTACAAACCACAAGAGCTGAAACAACCACGATGCGGGAGGTGACGTGAACATAGGCGAGTGAGCAGACGATGGCATTGGCAGCAGAAATACAAAAGTTACAAACGGACGGGAGAATCATGCACTAGCGGCTAGCCCAGCAGCGGCCGAGGCCATGGCGATGACGGGAATGGTAGCAGGTGACTCGAGTATCTTGTCTGCTATAGCTTCTGTCGTTGAAGTCTCCACCGATGGAGTTGCCGCAGATATAGCAGGTTCGGCCGCAGGCGGACTATGCGTAGTCTTGGCTTTCTTCCTCTTCTTCAGCATAGCTACGAAAACATGAGTAACTAATCAAGGCAAGGGATAAAGCATGAACATACCTGCAGTAACGGCATTCTTGACGTTGTCAACGATGTCTCTGCTCTGCTCCAGATATTCTGTATCGTCGAAGCGGTGTTTCCTTCCCGCAACAGGCTCAGAAGGGCCAGAACCGTCTGACGAGATCCCGAGCTTCTTCTCCAGCGCCTCCAATTTCTTTTTCTGTGTCTCCTGCTGGGCCTTCTTGCGCTCGGGTTCACTTTCGATGTACTCTGCGAGTCTGCGGCGGAAGACGTGAGTCAGTCGCACAGTGCAAACGTGAAGATCACAGCGTACCTCTTGGCTTCCTTGATCGTGCTCAGACGCCTGCCACTGAGATCTCTGCACGAGTCGTTGTTACTCGTTTTCTGGCTGCTCATACGGCCACCAGCGGCTCGCAGCTGCGACCCGAAACCGCCCTTGCCGCCTCTCAGCCTCGGAACCAGGCGCAAGCTCACCAGAGCTGGGCCATTGCTTCCCTCGTCGTCTGTAGCATACAGCAACGACAGTGGAGTCTCTGGAGATGGAACTGAGCCGCGGTGCGGGGATAGGACCAGGTCGGAAGGAAGTGAGGGATAACGATCGGCGAGGAGGCCATCAAGGGCAGAGAAGGGAGTATCCAGCGGCGCTGAGAGGGAAAGTGTGGGAAAAGGTGGGAAGGTTGAGACGAGGATGGAGGCAGACATGGTGAAAGACATGCACTAGATCTGAAGGTAGGTTGGTCGATGAGGTAAGAGTAGAGTTGAGAGTCGGCAGCAAATATTGCCAAACAGAGACTCGCCGCTGGATCACATGACAACGCGTCACAACTGCATCCGCTTGGCACCCGCTACCAGTGGCATTTAAAGTCCCACTCTCGTAATTTTGAGCCCCATCACACTTCTCTTCCCTAAACCACCATACCTGAAGTTACAGGCTCTACCTGAGCAGTACTTGACAATTGAGAGCATCTACAATGACCGCACTCGATTTGATTCAGCAAGGAATTACACCCTCCTTTGAATGGCCTGTCAAATTCGGCTTGTACACTACCGCTGTGGCATATGTCCTCTCAGTGATTACTGGGAATGTCTCGCAAGTTGACAGGATATGGACCTTCATGCCGACGATCTACACCGCGTATTTCGCGTTGCTACCTCTTTGGTCGCACGTTTCGCCTCTGCCTTTGTGGCCGTACAAGCCGGAAGTCTTGGATTCTCATGTCGCAGTGAACTACAGTCAGAGGGCTTTGCTCATGTTTGCATTGGTGGTACGTCATTATCCAATGTGTCTGTTCCTGAACTCATTCCTGTTCTAGTTCATATGGATGAGCAGGTATGTTCACATCACTTTCCGAGCAAGTATAAAATTGAGCACACGTCGTCGTTAGGTTATCATACAACACTTGGAGGAGGGGCCTGTTCAACTTGCAAGCTCAGTTTTTTCTTTCGCGTGAGATCATAACTTGATATACTACTAGGCATGACGAGGACTACCGCTGGGCAATTGTCCGCAAGAACGTCCCATCACGGTTTCTTTTCGAGATTTTTAACCTCGTCTTCATCGGTAATAAATGAATATATAGTGTTTGAACAGACCTGACTTTTCGACCGTAGCGGCGATGCAGAACGTCATCCTGTTCCTGCTCGGCCTGCCTACGCATATCGCCGCCTTCCAACAGCCCACAGAGCTCAGCACATCTGATTATGTCCTTGGTTCTCTGGCCCTACTCGACCTTGCTCTGGAATTCGTAGCAGACAACCAGCAGTACTCCTTCCAAACGTTCAAGCACAACGGTGTGCTCGAAAAGAATGACTGGCCGGGCGCTCGGATCCAGTGGACTGAGGAGGACGCCAAGCGCGGATTCATTACGCGCGGGCTCTGGGCATGGTCCCGACACCCGAACTTCTTTTTTGAGCAGACTTTCTGGGTATGTGCCTTTTGTCACCGCTTCTCTGCGCGTCCCTAATGAGACTCTGTTGCACAGGCAATCATCACACTCTTCCCGCTACTTGCTCCTGAAACCCCTAGCCTCCCGACTCTCCCTATCACATCTATGGCGCCCCTCTGGCCGTTGACTCCCGCGTTCGTACTCTGCTCGCTCTTCATTTCGTCGACTTCCTTCACGGAGAGTATCTCTTCGCCCAAGTATCCCGCATACCGCGCGTACCAGAGGCGCGTCGCGATGTTCGTGCCGTTCCTTACGCCTGTATGGGGCTTGTTCTTGAAGGTGCGGGGCAAGAAGGAAGAGGTGGACGAACTACTGTTCGGAAAAGGGAAGAAGACCGATTGAGCTGGCTACCCGAGTGATTGTCGTCTTGAGCTCGTGTCGATTGATACCTTGTATTTGACTGTCTATCCCATTTGCTCTGTTTGTAATGCTTTTTGATATAGTTGTATAGGATATTTGTTGAACGGGTCTAAGGGGGGATCGAGACAATAGTCGCTTAGGCTCTCGCGTTTCGACGGCCCCATGTACGTTCTCTTGTACCGACCCTCACTCTTTCTGGGCGGACGAGGTCGTTCGTTCCTTGTTCGCCCGCCGTTATTACAGTTACTACGGTCCTTGTCACTGCTAACTGTTTTGGACGTCTACGGCACAGAAGTCATTGTGGTCATTGCACATAACGAACAAGGTAGAATAAATTGTCGAATTGAAAATGAAATTTTTGCTCAGATACTTTTCGTAGAGAGGAAACACACCTCGATCGCGAGTTGCTGGCCACTGAATCGGCACAAGTCATGGCGAAGGCAATTATCTTGTCCTGCGATGAACCCGCTTGCTCCGAGGCGTAAGTCCTCACCGTCTGCAAAAATTATCTAGCATTTATGGTTGGTTGTATGGATGCAACTACTCCGTATGAGGTCATGGTAATAGACGGTGAGGTGAACGGCCTGCATGCTTCGGCATTTCTACTACGAGTTCAATACGGTCACCTTCTGCTTCAATTTACACATTTAATCATTTGATTATTGTACTATGCTCGATGGGGTGGTGTAGTAGCTGTCTGTCCATGTTCCATGGTAAGATCGGAAGCCCGGTGGTAATATAGTAGCTACGTCAGATGGTCATCCTCCATGTCTCCACTGCCACTCACAGCATCGCTAGAGCTTCCTTCACTTTCTGTAGATACATCCTCATCGCTCCGATCCTCACCGCCATCGCTCTCTTCGCTCTCGACATCCTCGTCATCATTATCAGTGGATTCTTCGTAGAATTTATCCAAGTCAGTCCAAGGCGCTTTTGACCCAGCAACAACGTATGACCCGGCAGGAGATGGTCCAGAAGGCGTTAAAACGATGGACGAAGGGCCAATGATGGGTGCCACAGAGTAGGGCACCGACGGTTGACCTACCGAGGATTGCAGACTGGGGATTAGAGATGCATCATCTTCAGTGTCTCTGAGGGACGATTCTGTTCCCTCCTCGAGCCAATCCGGAAGATACGCATCGTTAACCATCGAATCCTTGCCGGTGATTGCTGCCAAGGAACCAAAAGACATAGGATTGATGTCTGTACCGTTGATGAATGAGCTTAATGAAAAACGACGGAGTGAATATAACAGCACGGTTTACAACGGTATCTTCAGATGGATCGACTTTGCCTGCGAAAAGCACCATGCGAACCTGTTCACGTCGTAGGACTACACCCCCTTGTTCCTCGTGATCACCACCGTCGTATAGGCCGGAGGAAACACCCGCCATGAGCGAGGCCAACGTCCGCGCACGATCACGCACATCAAAATTCGAATCGTAGCGAGCCATAGAAAAGATATAGCGATTGAGGAAACCAATCGTGCGATGAGCAGGGCTTAAGGTAAGAAGCTTGGCGGCCAAAGTCATTACTTGCAATTTCACTACGGGTGCCTGGTGTGAAACGCACCGAGTGGACCGTCAGTACGAGTGGAATAACCAGAATCGTGGTATAATACCTCTTCAGAGAACGACTTAGCCGACTTGCGAAGGAGGTCCGGAGCCCATCTCGCGCTATCCTGCAGGCCTTCGCGTTGCAGACTGTCGTCTCTGGTCCCTGTGGAGGCGTATTGGCCCGCAAGCCAAAATACACATGCTCTTGCTTTCGGGTGGTGGATATCTTCTATGTGATACGCCAGACGAGCAATGATTTCAGATGCCGACGTGGAGACGTTGGGCTGCTCTTGTCGCAATTGCATCTGGATCAACGATTTAAGTACGATTACCGCATGCGCGACAACCACATCTATTGGTCTGTTAGAAATCAAGCAAAGGAAAATCGTCGACAAGGAAACAGACTGACCATTCTTACTCCGAATGAATGACATTAGAGCAGTAAGACATTGCTGTGTAGCTTCTGGGATGGACCGAGCACAATAGCCGATCGCTTGTATAGTATCAGAAACAACTTCATCATCTGCATCGTCAGTGTAGACCTGTCATAGCTTGATCAGAACAATGTAGCCAATACGCAATCTTCATTAGAAAACGCAGACTCACGATGAATTCCCGCAACAATGACTGGTAGTTTTCCATGGAAAGGACCGCGCGCAATAACCGAACCTTGTCTCTCTTCACTTCACGTACATCTTGTGCCCGTACTAGGAAACGACAATAGTAAGGTGCGAGAACATGCTAGATGGAGACCACGGGGACATAAGTAAAAGAGAACACGTGCAATGACGACCATCGTAGTTACGTACAGGAAGTGACCGTGAAGCCACCATGAGATAACCAAGCACGACGCGCTCCACTTCTGGAGATATGTGGAGAAGGCGAAGCAGAGGCGATATCAACTTCGACAATTCTGGCGGTGGAGCAAGAAAGTAGAACGCGCGGGAAACGGCCACCACCACCTGTAATAACGTTACTCAAGGTATAATATCCTTCACGAAGGTGCTCACAGCGGCATTCTGCGACAGCAGCAATGGCTCCGAGGACTTTAGCAAGAGATTGAGATCTTCATCGACTTGGTACTCAGAGTCGACTTGTGGTTTATGTGGCCGTGGAAGCATCGTTCGCGCGTATCGTACCAGTATATTCAGCAGATCGACTTGGCCCCATTCGTCCACATCAACCAGCGTTCTGCACAGTCGCCTGTAATGCTGATGAAGTAGATCGAGACGAGTGGGACAGACTGCCCCAAAGGCGACAGCTACTCCGCCCAAGGACAGCGGCGAATGATCACGCCAAAGAGTGGCAATGATACTGATCAACTCTGGTTGACGATTCGAGTCTAGACTGTGGTATTATAAGGTCAATAGGTGCAAAAGAGGTGCTACATAACTGAAGACTGACCTAAAGCATTTGGGAATGGCAAGGGCCGCAGCTTTCCTCACATACGGGCTGATATCTGCAGCGCACTTCTTGATCGCCAAAATCACTATGCTCCCAATCATTGGAACTTGTATACCGGAGAGAACACGGAGAGCCATGGCACGAATGAGAGGGCTAGGATCTGAAAGGTCCTTCTGGAAAGTATTGATAGATAGAAGAGCGAGATCCGGTTCCTGCTCAGCATAACGAAGTAAGTAGATGTAAACCAGTTTACGAATTTCGAGATTTTGAGAGGCCACGTTCTTGACCACTTGCGCGAAGAACTCTGAGACATTGCGGCCTTTGGAGATCAACTGGATGACATCAAATAAATACTGTTCTCGAACAACAGCAGCTAACATACCGCAATGAGCCTTTTCATTGCGTCTAACTTCTCTCGTTCACTGTTAGAGTCGAGCTGTCTCCTGATGTTCTTGACTTTCTCATCTGGACTGTCGAGGTATGCCGAAGTCGAACCTCGAGCGAGATCTCTGGTATGCTCTGAGAGCGTCTCCTGTAGGCGCATGCCCAACCTTGACGCATTTTCCGAGATAGCACTCAGGTTCAAAGAGGCCATATTGCAGAACGTCAGAGTAGTTAGCCGCGCTTGCGATCGTCGAAGTCAAACTATAGAAGGCAAGATCTAGATCAGGGGGAGTCGGGGACACCCGACCACGGACTCGGAATACTGGCTCGGAACCCTTACACAGCACCATTCGTGAGCTGGAACAGCAAAGACTGAACCTCATTCACTACCAGAACTTGATTATGCCGGACGCGACGATGGAGGTCGAGATAAACGAGGAGCTCCAGCGAGAGAGAGATATTCAGGAAGAGGTGAATGCTGCCATCATGATGAAACAAATGAACAATACGCTTTCTGCCGTCCTCTCGTGAGTGTTGGCGACACTCTTATAGTTGTTATGGCTGTGTTTACAGTCTACGTCCAGGAATGCACTGTGTACGTTGCCTATGTTGGTTCATCGACAACACCCTGCCGAGACGAAGCAGCCATTACCTGTGCGGATTCCGCCTCTCCCTGTAGAGATATTCAGTGTATGGTACAAGTCGTTTTGCACGGAGAACAACATTGTGCATATTCCTGCGCTCATGTCGCACGATGGTCATCAGATTGACCTGTACGCGCTCCATGTCGCGGTAGTAAACGCGGGTTTCTATAACCGGGTAAGGCGGCGTACTTCTCTTTCCGGTGATTTCCATTGACACTGTCGCTGTAGGTGGCTCAGAATGACCAGTGGCCCGTGATAGGTGCCAAGCTGGGCTTCGTACAATTTCCTGCAAGTAACAGTGAGCCTGCCAAGTCTGGCCCTGGTGTGGCGCAACATGTGGAGGACGTATACGAGCAATATCTGTATGCTTTTGACGGGTTATATCTGCGTTCTTGGCTTGACAAGTGGAGCCGGCAGCAGCAACAAATGCAGGCCGTGGCGCAAGCACGCATGCGCCAGACGCTCATTCCTGTACAAGGTGCTGTTTTGAATGGGCGCCCTCCCCAATGTCCCCACGCATTGCCTAGCCAAAATGGACAGGACACAAATGGAGCCCCGAATTTGGCTGGCGCGTTGGACCCCCAGCAGTTCAACGAAATTCTGCAGTACGCCACGGTACCGACTCCAGAACTGCGAAGGCGGAACGTCCCCGCTCGCATTATCAACTTGGTGGAAGCAAATCGTCCACTCTTACGGTCCTTGTCGCAGCGCGAGTTAGGCGGTGGGGTCGCTGACAATGCTCAGCCTACTCCGCAGCAGCACCCGATGCCCTCGCTATATATGAAGCAGCAAGGTCCTGTTGTGAATCCCGTGATGGCCATGCGGAGCGGACAGTCTCAGATTCAACAGGACTCATCTGAATCTGCAGGCCCAGCGATGACTGTCGCCTCGGTGGCAGCTACAGTACCATTCCGGCATCGTACGCAGCCTGTCACGGAAGAGGAGTTGCAGAATAACTTGCGCTTGATCAATTCGGCCAAGTCGCAATTTATAAGTTGTGCGTTGCTCTTGTGTAACGGGGCATGTGAAGGCTAACATGTTGACAGTCGTGCTCGAGAGGACCCCTTATCATATACCTGACGATCAGAAGGCCCAATTCAATGCGACGTTGGAGGAATTGTGTCGCTGTGCAATCGAGACGGAACCCATGCTGCATATTTATCTTTGTTACATCGATAAGAAGGCCGTCCAGAGGTTGACCATGATGGTATGAATGTCTCCATTGGTTTTCACTACTACGACTCACGCTCCGCTTGGCAGATTGCGATTGCTCAGCAGCAGAGGAAACTTTTCGCTTCGTCGCAGTGTGTAAAGCGCTTCCAGCACATGCGAGAAATGATCATTCAGATGCAAGGCACGAGTGAGGCTTATGCGAAATATACACCATTATCGGCATCCAGCACCTCTCCTTCCCATTCGGCTGCGCCATCAACCGACCTTGGTGTTGCACCTCCTCCATCATTTTCTCTGCCTTCCTCGCATACTATGACCGTTCCCCCCCAATCGCCGCAGCAGGGTCTACAATCTCATCCGCCTTTCCCAATGCCAATATAACGCAGCAGGGCCAGTCGTCTCCAGATGTGTAGACAACCACGATGTCTGCCACACAGCTGCACACCAACTTGACCATCCCAGTGAACAGATCAGCCTATCTCCTTGTTACCGTCCATGACCTCGCTCTTTCCTTTCTCTCCATTCCGACGACCTCGCTTATGGCATTGCCCCCGCCCCTCCTTACGCCGTATCTTCACGAATACCCCTCTCAAGATGGGCATGATGATCTTCATTTTTACAACGTTTTTCGGAGGCATCCTCTGGCTATCAGTCGGTGTCATCCTCCGCTCTCACCCCGATCACACTCTTTCTAGAATTTCCTTTTGCTACTTTCCTCCTAGGTTTGAGATAGCCATATGCCCGAGCTTGTTTTCCTGCGCCTCGAACGATGACAATTGGCCATGCGCCCACGTCATTGGTTGCTTTTGCTGCTTTCTTACAAATCCATGCTTTTGCTGCTATCTCATTGCTTTTGCTGCTTTCTCATTGTTGTACATCCCGCGACATATATCATAGGCCTAGTATCACTGTGTCTGCTCGCCGCTGTCTTCCGCTACTTGTCACGTTCTATTGTCGTCACTATCTACCGCTTGTATCGTCTCGTCGCTAGTCATTAAGTCGTCTCGTCGTATGATATATCATCGTCTCTCATCCCTCACGATCATTATTACCTCGCTGGTGTTCCCCCACTCTATATGGGTTATATTGTAGTCTACCTACGAGACAGACATTATGCAACATCCTTCCGCATACACAGATGGTCGTGACTATTCTGTAAGTGATCGAGGTGTTGTTGTAGCTGATTGTAATTCAAAGCAGCCGGGAGTCAAAGCGCGGGATTCCACACGCGCCGTCCATCGAGGGACGGTGTAGCTACTATGACTGTTGCTCCTCTACCCGGAGAAGCCAATAATACGTTGTCTCTTATGACCGCTCCAGCTTAAATAGCATGTCATGGAAAAACAGTTTTTGCAAGTTCTGGACACCGTTACATCCCAATAATTTTGTTGCTTGTTCTAGTGTAGAATATGTGAAGAAACCCAGAAGACCGATTGAAAGTTACTCTGGATACCACTACCGTGATTGTAAATAAATGCGGTGTACTGGTACCCCACCTGAAAAGGTAAACAGTGAGGGCCCTGAGAGGCAATTTTTTTTGCAAATACATTCAGTATACAGACAGTACATAACAGGAGAACACTCTGCGCACCAGAGAGCTACGGAGATGCGGCAGAAACGCGAGACTTGCATGGGTAGATGAGAACGCGTCGACGCGTCGCTGCACGTGATTTGCCTATAGACGCCAGACGCGGTCCCACGGTGGTCCTGAGGAACGAAGTCTGCCTTTGGGAGACTAAGTATATATTCGGGTCGCCACTTGGAGCTCGTTCCCTCTTCTACTTCGTACTCGACCATCGCCAGGGCTGCCTTGCCACTCTCTCTCTGTGATTGTCTCTGATCGCCCCCGCGTCCGCTGCTGCCACCCCGTTCGACATCGCCATGGCTGATCGCCTTCCCCAGCAGTCTTCCGCCAACTTCCCCGGCTTTAATCCTCAACAGTCTAACGGCCTCCAGCAGCTTCTCCAACAGCTCCAGGTCGATCCCGAGACGGCTAACCAGTCTCTCTCCGCCCGGACCCGCATCTCGTCCCATATGCTTCAGCAGCAGATGTGTCTACAGGCCGCTCAGAATAACTTCCCTCCTCCCTCCATAGAGCAGCAGCCAGTGAGTCTTGTTTCATTTGCCTAAATCATTACCTTATTCGTTCGCCCATCGCTCTGCTGTCTCGCGCTCCCTCTTTACCTGTATTACTTCCCCCATCTCATCGAGCCACGGTTCGTCCATATGTGCATCTTCCCACACCGCCATCGTCCGTTCTACTACCTCCACCCACTACTACTTATTCACGCCCGTTTACTTACGTCATCTTCCACATTCTTCTCGCTAACACCCTCTTGTCCACCCGCGTAGGCAACCAACCCATTCACGAACCAGCGGATGTCGTTTGGCCTCCCCCCTCACGTCCCTTCCTCCCCCTCCCATGTCCAGGCTCGCGTCATGCACCAACAATCCGCCGATATATCTAGGGGTGCGGCGTTCCCTACCACACTGCAAATGCAGTCCCTCGCGTCGCGCAATCCCCAGATGCTCCAGCAGATGCTGCACGACCAACACGCGATGCAGAATCACGCGCTGCAGAGCCAGGGTAACCAACAGTCGGAGCTTGTGGGCCTCGCGCACAACCCACAACCACAGAATGGCAACCCCGCTGCCATGGCGGCCTTGCGACAAATGCAGCAGCAGGCACAGCAACACCAGCAGTCGCACCAGCAGTCTCAGCAACAGCAGGAACTATACCAGCAATCGCAGCCCCAGCAGCAACATCAGCCCATTCCGGATGCCGCTCGGGGGCCTTCTGCACAGCAGAACTTACAGCAACAGTCTGGCGCACTCGCTCCTTCGCCTTCCGGCATGCCGCAGCAGCAACATGTCCCAAGATGCCCGTTTTCGTTCATGGAGCTTAGGACGCGGATGGCCGCGCTCAATAACACAATTCGTGAGCTGGAACGGCAGAGACTGAATACTCACAATCAGAATTTGACTATGCCGGACGCGGCGCTCGAGGTCGAGATCGGGAAGATCAACGAGGAGCTCCAGCGGAGGAGAGATCTTCTGGAAAAGCTGAGTACTGCCATGCAACAAATGACCAATGCACACTCTGCCGCCCTCGCTGCAAATCAGTGAGTGTTGTTGGCGACGCTTTTATTGTTGTTGTGTTGTGCTTACGGTCTACGTCCAGGAGTGCACTCCGCACGTCGCCTGTCCAGTCGCAACAGCACCCTGCTGCTACCCAGAACGACCAGGGTCACCCTCAACAAGGTTGGCCGTTGCAGACAGGTGCCTCGCAGACGCCTATGTTTCCCTTTCAGCAATCCGCCGCGCAGATTATGCAATCAGGCCCGTCGCAAGCATCGAAGGTACCACAGATGCCGCCACAAGGGGAGCAGATGAACCAGTTCTCTCCGAACTCGATTTCCATGCAGTTCCAGCCAGGCGCTGGTCAATCGTCTCCAAACGTGATGTCGACGCCGTTCCCGGGTCATGTGCCTGCCCAGGCGACGCCGCCGCCGCCGCCGCCGCAACAACAGCAGCAGCATGCCCCATTGCGTGTGCAGATCCCGCCTTTGTCTGCAGAGATATTCAGTTCAGCGTACAAGACGTTTTGCACGAAGAACAATGTTGTGCATGATCCGGCGCTTATGTCGCACGATGGTCGTCCGATTGACCTGTACGCGCTCCATGTCGAGGTAATGAACGCGGGTTTCTATAACCGGGTAAGGCGACGTACTTCTCTTTCCGGTGATTTTCATTGACGCTGTCGCTGTAGGTGGCTCAGAATGACCAGTGGCCCGTGATAGGTGTCGAGCTAGGCTTCGTACAATTTCCTGCAAGTAACAGTGAGCCGGCCAAGTCTGGCCCGGGCGTGGCGCAACATCTGGAGCACGTATACAAGCAATATCTCCATGCTTTTGATTCGACATATCTACGTTCTTGGCTTGCCAAACGGAGCCAGCAGCAGCAACATGACGTGCAGCAGGCCGTGGAGCAAGCGCGCATGCACCAGAAGCTCATTCCTGTTCAAGGTACTGTTATGAGTGGACGCCCTCCCCAAGTTCCCCACGCATTGCTTAGCCAAAATGGACAGGACGCTAATGGAGTTCCGGGTTTGGCTGGCGCATCGGACCTCCAGCAGCTCAATGAAATTCTGCAGTACGCAACGGTACCGACTCCAGAACTGCAGCGGCAGAATGTCCCCGCTCGCATTAGTGACTTGGTGGAAGCAAATCGTCTGCCCCTCGTGCGATTGTTGCAGCGCGAGTTACGCGATGGGGTCGCTAAGAATGCTCAGTCTACTCCGCAGCATCACCCGATGACCTCGCCAGATATCGCGCAGATAAAGCAACAAGGTGCTGTCGGAAATCCTGCGATGGCCGTGCGGAGTGGACAGTATGAACTTCAGCAGAACTCATCTGGATCTGCAGGCCCAGCGATGACTGTCGCCTCGGTGATAGCCACAGTACCATTTCGACATCGTACGCAGCCTGTAACGGAAGAGGAGTTGCTGAATAACTTGAGGTTTATCAATTCGGTCAAGAGTAGTGCGTTCCTCTTGTGTAACGGGGCATGTGAAGGCTAACATGTTGACAGGCGTGCTCAATATGACGCCTCGTCCTATACCTGACGATCAGAAGGCCCAATTCAATGCGGCATTTGAGGAATTGTGTCGCTGTGCTACCGAGACGGACTCCAAGCTGCGTCTTTATCTTTGTTACATCAGCCAGGAAGCCGTTCGGAAGTTGATCGCAATCGTATGAATGTCTTGATTGGTTTTCACTGCTACGACTCACGCTACGCTTGGCAGATTGTGTATGCTCAGCAGCAGAAGAAACTCCTCGCTTCATCGCAGTGTATAATGGACATCCAGCAAATGCGACAAATGATCATTCTGATGCAAGGCACGAGTGAGGCTTATGCGCAACATACACTATCATCGGCGTCCAACACCTCGCCTTCCCACTCCGCAGCGCCTGTGCCATCACCCCCTCCACCGTTTGCTCTGCCTTCCTCGCATACTACGATCGCTCCTACCCAGTCGTCGCAGCAGGGTCTACAGTCTCGTCCGCCTCCCCAATTTACGTCACAACAGATGTCATATCCGACACAACCTCCGTTGCAGCCGCCTCAACACTCTCAACCCGCGCCATCGCAGCAGCTGTCACCTTCATCCCAGCCAATTCCACCTACTCCGTCATCGCACCTTGCAGCTACCGGTGGTGTCGCAAAGAATGCTCAGGCTACCCCACTGCAGAACCCGATGCCCTCACCATACATGGCGCGCATAACGCAGCTAGGCCGGTCGTCTTCAGACACGAAGACGACTACGATGTCTGCCCCGCCTCTGCACATCAATTTGACCATCCCAGAGAACAGCCCCGCCCACTTCCTCATCACTGTCCATGACCTCACCGCAGCCACCTCTGTCCTTTCTCACCCTTCCGACGACCCCCCTTATGGCATCGCCGTCTCCTTCCGCCCCTCCTCCCGCCGTATCTTCATGAATACTACTCTCAAGATTGTCGCAGTAATCTTGGCAGCGTTTCTCGGAGGCATCCTCTGGCTGGCCGTGTCAAGTCTTGACGAGTCCGTATCCGTCTCCGCTCTTACCCCGATCCGTACTTACACTTGTTCCAGAATGGACCTCGTAGGGTAGGCGCGTTGGCGGTCCGTGGATGCAGCGTCGCTTGCTAGGATCTGCGTCGTGGCTATCAGATGCTTGGTGCGCTCGGTCCTTCCTTTTGCTACTTTCCTCCTGGGCTTTGGATATCTATATGCTTGAGCTTGTTTTCCTGGGCCTCGTACGAAGACGGTTGGCCATGCGTCCACGTCATTCGTTGCTTTCTCATTCTTCAGCTGCTTTCTTAGAAATCTTTGCTTTTAATGCTACCTCATTGCTTTTGCTGCTTTCTCCTTGTTGGTCCCCGCAACGTATATATATCCATGTACCATAGGTTTACTACCACTATGTCTGCTCGCCGCTGTCTTCTGCTGCTTGTCTTGTCTTGTCGTCACCGTTTGCTGTTCGTAACGTCTCATCGCTACAGTCTTTCGTCTCGTCGTCTGTTGTCTCATCGTCTCTCACCTCTCGCTATCATTACTTCGCTGGTCCTCCCCCAATCAATACGGTTATATTGTAGTCTACCTAGGGGAGACAAACATATCGTACAACATCCTTCCTCGTAGGCAGATAGTCATGACTATCTTGTAAGTGGTTGAGGTGTTGTACCATGTCATATTGTAATGCAAAGCAGCGGTGCGTCAAAGGGCGGGGTTCCACACGCTCCGTCCATTGACACTTGCATAAGGCGTAGTGTCACGCACCACGGCATCAGGGGCGAACCTCTCAGCGAGAACCGCAAGACGGGAGCGATACTCGTCCACGCCGATATATGCGCCGCACATTCGCCGCTTGCCACTGAAGGCAGATCGCCCATGGAGCACGCGGTGGTTATCCACGACTGTATCGATAATGTCATCAGATGCAGCCCAGTCAGAGACGAAGTGCAGACTTGCCGACTGAAGTGCCCGGCGAAAGTTGCACCCAATACTCGGAGTCGGAGCTCGTAAGGAACTTCTGCCACAATCTGATCGCATCGTACCTAATCGAAGAGCAGTGAAACGCCATCCCTTCCACGTAAGACACTGCACGCACCATTCCTCGACCAATCCAGGTTCTAGGTTCCGCATCACACTGCGGTCATCGTTGTTCCAGCGAACCTGGACCAGCTGTCCTCCTTCGTGCTTTAGAACTGGAGAGCCGCCCATACTAGGGGTATACAGAGCACTAGGTTCGCCAGCGGCGTGTGCAGGTACGGGAACGGTAGACAGCAATTCGTAAGCTCTAGGGTGCAGCTCCTTCAAAATTGACGCAACATAGAAACCGTCTACAAGAAGAGTTGCGCCGCCCGTGCCATCGGTATGCGACAGCAGGTGGAATAGTTGTAGACCACAGGGATCTGTCTATCACGGAAAATGAGGACTGAGTGGAATATTTTGACCAGGAGTAGCGGACACGCACGAAGTAGGTAGTATCGGTGTGCGCACCGAGTGCTAGTGTGGTATAAGCGGTGTCACCCTTGGCAAGATCCGAGGTGAAGTCCCAGAATGTCCCGTCTACAGACAACTGAGTATAACAGACAGCCGCAAACTCAATGAAACGCACATTGTGTCTCGCGGATAAATCCAATACGACGGGAGAGCTCCTCAGTCGCCTCCGGCGTTGGAGGGACATCTGTGATGAAAGAAAAACCGAACTTGTCCTACATAGGGAGGCGTGAGCGAAGCAAGTCGGTAGGTTCGCGTAAAACTGACAATGTTCGACAGCCATTTAAATACACCTCGGTCATCTTCTAACATTGCTTCTTCGAACGTTACGGTTGGCGGGGATTGCTGAATTTTGGATCCCCAAAGGATTTTTCTGTCGCATGGCACATCGATAATGCAAGAGTGAGAATGGACTGGGTAACATACTCGGTAGGTGGTGTTTGATGCATTGGTGGGTCATACGAGTTTTCTTGTAACCATGACCATGGGTAGAAAGAAGTGTGAGGTTGTGATGATGGCCCTGTGATTGACACATTCATGACCTGGTCTCCGAAGAAGTTAAGCTGAATTTAAACACTAACAAGTAACCTCTAGGCCATCTGTTTTGGATTCGACGTTCACTGGCTTGATTTCCGGTGGAATCTACGTAGACATCAGTAAGCCGACTCACTGCGCACACTGATCAAGTCTACCTCGAATGTATTGACAAGGCGCTGTTTGGTCACAGGGTGGAAACACTGGGAACATCGACAGTGGTCCCGGAGCCAGATATGATGGCTGCAATAGATTGCAGAGGATACTGAGGATAGAATTAGATTATGAGAAGGCTGGTACATACTATCGGGTCCACGTATGCGTATCCCAGCCAATTACGACCTTCCGGTCGTCTATCCTACTAACTGGAAGATCCCTGGCTGCAGAGGAGCCTTCGGGATTTGATTGTGGTCTCAGTGCAGCCGCGCCTGAAACCCATCGAGACAACGTGCTAGTGGAATGAGCGCATTTTGGGTGACTCAAACACGCCCGCTTCCTCAACAAATGAGCTAGGTCTGACATTGAGTTGGATTCTGCAACATACGACGTTCGGTGGCGACGACCCGAGTCCCTTCGTAAATAGAGCTCTGGAAGAGCGGTTGACAGCTCTCTTCGGTGCATTTGACCGCAAACAAGTAGACGTTCGCCACATAGTGCTTCACGGAGACAACAAGAAGTATACCAATTATCTCCTGCTGACCCGCTAGCAAGGGCGAGTGGTGGAAGAGGGCATAATCTATCCGCGCAGAATGGCTCCAACGTGCTTTCAAGTTGGCCGTATGCGCGGCAGGTCGCGCCGCGTGATCGGTTTGGTTCATCACCTAGAATCATGGTGATCCGCTTCTCAATCCGAGTGATGCACTTTCTCTCATGCCCGAGGGTCTCCTGCAGAAATTCTAGCGTTTTGACTTCTGTGGTCGCTGTTTTGCTTCGCAGCTAGTGCTGTAGGTCGGACACCTAAGCATGCGGTTCCTCTGGCCAACGAGCCTGGTACGGGCCAACTCAATTTCTGCAAGATGTTTCGCGACAGCGGCAGATACATCTCGGATACCCCAGACAATCATTGAAAAGGTCGTGCAGAACTATGCTGTTGACCTTCCACCAGGGAAGGTCGTGAAAGCAGGCGACTACGTGATGATCCGCCCGGAACATGTCATGACACACGATAACACTGGGCCTGTTATTTCGAAGTGAGTGTTTTAACAAAGTACGAACGGACGAGGGTTCCAAAATTTCACACTAGGCGTGGTGGAGGCATGTGGCAGGATACTCCTGACTCTTCTCTAAATCCTACCTGATTCAGAGCAGTTTCAGCAGTATATTGCATTTCCATATTGCTAGCAGTTTGGTTGAACGTCACGGTACTCCTCAGTACAGACTCATAATCAAGACGTTGTAGGTTCAACTCCATTGGCGCAACACGTATCAAGAATCCTTCGCAACTAGTTTTCACGCTCGATCATGATGTACAAAACAAATCTAGCAAGAACCTGTCCAAGTACGCTTCAATAGAGGCTTTCGCGCGCAAGCATGGGGTGGACTTCTACCCCGCTGGCCGGGGAATTGGCCATCAGATTCTTGTCGAAGAGGGATACGTCTTTCCGTATACCTTGACGGTCGCGAGTGACAGCCATAGCAACATGTACGGAGGTGTAGGCTGCGTCGGAACACCTATCGTGCGCACGGACGCCGCTGCCCTTTGGGCGACCGGAAAGACATGGTGGCAGGTACCCCGCATGGTGAAAGTCGATTTCAAGGGAAAGTTGGCTCCCGGTGTTACTGGCAAAGACGTGATCGTCGCGCTGTGCGGCTCTTTCAACCAAGACGAAGTGCTCAACGCCGCTATCGAATTCTCCGGGGAGGGAGTTTCTGCCCTGTCTGTCGACGATCGTCTCACGATCTCAAACATGACCACGGAATGGGGCGCGCTCGCTGGCGTGTTCCCCGTCGACGCCATCCTTCTAGAATGGTATGAACGTGCGCTGAAGAAATTCGAGCTCCGCACATTCTCATTGCCTTCGCTGTCCTCATCCATCCCCCCACCACCGGAGCACCCGCGCATTAACCGTCGGCGGCTCGATTCCCTGCGTGCGGCTACCCTTCACTCCGATCCCGATGCATTGTACTCGTCAAGTTTGGTCTTCGATCTCTCGACACTCGTCCCGCACGTCTCCGGCCCCAATAGCGTCAAGGTCTCAACGCCGCTGCCCACCCTGCAGGCTGCACGTATCCCAATCCAGAAGGCTTATCTCCTGAGCTGCACGAACGCACGTCTCTCCGACATTTCCGCCGCCGCCACCGTGATGAAGGGACACAAAGTCGCTCCCGGCGTGCAGTTCTACATTGCTGCTGCAAGCTCAGAGGTGCAGCAGGACGCGGAACGCTTGGGCGACTGGCAGGCACTCATTTCAGCAGGCGCTAAGCCTCTCCCCGCTGGTTGCGGACCGTGCATCGGCCTCGGTACTGGTTTACTTGAGGAGGGCGAGACGGGAATCAGTGCGACGAACAGGAACTACAAGGGCCGCATGGGGCACCCAAAAGCCCAAGCATACCTGGCAAGTCCCGCCGTCGTCACTGCCAGCGCAATAAAAGGATATATCTGCGGACCTGACTCATTGGATCCTGCGCTGCTGCCACCTGCTGGAGCCCCCACATTCTCCATTGCAACTACCACCACGTCATCGACCCCCGCCAGCTCTATAGCCGCGCAGGAGCCTGTCCTCCCCGGTTTCCCGACCGTGTTCTCCGGCCCCCTCCTCTTCGCTCCGCAGGATAACCTGAATACCGACGCGCTCTACCCCGGGAAGTACACATACCAGGACGACATCACGCTCGAGCGCCAGGCGGAAGTGGTTATGGAGAACTACGACCCCTCCTTCGCGGCGCTCGTCGCCTCCATTCGCAAGCAGCAGGCACAGTCCGACGAAGAGGCAGACGTGAAGCAAGGCGTGATCCTCGTGTCTGGCTACAACTTCGGCACTGGCTCATCGCGCGAGCAGGCTGCTACGGCGCTCAAGTCCGCGGGCGTGCCGCTCGTCATCGCGGGCTCGTTTGGCGACATCTTCAAGCGGAACGCGATCAACAACGGGCTCGTGTGCGTCGAGTGCCCTGAGCTTGTCGCGGACCTCACGCGCTCGTTCACTCAGGACGGGAAGCGCGGTGCGGGTGGAAATAAGGGCGAGTTGACAGTGAACGAGGGGCTCAAGGTGGACGTGAAGGTCGTAGACGGCCAGGTGGAAGTGGTTTGGTCCAACGGCGAAAAACACGCGTACACCGTGGGTGGTGTCGGCGCGAGCGTGCAGGAACTCTGGGTGTGCGGAGGCTTGGAAGGGTTTGTGCTCAAGTCGATCCAGGCGGAGGCATAAGAGTAAAACTAGCAGTTATGAAGTTTATCTATCGGTGGAATGTAACTATTCGTGATCTAATATACACCCCCTCGATGGACTCTCGGCGTGCTATACCGTCGCGTCCTTTCTGCAGAAGCGAATAGACACTACCGACGATGGATCAGACAGTGCGCGACATGCTAGTGAGCCTTCGACGTTTCGACAGCCATGAATCTGGCACTGTCAGGACAGGTCAGAACCTTCTCTGCTTCCACACACCGTGCCCATGACGAATCAACAGTCACATCCTCGATGAAAAGAGCTAGATCCCCTGCACTAGCACACACAGTCTCCCGCCGATCTCAACGGTCTCCATATGTTCCTCAGGTTCGTTGAGGACGGAGCTCGCTCCGCTACTGCGTGCGCCATATGCATCTGCGACGTCCCACTCCGAGCCCGCAAGGACGAGCTCCTCCGAGGGCGCCAACGACGGAACATGGAGCGCCTTCTGCCCCACCAGGTTCACTGCAGGCAGGACAGCAAGTGCGCCGGTGGACGCTTCAGGGGCGCGCAGGGGTTCCGACGGCGGTAGTGACTGCGAAGGGAACGCGAACGAGAGCGCCATGGACTCGCCCGAGCCGCGTGCCGCGGCGGTGCTGTCCTGCGAGCGGCGCTCGACACTCGGGCTCGAGTATCGTGACTCGCACGTCATGTACGACTCCGCGGCGAGGCTGGCGCCGCCACTCGTGCGCGTCGTCGTGCTTGCCTCAGACAAGCGCGAGACGGCGCCGTCGCGTGGTGCGGAGGTGGAGAGGACGTGCGTCACATCTTCAAAGGGACCCTCGTTGTTCATCGCGAAAAGCGCCCAGTCGAGCGGACGTGGCGTAGGGGGACCGTCCGAACATGTGGTGCTCGGTGAGAACGGTTGCAGCGTAACGGCCTGAGGGGCAGGGCCCGGTATGAGGCTATCTTTCTCGCGGTTGATAAGGATAGACTTGGGCTGGAAACCATCCTCGATCGTCAGCACTGAGGACGGTCGGTTGCTCTCCCGCCTAAGCCGCCGCACGCGCGAAACGATCTTGCAGCGCAGGCAGAGAATGCAGACACCCAGCGCTGTCAACGACCCGAGCGTCACGAAGGCGGCGACGAGCGCGGACTTGCGGGCCTGCTGGCTGGAAGTGCCTTGAGCTGCTGAGCTCGGGTTCGGGTTGGTGATGGCGGTGGGTCCGGATAAGCCAGACGAGAGGTACTTGACGCCTGAAAACTGCGCGTAGGATGTACCAGAAATTGCGGCTGACAAGGATGCAGAAGAGGAGGAAACTACATCCTGAGATAGCGGAGGCACCGAAGTAGCGGGAAGGTAAAGCGTGGTCGGTGTGAAGGATGATGTCTCCGGTGTCGGTGTCAAAGTTAACGATAGTGCCTGTGTAGGTGTAGGCATCGCTGTAGAAATATCTACCAGGTCTACTTGAGCAGAGGTCGACGCAGACTCAGACGCCATAGCCACGACATCCAACGCAACGGGAGTAGTTGATGGGTCAGGTGTGGGGGAAGCAGTGCCAGAGACGTCTGTGATAGTGAGGATGGACTCCGTCGTGATCGTCCAGGTAGGAGACGCTTCAGCAAAATCTATGTCAGTGGCTGACAGGGTCGCAGACAAGGATGCAGAGACAACGCTGGGTACAACGGCCGCACCGGTTGCGGCGGGAGTACTGCTGCTAGTGACGTCGCTGTTACTGTTGACTGATAAGATTACAGTCGGAGGCTCCAGAGACATTTCCCGGGAGACCAAGGAAGATGCCAGGGACACGACAGGCGCGGTGAGACCTGAGGGTGAACACGACAAGAGAATGAGCGTGAAATGAAGGAATGACTGGTGCCTCGACATCGTATCGTGTAATGAATGTAGGTGCCGTGTGGGCGTGTACGAGATGGAGGTAGAAGGCAGGAATCGACAGGGTGGTACTTCTTCCAAGCAGATGGTTTTCGCGATGCAGAACGGCTGACATGCTCAAAGGTGAGGCTGACTCGGCCCATGAAACCAGGGTGTTAACCTCCGTGAAGTGTTCACGGTAGCGATCACAGTTTATACAGTACTTCAGAATGCTTGAATACTTACTATTTGACCTCTCCGTCTCGCAATCTCTGTGATCGGTCAGATCGTCCGACGTAATGGTACATTTCCAAAGAATTTTGCTGGCGGATGCAATCAGGACTTTAATGCGTCAATGTTCTTCATATTGAGACATAAATGGAACAAAACGTGCCAAAACATAAACATGAGCAATAACCGGTTGCGATTCCATGGTGACAACCTTCGAAGCTGGCGACACGCACATAGACGCGTCGAGGTAAAATACATCACGTGCTGAGAACCCTCGGCGTCTGGATGTGACCTCAGCCACTGGCAGATCTGCACACCGGCTGGGGTATGTACTTGGTACAATTTGTCGCGTCCCGTCTCTGTGCCCTATAAAAGTAATCCTCTGCTATAATTCGCTATCCTCACATCCAATTGTCTGAGAAACGGCGCTCATTGTCCGAGGCAATACTTTCCCGAGACGTTAAACCCGGAGTGCGCTATAATCCTCCCAGAATAATGAATCGAATGCTAACCATCTTCTGTTTCAGTTCTTAACATATACTCACCACTTGCGGAATTTCTGGCTATCTGAACGTCGTATTCGTATAACTAATCCCACCGAAATGTCGCGCCTCGCGCAATACCTGAACAGATCCAGCAAGCTACTCCGGGACAGCACCTCTCGCAGTACGCACCTTGCTCCGCCTGCCCCTCCCCTTCCCTCCGGCTGAGTGGTGCGCGCACTTAGTGCTCCGTATGTCGGGCGCGGACGAACCCTCGCGTGCCCCCCTGACGCTCTTCAACCTTAACTCGCGTGAGGACCTCCAGCAGTTCGCGACGGGGTGCGACGTGGACATCGGCGGGCTGTCCACCGTGCACTTCGACCTTGACGAGTCCAGCGTGCTCCCTGGCCCGAATCAGACTGAGGTGCGGCGACCGACGGCGCGCTTTTCGGGAGAGATGAGCCTCGGTGTGCGCAGTGGGCTGCAGGGAAAAATCAGAGGAGGGTACGCAGGTTTCCGGAGCAAGGTGCGTTGCAGACTCCCTATGCGGTGCGATATATGCCTAGCCTATCTCTACACCTCAGCCACGCCCTACGTTGTTTGGAGAAATAACGAATGATGTATCGAACCACCAATTCCTCGCGATGCGTCTACGCGTCGCGGGGCACCCCCGCACGCGCAACTCATACTACGTCAACATTCAGACAGATGGGCCAATAACAACTGACCTCTGGCAGCACCGCCTGTTCTTCCACCGAGATGACGGCGGATGGGAGGACATTTTCGTACGCGCTGTGCCCTCATGTTCTTTCATCCCGCAGCCCCGCTAAGCCATGCCCGTACTGCAGATCCCCTTCTCAGACTTCGTGCTTACGAATGTGGGTGAGGTATCGCCGGAGCAGATCAAGATGTTCCGCGAGCGTGTCCGCACCGTCGGCATATCGATGCTCGGTGGTAACAACGGCGTCTCAGGCCCGTACGAACTTGGCGTCGACTCCTTCCGCGCGGTGAACCACGAGGACATGCCGCTTGCTGCTATACCTAGTACGTGTGTTCCGACACGACGAGGTGGGTGCTGACACACGTTTGCAGAAGTCGAACCGTCGAAAGGAACGCAATGGGAGAGACATCCTGTGTGAGCGGTCGTGTAGCTTGCTGTGTGTGCCCTCTCTATCTAGGACTTCTATTCCTCTACTTTCACGCCGGAAATGATGCTCGAAGCCTTGAGCGACGGCCGCCTCTGTCGAACAGCTCCACAAAAAAGGCACTTCTATCGGCACTATCCGCCACTCACGTCATCTTAAAAGTTGGTGATTGGTATACTCGTGGCGAGTATGGGAACCGGCCTTGCTACCGTAAGATGTGTGGATATCACCTCCCACTTCCATTGTGATAATGACACCTCGACGTGATACATCTGTCGGAGGGCGCAGCCACGAAATCAGTGATATGTCGAGGCAGACGGCAGCCCTGGCGGCCCGCAGCCAAATACAGTGTTTTGCATTCACGGACGGACATGACTGCGAACATTTAATGTACTATTCACAACATTGAAGTTCTAATATCCAACGGGAGAATCCATGACGGGAACGAGTAGAAACGGAGTGTGAGGGAGTGAGAGACGGAAGCTGCAACAATTGCGCACATTGAAAATACAGAGCAAGACGACAGTGGGAGACGATCCGGTTGCGGGACGCCGCAGACGACGGAAGCTCATAACTCACAAGAGAAGACGAGAAAACGAGAAGAGAAGGTGGCGCTACGATCCATGGTACCGCGGGAATGGGAACAGCAGTGACGGAAAGCAGAATACAGGATGCCATCATACGACGACACACCCACCACAGCAGCCCCCTGCGCCATCTTCAGGGTGCTTTTCCGAGTACATGCCCGGCGCGGTCGGTGCGGCGGACTGCACACCGGGACGGCCTGTCTGCTGCTCCTGTACACGAACCTATTCTCAGAAGGCACTGCAAATGACCGTATCGACACCAACCTTGTTATACTTCCTAATTTCACGGACGAGGTTATGAAACGCCTCGTCGACGTTAATCCGTTGCTTTGCAGACGTCTCGATGAACTTGCAACCGAAATGTTTTGCGAGGTCGCGGCCCTCTGTGCAGCGGCACATTCCGTCAGTCCCACCGACGCTGGAAAGTGCGGGAGATAACGTACCATTCATCCCGACCTGGCGCTCATACTCGAGATCACTCTTGTTCGCGACGACAATGACAGGGAACGAATCTTGGTCCTTCACGCGAAGGATCTGCTGATGGAATGTGCTGATTTCCTCGAAGGAGTTGCGTGACGTGATCGAGTAGACGAGCAAGAAACCTTCGCCGGTGCGCATGTACTGCTCACGCATCGCGCTGCAGCGCGTGAAATGGCGTGAGTCACTGTCACGGGCAGGCGTGAGCGGAGGTAACACACCCGTATTCTTCCTGCCCGGCCGTGTCTAGTACGTCCAGGAGCGCGACTTCGTCGTCAATCACGCATTGCTTGCGGTACGAATCTGAGCGAGACCGTCAGAATTGTCTCTACAGCTACTTGCCTCGTATCTGAGGTTAAACGATAAACGAATTGTGCTGGAGCTATTTGAGGATTCACGAGAGGTGACACGATAAACGCGGGGGGGCGGAAGCAAATGCAGCGGAGATAAACGGTGCAACCTAGCGCGCTTACTCACCCTCGATGGTGGGGTCGTACTCGTCCACGAAATGGCTCTGAATGAATTGAATCGTCAGGGCCGACTTTCCGACACCTGCGGGACACTCGTCAGGCTCTCGCTTGAAACCGTACTGCTGGAAATACTCACCTCCTCCGCCAACGACGACGAGCTTGTACTCTCGTAAAAATTGTGCCTATGACGATAATCAGTGTGTGAAAGGCCGCAAACACGGTTTCCGTACCCTCGACATGGTTTTGAAGGGTTTAAACGATAGGAAACAAGTAGAAGGGAAGGGGAACGGAGGAAGGAGGAGGAGACAGGCTGCTGAACAGCTCAAACTGTGTTTCGCCGTAGGACTGATATTAAACGGCAGATCTGTCTTGCCAAACGGGTCCAAATAGAAAATGTCCTAAATAAGGGAATTTGTGGCAGACGAGCGGGCGTCTCCGGGTCAGTGCGAGGGTTACTTATACTTGTTACATCGTCTGAAGTGCCTCTTTATGGTCTCTTCTAGGAACATTTAGATCTTGGCATGAGAATGTCACCGCATGGCATTCAGCTTCATATTGTTGAGATTCTGGCGTCTGTCGTGATACGCAATCATTTGGACCGCAGCCAATGTCATGTCGCTGATGTGCACATCTCATCATGAACAGGATCACGAACACTCGAGGACGAACCCAGGCCTGAATACCATCGATATCAGGGTTTTCTGTCCTCAGAATTGGTAGTACTTCAAGTCGGTGTCATCTATACTACCGCGCCGTTCAAAAAGCGCATTTTGACAGGAGCGAGAATGACTCAGGGATGTTGTCATGATATTTTCTTTCGTGCCGGCTGTCACTCGTGTGGACTCAACATACTGGTGTGTTGTTACCTACCCTGTGTCCTCGCTTTCCCTCGGCTTCAACTGACGTGACCCACAACGCCATTCTACGGTGTATTTGTCATATTAAGTCCATGGACTTGGCATCATCAAGTACACCTAGGATCCTGGAATACGCGATGTGGCTCCGTGACGCATCACCTACAGCACCGATATTTGGCCCCACCTCGCAGCCTAATTTTCTGTCTGGGATCGTCGACAAAGATGTGCGTTCCCTCTCCAAGCTCAGTACACTATGAATATTCTCTCATCGAGCGCGGTCGAGATGCTCCTTCACTCTTCTACGTAACTCGTCCAATGCATGTGCCGAATACCTGGACGCCGCCCTCGGCTGTGCATGCATTGTTGTTCCTTCCGACAACAACAGGCTCAGTGGTTTGGACCGCGAACCTTAGGCTTGACTTGTCGGAATGGGACCTGTCCCGAAATTTTTCTCGAACTCCTGACGTTCTGGTGCCGGCTGTCGGAAATTCAAGGCCGGGGTCTCCTTCCATCCATAATATCTGTGCTTCGCATACTCTCTTTTGTGGTCATCGGTGTGGAGGTGGATTACTAGCACAGCTACATATCTGTAGTGGCGCTGAGTGGCGGAGGTATCTACACCGCTGCGCGCTGCCCGGGAGAAGTTGCCTATGAAATCATTACGCATCCCTCCAATCATGTTCGACGGGACAGGTGGACCGTCTAACGATCCAACAGCATATGCTCGGACAGCTGGCCTTGGGAGTATGGCAATGTCTCGAAAGTGCTCTACCGGTTCCATGGCATTAGACAACTACACAGCCTGACAAACATGCTACTCTCCTGACACTCTTTCTTCGGGCTCGTCTCCGCTCACCGATTTCGCGAGCTTGGTCTGCCTCTTTCTCTTAGTTCTTCTTTGTCTGTCTGTCAAGATAAGTACTCAATGAAATAACAGCCTTGAGATAACACCGCACCTTGTAATAGCTCACCATGTCACCAATCAGGCCATAGAAAGGATGCTCGACGTTCACACCCATCTTCGCAGACGTCTCCGCGAACGAACACTTCAAGCTGTCTGCCGGTGCTTGTCCCTCTGTCGGCCATGTCAGAATATTGGTTGAACGCCGGTCCCTCCAGCTACCCACTTGCCTTACTCACTTCGCGGAGGAACTCCATCTCGCATTGGTTGCCGAACAAGGCCAGCGGAAACGACTGTTCCCCTCTGTCGTGTACAATGGAGTCGTGGTAGGCTTTGATATGTTCAAAAGAGTCCCGCGACGTGATGGAATACACAAGTAAAAATCCGTCCATCTACCGCAAATAGCTATCCCGCGGGCTGTGTCGCAAGATGATCACTGGGTGCTCCACAAGATTCTTGGGGACATACACCGCTGGTTCTTCCCAGAAATACTTGTGTAATTCTACAAATACGGTCTCGTTATCCACTGCAACTTGCTTCCGGAATGATTCTACGGATAAAAGATCACTCGTCTTCACTTCGTCGTGCACAGATGAAAAATCACCTTCAATTGTTGGGTCATAATTTTCCACGTAAGTGTTATAAACAATTCTAAACGCAAGAGTGATCCTCCCAACACCTACGAGTGTCGGAGGCCTAAGATGGACGACTGGAAGAAACCACATTGCCACTCACCAAGGTCACCTATCAGCAGAACGTTCAGTATATGGTCCAACACAGTGTGGGCCGTGACCGGTTGACCGGCGATGCGACAGTCCGTACTTCAGGGTTGTGGCTTAGTTGCCTGGCAGGCATATCTCTGTCGATGTCATAAATGCATAGCGCCAGGTCCGAACCACTTACTTTCGCGGTTTCAAGGCGCAAATTAAGCAGATACAGATCGCGATCGCCTTGTCATGAGGGTGCTCCACCGACGTCGGCGGCGCGGGTGCACGTTATCAGCGTTTGAATTTGAGCTCTGAGAGCCACTGCTCGCAGGAGGCAGTGAAGTGCTGTCAATGCGGAACTGATGTATCAGGTATATGCCAGCGGTCGGAAGCGCCAATAATGACTATGTAAATGCAGAGACGAGTCAGAGCTGATGATGTACACTGCAACAGCGGGAGATCAAAGGATCATGGGGCCTTGCAGACAACTAGGCCTACCATGCAGTGCCGCCCCAATCGTGGACGCCACTGTACACATTCATTAGCATGAGCGCGAGGGTTTCAAGAGTTGCAGTAGATTGTTTTTTAAGTCTCAACATCGCATGAACCAAGTTACGTAACTCTTCGTTGACATCGGAAAAGTTCATTGTGGTCAAATCCACATTCGAGGGTCTCAAAATGTTTGTCATGCTTTAGGCCATGTTAGTGGAGGGAATGTTGATGCAGTGGAACCGCGGTCGACGTTACGCTTGCTTCTGCGAGCCGAACCGCAGTACGGTCCCAACCTCTTCGCCACCAGCGGTTGGTGAAACCTGCTTATGGTGTAGTGTGCGACACAGGAACTTCCACATGTTTCGGAGAGTTCCTTGCGACTGATAGAAAGCCATGAGATAGATGAGTAGCAGAAACACGGAGTGACTTCTAGCCAACGTCAGACACGAGAATATACGAGCGGCCTTCTCGAGCACCGGTATCACACGTTTCCAGGAGAAGCAAAAATCACAAAACTGTAGGTCTGAAGAATGAAAATGTGAGATTGTCTCCGATTACACAATCCTCCTAAAAGAAACTTGGTGATCAAAGTACGGATGAATATGACGTGCTACTTATGAAGGTGAAAGCTCAGACTCACCTTCATCACATAAGAATGTAGTGCGATCGTTGCCTCGGCGGGTCACTGCTTCTGATAAGCCTGTCAGGTGAACACAGATCACAGTCGATGACCAAACAGAGTATACGTAGCTGCGCGAATCAAAGGAAGCCTGATGCTGCTAGTGAACTAGCTGGCACAGAAGGTGATAAAAGATCAACGGACTCTCAACGGCAAAACTGGCTACATGGTGCTTGCGACAACGGAAGAACGACAACGAAGATATCTACAACAATAAGTTACTCGAATAGTATTGAAACTGTCTTGCAGGAGATCATCCATGGTCAGACAATGTACTGCTACATACGTCATGCTAGAAAAGTACAAGGAGAACGGAAGGGGGCTATGGACTAGGAACTTCGTCGACGGTGCGTGAAAAGTGACAGCGAGAATACAGCGGATCGAACCAGGAAAGCAGTTCGTAAGATTAGATATACCCATACGGTCGTGTAGAGGATGTCCTGGATGTGCTAGGTACCAGATCGGGTTTCAATGCCACGGAGGTTCTACTAGAACGTGGACCATCTCGCACGACAACATCAGGCGAACGTGTCGCGTACGCACTTGGTTTCGCGCTTTGGATGGGTCGGGGGTACGGTTCCCTGAAAGAGCTCGCTACTCCGGCGGACATTGGGGTTTGTAAACGCGGGCGCAGAGCACGAGGCAGGTCGATAGATCGCGAATGACGACCAGAGGCTAACACCTGCGGAGATACAGGGAGCGGAGATCTGCTCGTGGCCGCCCCAGCGACGAGAGCTGCCCAAGCAGAACTAGAGAGCGCTACCGGCTTACTCCTCGGGGACACTGCGGTATGAACCTCCTCACCAACAGTACGAGGCGCTGGGGACTGTCGTGCCTGACGCAAGGGACTGAGCAGGAGATTCGCCTCATTGAACGTTCGCGCGAATGCAGGCGAGGACCTAAACCCAGCTGATGAACCAGGAAGCGATGCAGGAGTGTTGGCCAAGGGGGACGTGACTCTCGGGATCTCCTGCACATATTTGCTTTCACGGTCGTCAAAGGCCACTCTCTTTACGGTCGGCGCATTGGGCTTGTTAGAGTCAACGGAGGTATTCGCGTTCACAGGCGGGACGTTGCGCGAGTGAGGTGATGTCGGAGGCCGCACAGGCCGATGCGGAGGCGATGGCCGGCCAGGGAGCGGAACATCGACGTGCAAGCTATTGGACCATCTAGCACTGTCTCTGCTCTGCGCGGTCTTCTGGAAGGCAGGTTCGGGAATACGTAAGGCGGACCCGAAGGACGGAGGCTGCGAAGGTAGCCCTGCGCGGGGACTAGACGGAAGTGATGGGCCGGCCTGATTGCGCACAGTCATGCTATTTATCGTCGAGGCGTGCGACGCGGGGCGTGGGACAGGTATGTCTACTGGCGGTATCCACAAGCGCCCAGAATCGGATCCGCCGCTCGAGGCGGGCGAGGGCGCACTCAACGTCAGACGCGGCACGGGCGGAGTCTTCTCTGAAGGCGAGGTGAATGGAGGAGACTTGCTTGGTACATAGAAGCTTTCCATGTCCGCCTCGCGCTTCGACTTGCTCGAGTCGGAGCGGCCTTTGAGGTGCGGGGATAGAATTCGCATTGTGTTCAGTACGATCAGAACGTTGGCCAGACCTGTCGACGGGAGAGTCAGACTGTGTGCGCCGACTGATCTGTCATTGTCTTACCAAGCATCGCCCTCATCGTGCTTGCGAACACCTGGAACCCGAACGAAACGCTCTTGCCAGAAGCCTGCAACAGAACAACGATGATGTACCAAATTAGGAGTGCCAGATAAGCTGGAGGACTGTCAGCCACGCAGTTCATCTTGAAAATAATTTACGAACCGATGGGTAAACTGCAGCGACACATCAGTCAATTTCGACAATGCGAAAGAGGTAGGTACTCACCAAAGCATGCTTTTCACTACCGCGGCGATGAACCGCTGATACTGCAACGGAGTGCCATTGGCATCGAGCACACTCCGACGGACCTCTGGATCCAGGTGAAACTTGAGTCCGTTCTTGAATACCAGCGTTCCGCGGAGCACGAGAAAGATGAGGACGTAGAATACCACGGAGCATAAAGCAGAAATGAAAAGAGGAACAAGTAGCAGGATGATCTGTGCCGCGGGATACTGCCACGCGACACCGCAAGACAGGCCGTCGTAGCTGAAGACAGGCCCGACCGCACCGGAGACGACCGCAGGAACGATGCCTACCACCACAGCCGTGATCCAACCTCCCAAGAGGACGATGACGCATGCCCACCTGGGCAGCCGATTGCGCAGTACAAGCGAATTGAACGAATGAACTGCCACCGTAGCGGTGAAGAACGCCGTCGCCATGTGGCCCACTTGACCGAGTGCGCCTGCAGAAAGGAAATGAAACATTGAGCTTTGGCAACTCCGGCACGGGCTCGTACATACCTTGCGCCATGCATATCGAGTCTGGGACACAGGTCAGTCTCGAAAATTGAAGGTCTAGTAAATACATTATCGTACCTCTCTCTACAGCCCTCCGCCGAACCCATTCAGAGTCGAGTGCGAACGCCAGACTGCTCAAGAAGTTACCGCAGAGCATCGACGCAGTGTAGGCACCGAGTTGCGTGGAGAAGAAGAACCGCTGTTCTTGATAGCGATACTCAGTGGGGTTCTCTTTAAACTTGCGCCTAAACACGATAGCGCGGACGTAGACCCAGGCGGAACGCAAGGGCACGAACGCGATAGCAAGAATGGATAGTATCGCGAAAACTACTATGGCCTTCAAGTAATCTCAGCCTCGGCGACGGTACAATTGAATGTTGTCTATACTCACAATCAACGCTGAAGCCTGACCGGGCTGATACAAGACGAGCACCTGTTGGGTCGACATATTCACCACAATCGCATGAAAAAAGGTCCGTGAAATCCAAGAACTGTTCCCGACAGGTGGCCACGGATGCTATGAACAGCAAAGCTAGGTCGTCCTGCGCCTGTTCGCTGGGATGTCTGGCCGAGCAGACGAAAGGAGCCGGTCCAAGGAACGGAGATGAAGGAGGAAAGAACAAAGTCCCGAGAGGGAGCTCCGTGCTAATGTCGGCGACTCAGCAGTTTTATTCGCTCATGGCGGTGCTTACCGCCATCATATACGCAAATGATGGACATCTTACACTTAAGCGAGGCGGCTCTATCTAGAGGTCCCTCATCTGGCGACATTGCGTGTGCAGTGCGTTGCGAAGGAAGATGTCCTAATGGGTCCGGTTCCCATGCGCATGGAATACCACTCCGAGACGCGGACAGTCTCTCGGTCTTCCAGAGTGTCTCTCAACCCGGAGTCGCAAGTCTGGACTACTTAATATTTCTCATGCAGAATTGAAATGGGGTATAAGTCGCCAGTAAGGCTGTACTGGTGAGAGCTACCATACGTTGAACAATATAGTTTTTCCCCGGACCACGGTGTGTCGTGTGATAGACAAGTGCAAGCTGGCGGCTGAATTGTCTGAAGAAAACTTTGCGATATAAGAGGATAAGACGAGTCACCGTTGACTTGTCTGCTGTACATATTGACTATTCGGGCGGGCAAAGGCGCAGCTAGCGAGGGAGGAAAGGCGAGACAATGCATGAATATGGCTGCTTTTAAATTCTTCGGAAAGTAAGAATAGTGGACGCACCCGTGACGTTCACAATCGCTTTGAGCATCCACGTTGAGCATACCTTTAGTACAGGGCCAGTATAGTTGCACGCCATCACCAAAGTACTAGTGTTTTTACCTTGGAAATTGGACAAAAGGCGCCAGTAACATGATTCAAGTTGTGTTACATCCTCCATCACGCGCCCTGAAAACTTTGCTGCACGCGCCAGCATTTGATCGATACCTGCCACCCGAATGAAGGTGACCGACATTATGCACATTTCTCTGTTCTACAAGAGTGGACGTCAGCACTAATATTCCAAGTTTGACTTGATAAATAGAACAGCATTGCGTGTGTAGTAAAATGACATACTTGGAAATTGTCACTAGTCCGTCACCGCTTCTTGAAGAACGTCGCAATGCCTCCGGGCTTCTTCTCTTTATCTCCGTTCGTCCCCGAGCCCCTGTTCCGTTCTTGTCTAGAGGTGGGGCGGAGAGAAGAATAGCCACCACCCGACGACTGCTTCGCTAGCTCGTGCGCGAGATGGAAATCATCGTGCTCCACCCGTAGCCGTGCAAGCGCTTCCGCTCTGATCTCACCATCGATACCGCCGGAGGCAAGGGCGTCCGGGAGGGCAATAAGCTTCTTGCACTGGTCGCAGACAAACGACGCAGCATCCTCACGGGTCGGCGACTGTGGAGGCGGAGGCGCGGGAGCATCGTCCTGTGGATCCCGCTTGCGTTTCGGGGAGTCATCGTTCTTCCGCTGCTGCGGCGTTTGTTCATCCGAAGGAGACCGTGTCTTGAGGAACACCTCAATTCCCCGCTGCCCGACCTCCATGGATTCAATGCCGGCAAACGACAGCTGCACATTAGTAATTTTCATAGGCGTCGCACGCGTATCCTCCGTGCCGACCAGTTCTTTCCACAGCTTGTCTCCGGCGGACGCAATGAGGTCGACAGTGACATTCCGCGAGAACGGGAATACAGTCTGCTTGGATCGGAATGTATCGTAGCCTGCGGAAGGGACGCTCGGTGATCAGCCTTCTGTAAATCGGCGGGACCCAGCGTGTGAAAAATTGAAAATGCCAGAGAGGCTCGAGCGCGGAGGTGCGGTATAAACCGAACCTCGCTCGCAAAAAGCCTGCGTTTCTCGCAGGAACTTGGGGGTAAACCCTACTATAGGTCTTATTTTCTGGGGTCGCAAAAAAATACCGACCTTGCCGTACATGCAACACAATCGACTTGGGCCATAGCGCCGAGTTTGACTCCCGCGCTTCATTCAGACGTAACGCTAATTCCGCTGCGAGGACTCTGATCCAATGGTGGCCCTGGGAAGTTTGTGTGATTGGCTGTGGGAGGTTCTTGGACGCAAGCATACTCTTGTTCACCACGGACTTCTCCTTGACTGTTAGTTGACCAGGCGATCGATGTGAATATCACGAAATGAGAGCTTTCAAGGACAGATAGAAGGCGCACCTTCCGAGCGGTCGATACCGCTAGATTCAAAATTATCAGCCAGTAGCATAACGGATGAATGAATCGACGAACCGCAAAATCTCGTAAACCCAGATTGAGTTCTCACCGAACTTTCGCTGCATCTCCTCTGCAATAGATGACTGTTCAGAGCCTCTCCTATTGAGAATGAGCTTCATGCCTACCGAGGCTGATTGTGCTGTTAATTTATGATAAGTTCTGAACCCATATATACGAACACATAATTGGGCACTCACAGCAGGTCACCGACCGTTGAGACATCGTACTGCTCTGCCAATGCTTTGCCTAGTTTGCCGCCCAGAAACCGGATCTAAGGCAAGCAACGAGATCAATATAGCTTACGTGATCAGCAACAAGTCACACTGCTCACCTTCTGGAATGGCAACGGTCGAAGATAATTCGGAATAGCCGCATTGCGAAGGAGACTCTGCCCGGTGGCGTAAGTAATAAGCGGAACGGTATGCCATGACAAATCGATCCGAACCTGACTGTTTGGCTTCTTGTAGGATGCAGTGAGCTGCGGAAAGCATCAGAAATAAGCATGATTTGAAGGTGCATTGACATAAGTATACTGTACCTTCGCTAGGAACTTGTTCCGTGCGATTCCCTAGAAGGAACCAAGTCGAAGTCAGTTGCGCCTTCGGCAACATCGCACCCGTTCACCAACCGCAGAAGTGGTATATCCAAGCTTGGTCCGGATGTCGTCTCTTATCTTCTCCATATACTCGGCCGCTATTGATAGTGCGACGTCATGCCAGGTCGTCGATCCATCGTCGTCTTGAACACTCTCGTGCTCCTCTTCTAACGCAGGCCTACTAACTTCAGGCGTTACATTGGCACCGTCTATTGAGGACTCTGGTGGTGGCGGGGTGATTGGTATGACTGTCCCGAGGTTGTCCCATAATATAGGTGGTGGAGGTGGAAGCGCGCTGTCTGCACCATGCGGGGCATCTGGAGGTACTTGCGCAAGGTATGGGTAACGTTTTAATATTTCTTCGCGGACAGGACGAGTAAAATCAATGAATGCTTCATCAATTGACGCCTTCTCTTATCGCGTAGCGTTCAGAGCCGAGTAAATCACTGAAATATGGGCCATAAGGCACGACACTCTTACCGATCTCTCCGGCTGGTAAGCCATCTTTGAACATTTGGATAATCTTCATGCTTTCTCGTCGATAATGGTCAAGCGACACCTGAAGCAACAGCAACTTTCAGCTCGAGGGAGCGCGTAGACGACGACAGCCTCTATGCATAGGATGCAAAGCTGACGTGTAATAACACACCTTATGTGTACGAGTATCCGGATTCTCCCAATACCCAGGCTCCTTTTCACCCTCCTTATACGTCGCAACATGGACAACGACAAGATCAGGACACATTCTCCGCGCATCCCTGACCTTAGCCATCCTCGTGATCCCGAACTTGCGAGCAGGGTAGTTGACAGCGATGAGAGAGTCCCACTGCTGCACCACTAGCGGCTTCAAAGGATCGATCCCCAGGCGAACCTGTTCGCACGCCGCATAGAAAGCGTCACTGTCGCAGAGCGCAACGACCCGCAGAGGGTCCTTCACGCCAAGATTCTGAGAATATAAATGTCGGTAGGTGATCACTGGTGTGAGATCGTCGTAGTCGGCCTCTGTCGCCTTAGCCTTGCCCTTCCAAATTGAAGATGCTGGTTTTGCAGAACTTGAAGTTGGCTTCGAAGGAATTCCCGATGTCATGCTCCACAAACTGTCATCAAGTAGCCAGTCCTAGATGTTTTAAGCCACTGAGATGATTTTCTGTCTTAGAACGAGTAGATTGAGAGAGCTGCAGAACGTTGGTACTAGCGGATAGCGGAATGATAGTCTGGGCGTGACGACCGCTACACTTCGCGTTAGGATGCACGTGATGCACGTCACGCAATAGACGCGAGATCATCTCGGGCTCTCCAGTACAGCTAATGCAGCACCATGTTCTTTCACAGGCTAACTACTGTACAACAAGCACACTAGGACAAAAATGTAGTTCAGCGCGATAATGCCATCCATTCTTCGCTCTCTGAATTATCTTGTAATTCGCGGTCTTCCGAGCACAGTTCGACGCCTACAACTTTACTTGGTGTTCGCGGCCACAGTTTGGATATCGACAGACAACAAGTCCTGTAAAACAACGCTCTATATAATGGAAGCAGGTAGAGAGAACGAGGAGGAACGTACCTTTCCGGCTCTGATTTCTGCAGGCGACGGCATCAATCCCAGCCTGAGCAACTCGGATGCTTTGCTGACGACAGGGTCTCGTTGCATGCTGAAGGACATCACGGTGAGCTGGGGAAAAAATTATAGGAGGAGATTTCTCTCACCTCGATACCGCGATGATTTTGTCATTCTTCACGTAGTACGCAATGAACTGTTGCACCGATCCATCAACATGTGCAGGGGATCCTGCAAAACGCAAATCATACCTTCATCTCGTCTGGGTTCCCGTCGATGATGACATCATCGAAGCCTGAACCTACGCCGCAGTAGCGCAATTGTTGGCCCTCTGCACCACCAGGTTAACTCACTATCGTGAAGGCACGCCGAAAGATACAAACGGGCGCTCCAGAATATGGGAACCTTCACGAACGGCTGCGGTTCTGCCCCTGAAATGGTCTTGCCAGCGGCACGCCCTTGGTTCCCTGCAACCTGTGAGGGCGACAAGTCAAGGGGCAGAAACTTCAGCCCGGTATCATACTTACATTCCAATGCTCAACTCTCCTCAACTCTCCGGTTCCAGGTTGTGGGTACATGGCAATGTCACCTATTTACATAGAACGTCAGAGAGAGAAAGTAAGAGTATATCCGAGGTCTCTTACCAATAGCAAAGACGTCGTTTACGCCCTTGACGCGTAGGTACTCGTCGACGAGCACTGCACCACTCTTGTCAAGCGCCTTCTCGAAGCCCTTGCTCGATTTCAAGTACTCAGTGGCGGGAGCAACGCCGACACCCATAATGACCACATCGGCTGATAGAGTGGTGGTTTCGCCAGAGCTCGACTTGACGATCACGGCCTCAGCCTTTGACGGGTCCGACCGCGATGCGACGATCTTCTCAACCTGTGACTGCATGTGGAATTTCACTCCCTTCGACTGATGGAACTACCAATTACTAAGTCAACACTTCGACCCGCCAAGATATGCGACTGTAGGCAGACGGACCTTCTGGAGCCCGTTGCCAATTCGCTTGCCCAGTATAGTTTCGAATGGAACCTCTTCCTGGCCGATTACATCAATCGACGCGAGCTTGCGACTGGCGACCGCTACGACCAGCTCCATGCTGATGAAAGAGGAACCAATGACGACCAGGCGTTTACCCCCCTGAACGGCTGCGGTTCGACGGGGACTATCTTAGACCACGGTCTATGGTGTAGAGTGTGAAGCCTACCGGCATCGATTTTCTTGGTATCCGCAATTCCTCTCATTGTGAAAACGTTGGACAGGTCCCTTCCCTCGATAGGTAGTCTCCTCGGGACGCCACCAGTCGCGAGCACAAGCGTCTCGTACGGAACGCGCTCGTTGCCTCCAATCACGACTTCATTGGTCGCGGAGTCGATATCAGTAACTTCCGTGTTCAGGCGGAAATTAACGCCGTATTTCTCTGTCAGTTCTGCAACAGAGCGCCATTCCAGCTTGGACGGGTCTGTCAGGAGTGCTTTGCTCAGCTTGGTTCTGGCAAGGCAAACGCGTCAAATCTCCGCGCTTCAACGAGAACAATTCTGGACACCAACCTATCTATGGGACTGTGTGGTTCCTTGGATATTACCGTGATAGGACCACTGTATCCAAACTGAGTGCATCATGAAGTTAGGCGCATACAACATCTGGGTTCGTAGGATAATCACGCACTTCGCGCAAGCTTTCGATGCAGTGGTAGGTACCACTGCCACCACCGACAATTACCACGCCCTTTCCCTGGCTTAGGCTGGTGACAATCTTGGGCTGGCGAGCAAGATTGGCTTTGACAGTGCTGGATGGATCCGCGGTCACGTGGATCTTGCCCCCAGAGACGTGAGCCTTGAACAAATGAAGAGCAGCGGGAGCGGGCGCGTCCTCTGCATGATCGTAGTGAGGCGTAGGTATGAGATGCAGGAAGATCGGACCAACCGATGTCACCGGTGCATACGTTAAAGCATGCTGCGAATACATTAGTGCTATATGCTACACATCCATCGACGGCGAGAATACTGACCACCGTGCCATGGGCTGCGTGGCAAGAATGAAAACAAAATTCTACTGGAATAAGAAGAAAATCGCATACCAGACAACTCTACCATCTGCGGTGAGCACACCCTTCGCCAAAGGGGCACCGTAGTGAGTGCAGAATGCACTGGTTGCGTGGATCTTATCACCCAAGCGTGAGAGAAGGATCTTCCCTTCACCCTCAAAGTCAACTTGTTTCCTGTAGATCAGACCTATCAGAATAGTCCTTCCCCGCATCGGCCTCTCGACATCCTCTGGAGACGGACGCACATATCTCCGTCCTTCAATTCGGACTCGTCGAGCACAGCAATGGTCTTCGCGGACATATTTCGATATGTAGACAGTGGTGGTAGGGTCGAGAGATGTGGCCGGCGGAGTGAGGTGCTGGGCAATCGCAATCTGGTCAAGCGCAAGAGCGAGAACATACGACCCACACTTCGCCGGATATATTACGGGGTTTATTTAGCGATGACGACATATCCATCAATAACCCTTCCGTCCAATCAACATGCAGCTATTTCCCTGCATTGTGACGTCAAGCTGAGTCCCTGAAACTCCCCCTCCACCACATATCTAAAATCCAGAATTATCGGGATATCAGGTATACACTGGTTCGGCAGGGTCAATGCCACCACGGAATGTTTGGTCCAAGGGTGACCAAGTTTAAAACTGGCGATCTATGTATTTACTCCTCGTTGAGCTCCTTCCTGGACGAAAGACGATTCGGTGGCATGAGAGTCGCATCAAAACATTCAGGAGTCGTACGCACTATCGGCAGGGGCGTTCAACCGCTACCCTCTACTGAGAAATCTAGAAGCACCATCGGGGGAGCTCAGACCGGCACTCTTCCCGGGATTTAATTGATCAGTCAATGACTGCGTAGTGCATAGACTGCTCACCTTGAAATACCTCAAGATGCACAACCTTACTCATTAGGAGGCAAGACGGACCATTTAATAGAGTTTTCTCCCTCCACATCAGACGACCACGAGAAGGAATGCATGGTATCCTCGGACCAGCGCCGCACTTTGGGGGACAGCACAGCATTTCTTTGGGATTGCACCCTACAGGTCCTGACGTGCAAATGCATCCTAGCTGTGTTGGGAGACCACTGCCACGTATCCGCTCCATTGGAAGCACCAGCAGAGGTGCAATCCTTCATCATTTGCTTCACCACTCGCTGGAAATTTTGTGCTGAAAATCGGCCCCTGTGACAAATTTCCAGGGAGATCGAGTAGTGCCCGGATAGAATTCGTACTACAGAACGGCTATTGACCGCTCGGATGAAACTCATCACCGCACCGCGATTATGCAACCCAATGACCTCGATGCAATCGAACTGGTCACTCAAGGCTGCGACGGGGGTAAAACACTCGGGTGCAGTGTAGTAATAAAAGCTATTGTCAATCTGGAGAATGTGGAGGGATGGGAAGCATGGGGCATATGGAGGGATGAGCGGTAGCATGGGAAATTGTATGGTTAACTTCTCCAGAGACGGTGCTTCAATCAGAGAAAGGAATCCAGGAGGGATTTCAGGATACAAAAAGCGAAATGTGATCGACACGAGAGCTGGGAAATTCTGACGCACGGCAGGGATCCGCGGCCCATCAAGATCACCCATATCCGTAAGGCAGATATGGCGCAGTTGCCGCAATGGTTGCAACATTGCCAAAAAGGTCCCTACAGTTGGCAGGGACGTGGAATGTAGTTGGAGGTTCCCCAGTGAAGGGAAGCATCGATGCATAGGCTTCTCATCCTTGAACCAAGTGGTAGACTGTAGGACTAAACTACGCATCCTTGGCGCAGAGAAGGTAGGAGGGAGATGTAAGGGGGATAGCCTGGGCGGGGGAGGAAGTCCTGAGGCAACATTATACAGCTCGCAGAGCAATGATAGCACTTCCAATGATTCTGCAGTACCACACCAGAGATCAATGCACATCTGCATGAGATCAGAAGGTTGTGAGACGTCCACAGTCATAGATCGCCATCGCTGGATATGCGGGACCAATAGTTCGAAGACAGCGACGAGGGATACATCAGGTAAGACTTTCGCCTGATATCCCAATATTTTAGGAGGAGTGCAGGCTGAATATCTGCTAGTGACGATCCTGACGTCCAGCCTTTGTGAGCGGGAGCGCGTGAGGTATGTGGACAGTGATGCAAGCGGATCGTGCGTTCGACGGAGCAAAAGGAAGATTTTAGCCCATAGCGATGGCGTGTCAATCGCGATCCTCCTCCATGCTCGACAGACTGAGGCAACACGAGTAGCGAATAGGAGCTCCCATCTGTCTTCGGTGGCTTCGTGTGCAGCCTCGAGGATGAGTCGAAAGACGTCCTCGTCAAGGCGATGTAGATGAGCAGAGTGAGCCATGTCGCCATTCCTACTGTCGATAGATTCCTTGCATACCTGTGATGTCGACGATCCCGAATGCGCGTCGTCTGTCATGGAGAGCGTTGTTGAAGCAGTGGAGGAAGCCTCGTGATTCATCTTGATCATGCTTGACTCAGAATTCCATAAATGGAAGGTGTAATTGTTGTGTAGACCACTGAGCTCAACAGGTGTTTCTCACTCCATAGAGACTGAACTGATAGCCTCATACTCATCGGCAAGACTCCATTTGTAGCTCTCGGACAAGAAAAGGCCCAGGTTCTACGCATACGCACTACTTATATACGAGTTCGTTGCAGTTCTTCCGTTCAGTTGATCTACCACGTCAGTGTCGTGATTAAGGCGCGTATACCCTATGAGTGATTTAGCCATGTGTAGTACTAGTGGCAAATTTCGCAACCTACTCAAGCTGCCATTGGTTATAAGCTTCAAAGGGGGCGGCAATGCAGTATCCTCCATTTGAACCAGAAGGGCCAGCAAAGCAAGTGTTATCTACGAATATTGCAGCATTACCCTAGGAAATGGAACGAGTTAACCAATGTGTTGCGAAAGAAAGCTGCGGAAACAAGACATACCACCATGTGATAACAAACCTCGTAGTCGATACTGTCATAGTTGTAGAAGACCATGGCACAGGTGCTGTAGGAAAAGGTTGTCTTGGTTTGCGAAGGTGCAAGAAATAAGGCCGCTGCCAATTCGATGGCATGTGTCAGATCTCGTGTGAGACGCACACAATAGATAAGTACGCACAATCGGTTTGGTTGAACAGAGTGCTTGCGATGAATTCACAGTCGGACATGTTCGGATAGGGCCCAAGATTCAAACAATCCATCGAGCCTAACGAGCCGGTTAGGTCATGTTCCTCATATCAGGCTCTTACGCAGATACGCACAGCTGGAGGTGCATGGGAGAGTATACTGGCGCTTCGACAACCGATTGGAACGACGAGTGCTGAGGATTCCGGGACAGGTCTGCGTAGCAACCGAAATGACTGCATCTTCCTTCGCGATCGAAGAGGTTGCGATCACTTCTCCACCATCGCAAGCTTCCACTCCGGACTTGCGAGCTACACATCGAGTAGTCAGAATGAGGTCTCTACTGCACAGTGGCAGTGTCTGTACTCACAGCTCACAGGGACAGAAAGAGCAATGATTACAGCAATAACGCCCTGCAGAATATGCTCCGATTTCATCGAGAAAGTGGGGTCCAGTTAAGAAGCGATTACTTGTAGGAAGTATAGAGGACACAACGATCTTTTATACCTGCAGCGTGTGCGCGCTTACATCTGTGAAGCTCGCCTAGGCAGGCCCATTCAAATGAAAGTCCTCTGGAGATGTGGTTACAGCCTTTCTGTCCTGGAGGCGCTCAGCACTTCCTGCTACTTTCGGCAGGAGAGTAAATGGTGAGCAATCACATTTCTATAAAAACCGGATGCAACCAGCCAGTACAGCTGTCAAGTACGGAGACCATAGAACGCGTACCTGAGGGAGAAAAAAGTCCAAAACGGAGCTTCTGACTCCTGACCACGACGTCCGCCCATGCCTTCGCGTGAGGACGTACCATCTTGTGGAAAGGGCGGATTGACAGGATCAGGCACAATTTGGGGTTGGGCACCTAATTCTGGATTGTATTCGCCAAGAACGGTATTAAGCGCACGTTGCAAGATCATACAGAAGAGTGACACTGCCTATGACCAAACGAACGCTGAAAGTGTACGTGGTCCGCATTTGAACGAAGGATGTTTCAGCGCCGCCGCAGACCCACATGTGACCAAGACACAGACAAGCGCTCAGGAGGAGAGCCATTCTTCCATGCAAAACTCAAGACACTTCCAAACACCAGATCATGTCGGCAAGATACTGCGAGAAGTAAAGCCTGGTGAGAGAGCGGTGAATGTGCCAGTAGCCACACGGAAGGAACATTTCAGGTACCAAACAAGGGATCAGCACAACGACAACCCTCTGCGAACGACACGGTAGATTAGAAGGTGAGAAGAAGTCATGATGGAGATCCTTGCAGACATCCGTGAGTGGATGTTCCGTCATGCCAAATTGCCCTGAGAAATCTCAGCCTGGAATAACACATATGTCTCGCGGTCGACCTGCCACAACTCGCCGGCTTAGCACAGTTTCCACAGGTAGGACGGTCGGTGGTCGCATTGAATCGAGTGCCGACGCACAAACGAGACCCCCCTAACAAGGCAATGTTCCGCGAATCATAAGGAGTGCTTTTGCATGCAGAGGCTTAGCAGTGAAATCGTAGAATGTTACTAAGATCGCCGCAGACATCACTATAAGCCATTAACAGTGAGAACTAGTAGTAGAAATGCTTTCTGTGGTTTCGGGCACAGAATGGACAGGGCGGAAAACGAGGATTGGAGATCGCGAAGCGCTTGAGTAGAATATCCAGTATACACAACCGGGAGACCAAGGTACAAGCGTAATGCGTGCAGGGCCAACTATCCGCATGGTTCTGCCTGTCAAAGTATAGCAGGGCCTTCGTCTTGGCAGTAGGTGAGAAGCGCGTAGCGCCGAAGGCGCTCATCGTGGAGGCAGAAAGGACCAGTACGTACGTACTGATAGTCTCAACATAGCCTCATTAGAGTATAATGCGAAGTATGCATTCAAGCAAGAGAAAATGACCGGAGAACGTCAGCTGGACAAAATATCGCCACAGCCAGTCCTTCGTGTCACAGAGCACAATTTAAACTCCGTTCGCACAAAAGTCATGCTTCCGCCAGTTGAGATTGGAGTGAGTAGTGCGTACGTAGGCTGTTACTAGAGACGTCAGCCATGCTTGCTGTAACGTACGTGTGTAGATGCTGTTGCCAAACCGCTCAAATGCCCATGTGTGATTGTGACGACAAGTACCAAGGCTCTGCGAAGACATACAAACTGCACTTCAGTAAAACACGGTGTAGAGTACAAATCAGGCCTGACCTCAAGACAACAACTTCGTCGGCAACCACAGCGAAGCGACGATGCCCCCCGCCGTGATCGCGCACAAAATCCAGTACACCAAGGCCCCGCTCGCCAAGTGCTGCTGTAGTGACACGGAGAACAACGAGGATGCCGCTGAGGGCGCAAGAGCACGCGCAGTTGACGCCGTAGTTTGAGCGAGCCCGTTCGTTAGGCCCAAAGCAGCTTGGTTAGGTGCACCGTCGCTGATATACATAAATATGCATCCTGAAAGCATGATCAGCGTGCCAACAAGCCATCAGACGTAACATGTTCGGCACACGGTTGACTTCGAAGAAACGGACTCACCCCAAGTCATTAACGTCGCGGAATACGCAGTTTCTTGCAGAACAATGAGGACCCAAGTGGCGACTCCAACCCGGCCAGCGCGCTTTGTTACCAGACTCAATAAGGGGAACGCACAGATGCAAAGAAGATAACATGAGAAAGACGTCAGATAGAGCCGTTTCGTCCCAAACTTGCGGTGCATCCAGGCGAATGTTAGGATCTGAATAACACCACCTATGACGCCGGCGACTCCTTGTATTATCCCGATGGTGAACGAGGACATATTTAAGCCTCCCTCGGATACCGGGGAAGAATACATCAGCGGGAGGAGAACGACCGTACTCTGGTCGATGAAGGCCAGGAAGCCGTAGTTGAGGATCGGCAGGAGTACTCGGGGGATGAGAATAGAGCGGATGCTGGTTACAGCAACCAACTGCCCATCCTCTACATCCACGACATTGAACGTCGCAATTGCTTTGTCCTTGTCGTGTCCATCAGACACTGTTCGATCCCCTCCGTCAATTGGGTGCTCTGCCACCTCCATAGTGACGATCCTACTCTCTGGTTCAGCGAGTACTTCAAAGGCGGTAGATGGAGGGTCGATGTTTCCTCCAGAAGCGTCTCGTGAAGCCAAGTCACACTTCCAATCTCGGTGCGGCAGGGGCGAGGATGCTACCGCCTGTTGACTTCCCTGAGACTGGCCGATCGATTTCCGCTGACGCTTTGATGGTGGTAAAGTCTGTAACAGACATCGATAACTGCGTCGCGAACGTGTACGTACAAGGGGATCACCTCTTTGAGACCTAGCAAAGCCATTGAGAATGCGCTGATAGAAATGCATGCAGCTATGATGCACGGAAGAAAGTACGGGTATGTGATCCAAAAGTTTGAAGAGCGGAAAGTACCTGGCCAACGGGTGGCAGGAGCTGCGAATACACCACCGATGACGGGTCTGTAGGACATTCAGGGAGGTCTATATAACCGGGCATGTCGGGCTCACCCAATCGTGCTGCCGAGACACCAGATCATAGGTAGGTATGAAAATCCCCTATCTCTATTAGTGGAATCTGTAATTTCAGCCATCATGCTCTTCGTCACTCCGATGTTGCCGTTCAGTGCACCCTCAGCACAACGGCTCAAAACTAGTGCCCAATAGTGTTTTGACAAACCAAACCCAATCATTGACAGTGTCAGCCCGAGCAAACCACCCAGTAAGACCGGCTTGCGTCCGATCCGATCCGAGGCTCTGCCCCATTGAAGGATGCAGACGGCTTCAGTAGCATAGAATGATGATTCCTGTTCGAAGCAGGTTAGATCGAAGCAGACCGAAGGACTCGATGCGTACAATGAGTCCGGCAAAATAGCCTGTCTTCTCGTCATTTCCACCAATAATACCGGTCTGCCGCACAAGCTGGTTTACAAATGGGTACACCACCGTGGAAGCAATAGGTTCGGCCAGCTGCAGATACAGCAGGATAAATAGCTGCAACTTCGGCAGAGGTGTCTCCTTCGGTTCCGTCATCTCTTCCGCCGAGCTCCCTGCTGTCCCCTGCCCAGGCTCAGCAGTGGCATACACGGTTTCTCCCATAGAGTGTACGATTAGAAGTGAACTGTAAAAATTTGGCTTTAGTGAGATAGATGGGCCATGACAGTCACACTCACTGTCAGGACTCTGCTATATAAAAGCACACTAAAGCCTGACAACATTAGGTAAAGTCGAACAAGGCGTCAGAGGGTCTCCGAACGGCGCACCGCCCTTCCGGACTCTTCTTCCTTCGCATCATGATTGGACCTTGCGCAAGTGTTTGCCCGGTGGCCCATTGCGCACAAGTCATAGATCTTCAATGCGACTAGACACGCCCTGTCGATCACAGGCTGGAACTTGCGTGTTTACGTGTTGTTTGTCTTCCTCCCAAATGGGGGGATTGTAATCAAATCACAGGTTCCGTGCAGAAACTCATTGTGAAGCACGACCTGCAATGTTCGGTGTTCATACAGACAGTAAAAAATAGGGATCAGGCATGCTGCGTGAACAACTATCCTGATTCCTGCGAAACGCTCTAGCTTCACGCATTCCCTACCTGGACATTAGGGTTGAAGGCCTTCGTAGTGTTCGATCCTAGAGCCCACTGTATTCCGGCCAACACATGTGCGATGAAAAGATCATCCTAAAATTCGGAATGGAACATGTCATATACCAGATAGTGGCGGGACACTTACGCGCCACGTCTCCTCCCCGTGTCCGAGCGCGGTGTACCAGCTGCGTCCAGCAGTGCCAGTGCTCTCGACTCCCGCTCCACGCTCTTGGTACCAAGCTTGTGTGTAGCAAAAAGGTTAAGCGCAAAAACTTATATGATGGCGGTACCAACACCTACCCATCGGATGAGGCGTGCCGTGGTCATACTTCCTCTCACCATCATCTAGAATTGAATCAGTAATCAAAGTCGAAAGTCAGGATGCAGGAACGGGAAATACCTTTGTAGCTTGTCTCATCAGCTATGAGAATGACTTTCGCACCGACGCTACGAGGATCGGACCTGAAATTGTACCTACTGCGAGTCAGGAACTGTGCCTTTCCGGAACGTGCAGCCACGCACATCTCGTCGAAGACCTCCCACTTGGGCGGTAGCATCTTGGTGGTGGGGTGGTTCTGGTCAAGTACCTCAATCACCTGGAAGAAAAGGGGAAGTACTTGTCATTCGACAGCAAGTGGCTTTCGCACATACCCCAGTGGAGATCTCAGGGTGGTAGTCGAACAAAGCCCCTATAAGTACAATAGATGGGGGGTGAGCTATGAATTATCAAGGAGTTCAATTTGGGCGGGTGTCTGACCTATCTCCTTCCTGTAGAACTCGCATTCATACAAACATGCAGATGCGCAATGAATGCCAATGAAATTCCCTCCTAGGTTCAAGTAATTCTGGAATGCTGCCTTGCCAGCTTCATCCAGAACTGCAAGCGTCATCAGTCTCGGCTGCCACACTGTGACAAACCTAGTAGGGACTCGCCTTCACCGGAGTTATTCAAGAAGAGCAATGCGTCGTACTCCTTCAGGCGATCATCCGTGAACCACGTCTCGTCTTCCGTCGCATCGAATTGCACGTTAATCGACGGACCCTTTACATTCAGGATCTCAATAGACATCGGGATGGAATCGTGGCGGTATCCACGAGTGGCAGAGTAGATGAGGATGCGAGCAGTCGGCGGCATAGCTGCAGGGAGGACGATGGTGGCAAGGGAGTGGAGACCGTGGTAATGTCATCTTGTATTTTCCGGAAAGCGATGTTGCGCGTGGGTCACGACGGGCGTTCAGTGAGAGCGTGGAAGACGCGACTCATGGACGGACGGCCCGCCTTCCGGCAAGAACTTGGCAGAAGTCAGCATAGATAGACTTACTGAGCCAGGCATGTACATTACCCTTAATCGTTCACAACGATACCTCCTAAATGAAAGCATATGCTGAGCAAAGAAGGCTTCTATGGTGTAGTAACTTGAACGTTGACGGAGACTCAACACCTCGTATTACGGTTCAGTGGCGAACGTACTGCACTCACCGTGGAAAGACCAGCTCTTGTTACAGGGACTGTATTTTCTTGCGCAGACAACTTGAAAAGCGCGTACCGTGTGTGACACACGTGACCCTACGTGACCTCTCGTGTATTGTGGCAGACTCGGATGGAGCGTAGATAGACAAAAAGGCTTCCGGCGTACATATCATGATGTCACGTATGGTGAACTGCATTTCACGCGGTCTTATTTGCACGCACTCGGATAGAATATTTGGGATAGATTTTTGTACACCAGATGACGCTGCTGTAGTACAACTGATCGCACCCATCCTTCCCTGTGGATTGCAAGAGAGAGCATCTACCGCTTGCCGTAGGCTTTGGTCTCGTACTTGCCTGCAAGACAGTATCAGCTTCGGCATGAAGTAAAGAGATATTCAGTATTATTACCAATGCCGACGATAATGTTCTGGGGCTCCTGCTCCTTGCCCAGCAGGTAGTTCTCCAAGATGGACTTGGTGCCGGCGGCATAGCGGGCCTGTGCATCGAGAGTCGTGCCAGAGTAATGGGGGACCATACCGTTACCGCCGCCGAGCGGGTTCTTCATGGTTCGCCAGACGTGATCCTTCGGCGCAGGCTGGACATTCCAGACATCTCCAGAGTAGCCTGACACACTTGCATGAGCATGAGCATGAGATTGCTTAGGCGAATTAGCTCACCGGAGAGCCGACCGCTCTTGAGCGCTGCCGCAACGGCATCTTTGTCGCAGATGGCACCTCGAGCGGTGTTGACAAGCCAGGCACCCTTCTTGAAGTGGGAAAGGAGCTCGGCATCAACCAAGCCACGAGTACCCTCGTGCAGTGGACAGTTAACAGTAACGATGTCACACTGAGAAACAAAGTCCTTAAGGTCCTCAACACGACGGGCCTTGATCGCAGCAGCAGCATCTGGTTAAAAGGATCGTCAGAATTTCTGCTGAAAAAAATCTCTGGTGGACGTACGCTGGTGAAGCGGGGCGTAGTCGTAGTAGAGGAGCTCTTTGCAGTCGAATGGCACGAGCCGCTGGAGGACACGATACCCAATACGCCCGGCGCCAATAGTACCGACAACTTTGCCCTCCAGATCGAATGCATTGCGGGCGATCTCAGAGACCTGCCAGTCACCGCGTTCGATCATCTCATGCGCTGGGACGAAGTTGCGGACGAGCAGGAGGATGCTCATGACGACATGTTCGGCGACCGAGACGACGTTCGAGCCCGAAACCTCGAGCACCTGGATCTTCTTCTCGACGGCAGCATTCAGGTCGATGTGGTCAGATCCGACACCGGCGGTAATGCAGATTTTCAAATTCTTCGCCTGTTAGCTTTGTTAGATATGTCCAGCTTGAAAATGGTGATCAAACCTACCTTGTCGACCAGGTTGCGGGTAAGATACCCAGGGTGGAAGGGAGTGGTGATCAACACCTCGGCCTGCGCCCACCCGTCAATCTCCTGATCGCCTGGAAAAAACAATTGCTCACGTCAACAATGTGCTTCTGGAAGTCGCTATTAGGTCCCTCCTTGCTGTCGGAGACCTGAGCGTTTAGGTTAGCGAGCGATGGATAATCGTGTGAGTATCGAGGACGAACAATGTACTCGTGTCCTTGAGCCTCTAACCATTGGCGGATACCCAGTTGGTTCTCACACGTACCAAGGAGACGGGGTTCGTTGCTGGCGGCCTCACCGCCCTTGTATAAGATAGCTAAAACCTAGTTAAGTGGATCAGCATAGACAAGGATTGCTATCACAGCGCAGATAGATAGCTCACCTTCATGTTTGCAGTAGTGTAACTTCGAGTAGAGAGGGAGTTAAAAGCGAACTGTTGGCCATCTGGGTCCGTAGTCGGTGGGCTTTTATATATTTCAATGCGAAGGCCTCGGAACTGGTCGCAGGATGAACAACTTAGGAAGTTCAGCCACATCAGCCCGATATGGCAATCACGCCGAGTTCTTCCTGTGGCGCTAGACAGGCGGAACCCGTGTGATTCCGGAGCTGAACTGGTAGCAGTTCGAATCAATTGTGAACGACGATACACTCCCGTTCGCGGGCGATAGCCCTGTCTCATCATGAGACGTCAGAAACAGTGCTGTACGTCCATGCACAGAAGGACATCGGTGAGACACGGCTTGGTGAGGAGCCTGCATGATCAATTCGTTCGGAGTCCCACTCTGTTCGTGAGATTCCGGTGAGTGTACATAGTTAATTCAGAAGGGATTGAATATACCGCTCACCTTCACGAAGACGCACACGCACTGGCAGAACGCAGGCCATCTATTCAAATTCTGCTAAGTCCAAGCAGTCCTCACGAATCTGATCGTATCTGGACAATGCAAGTGCGCCTCGAGGTGACAATGCCCTTGCTAAGAGGAAGATCCTATGCTTCGCCACGTTCTACTGGCTGCTGTCGGTGCATCTTGCTGAAGCTTCAATTCAGCCATTAGGCGCGAACGGTGCAGACACATCTGGCAGCTGACGGACCGCGAGCCAGTAGTCATCCAGCATTCGAGACGGATAAGGCTTGGTAATGCAGACGAATCGGAACAACAGCGTGCGCATGCTTCCGGGTCCGAACATTCCATTCGGAATGGCGGCGCGAAGGGGCTTATTCATAACCTGCATGACATCTCGGATGCAACATGGGCGTGCCGGAGCAATTGCATCTCCCACCGCAGTAAGAGGGAATAACTTGCTGCCAAGTTGCATACACGTCGGCCCCCACAGGTCCACGAGCTAAGGCAGTTGATCGAGCTTGGCTTCGGCAGCGGCAAACTATCATATCGATACATCTAGTACACTCAGCCACGGGCAAAATCGATTTCCAGACGCACCAGCTGGTATTTTCCAACCAGTCTTCGGAAAAGTGAGACTGTCTGCGAGAAGGCGCTTTGCGTCCTGATAAGTCTGCAGCACAAGCTTCGTAACGCAGGGCCGCCCGCTTGGACTTTAAATCATGAGACAAAATTGAATGGCGCCATATATCCAGAGATCATCGTAAGAAGAGACAGTATTCGCGCATACCCGCAATGATTCTCTGGAAAAGCTCGGTATGACCAAGGTAGCAGAAATAAAGATGCTGAACGAGGTGAATACGATCGCGGCCACTGGCAGGCGCTGAAAGCGAGCTTTCGAACGCGACTACTATGTAGGCGCCTGTGCGCCGATCCGGAAGTCCAAATTAGCTGATTGCGCGCACTTTGAGTCTTTGACTGAACCGCCACAAACTACTGTAGCGCAGGATGCGGTACTGGACGCTTCTCATGTCGCGCTGATCCTTCACTGTAGCTGTATACACCTCTGATCAAGTAATCGGTAAACTTGGCCATCGAATCATGTTGGAGGCTAAGTAGTCTGCAGCCGCTTCCGCCTGTACAATGGTAACTTCTTGTCCGAGTCGACTCAGAGTACCTCTGCAAAGAATTAACGAGCAGCCTGCTCGTCGTATTTCTTATTGGCGGCTTCTTGTCTGCTTGTCTATGCATCTCATTGTCTATCTGCTATTGCTCGGCGATTCAGAACACGAGCGGACGTGAATAAGCCAGAAAACAGGCGGTAAGCCCAAGCAACATAGGTACTGTACGTAGAATTCATACGACTCCCATCCTCACTTCCACTGTATTGTCCCTACAGTGGGTCCTAGCAGAGTGAGGGGATATGCCCAATAAGTAAGACTTGGCGTACACAAGGCCATCGTACACCATGGTGGTTTCCTTTGTTTCCGCTTGATTGTTGCTGCTTATTTACTCAGACAATGGCTCCAGTTTCCTATTTAACCTCGGGCTCGGCTGGATATGTGGCACTCCTTACCCTTCTCTCCACAGTGGCTCTTCCCTCGTGCAGGTCTATTCACTTGCTTGAGGCCGATTTCACATGCCAAGAAATAAGGAGCCGCATTGGAAGTTTCTCAAGGCGCCCAACCCTGTTGAGGACGAGGAAGATCTGGAATCCCCTGGAGACGTTGACTACGAGAGCGGGTACGAAGCCGAGTGGGAGCGCACTGAATCTGATGTGGGGTACAGCCCTGTTTGCGAAGTGAGGGCAGAGCGGTTTCAATCCACTCGTACTAGTCCTCCTGAACTTCACCAAGGACCAGCTCCAGGTGAAGATTCAGCAGATTCAGCAGAACCCGAGAGCGCCGAGATCGTTGGTGACTTGGGTCACCTCCTTTCGAACAATGCCTCTTCTGAGGCTGCCGCAGCGCGCGACGGCCACAACGCCAACCTAGGATCGCTCGATAAACCAAAGCCCATCTATCCTAGGGTTTTTTTCCCTCCCTCTCACCCCTCTCCTCGTGCAGGCCACAGGACCACCTTAGGCTCACAATCATCTGAACCGCCAGATCGTGTCTACGCGAAGATATTTTCTCTTCCTGCTCGGCCCTCTCTTCCTTGCACCCCGACCTCTGATGCTGTTCAAAGCATCCCTCATGCTGCGCCAGCGGTTGATCCAGTTCGCATTGTGACATCGACTCCGACTGCGAAGGTCGATAAGCCTAATTCGCCACCAAAGTAGACTACACCTTGATGGTGTAATGTACTGGTTTTTGCACATGCACTTTTGCTACGAGTTTCACGTTATCAGACTCTGGGATGTTGTTCTCATACGCTCTCTATTCGCGAGTCGATTATATGTTACGTTGGTTGAATAATGTTATGCGTGCCCCCTTCGGAAGAGCATTATTTAAGTAACCATGAGCCCGCTCATCGGCGCGTCGAATGGCTGAGTAGGTCTTTTGACGAGGAGCGACAGCCTTACTGTAGGACGTGGTTAATGGACTCCTGAGGCCCACCTAGTATACAAGAATCGCATATATATCTACTACGGGAGGGGCTCAGTGTGAACGTAGTCTCTTATTTAAGTTACCCGATGTGGACTTACACTCGGACCCGGCGTTGAAACGGAGCGCCACCAGCTCTGGGACTCGCAAAAGGCAAACACGCCATCCTCGCAAACCCCAGCCTGATACGTAGTACTTACCACCACGATTTATTCCAGGAGTGCATCCTTGCCCAGCTGATGAGACACCATGCCGAAGGAACCAACACGCCAGCAACTCTCCGCACGCCTAGCTTACCAAGCCAATACGCCTGCCTTCCTCCGGCGGCTGCAGAACAAAGTCCAAGGGAGAAGCGAGGACGATGAAGACGACGAATTTGAAGATGATGGATCTGGGCGGCCGCCCATTCCCCGCCGTCCGGCCATTCCAGAGCGTCCCGACGACGATCCGGGGAGTGCAGACGAGGATGACGCGGACGAGCGGCCGCAGGTGGTCGTTCTCAAGGAGGGGAAACATCTGACTGAACGGGAGGTGGAGAACGAGAAGCGGAAAGGTATGTCCTTGCCTCTTAGTCTCGCACGAAGCTTCTTACGGGTCTCCGTTCAGCTAAGGGTCTACCACCGTTGTCCGAGCCTGAACCGAAGGTCGTGGAAGCATCATCATCTACATCCAAAGCAGACTCGAAATTTGCTCAGTCTGAGATGCAATCGCAACCTCTCTCCTTTTCTTCGTCCAAGACGAGCGCGAAACCTCACAAACGGAAAGCAGTAGGGGATGGGAGAAATGATGCTCCAGCACATGAAAAAGCTGTAAAGAGCTCGAAGAAGAAGCCGAAGAAGGTAGAGAAGAAGCTATTGTCGTTTGGAGATGGCGACGTGTAGCATTGGCTTTGGCCTCCAGACAAATCGAACCCATCGCCGAAGTAGGTTTCCTCGTGCTCTGGTCGTAGCAACTGATTTTATTTTATACATAGCACTCGGAATCCCAAAGACCTATTAAATGTGGTGCTCGCTAGAGCCGTTTCTCCGCCGCCGCCGCCGCCGCCGCCGCCTACGCTGCTCTCTGCTGCAGACATTGCCGTCGATATCCCACCGACGCTGTTTGAGCCGTGGAGACACCATGTCTCTCAAGGGACTTCATTCACATATCATGCGACGGTTGGCCACCAGGACCTGCATTCCATGCCCGCTGCACGAGTCTCCAGTGGGCAATTTGACTAACGCTTTATGTTCTATGGAATAGCTAGAGATTTTCTATCGAACCGCACACGTACAGCGTAATGGTACTATGCAGGACATGGTGTCTACCTGAGTCCAAGGAGCAAACGAGAATAATCTAATCGCACCGCGAAATACCACATGAATGTTCGAAATGGAAGGAAATGATGGAAATTTTACAATTGCGAGCAAATGGATGGTGTCCGTTGAGTGGGATAAATAATGACCAGCAGTATACATGAGATAGCATATTGTGTTCCTCACCGACTCAGGAATGAGGAACACAAAGGAAAGCTTCAAGACCGTGAATGTTCGATACAAGAAAGCAATGGAAACATGAGACAGCCAAGTCGATCGGATATTATCTGTGCCCGAGCGCGGCCAACCGACTCTTCACCTTCGACATAACACCGCCCGTTCCCTTTACTGATACAATCGAGAAGCGGTTGTGGCCGTTCCTGTGGGCGTCTGTTCCGGCTCTGGGAGAGCGCGCTCGCACTTCCCGATCAGAGCCCACTAGGTCCGTCAAGTCTGCCGATGGACGCGACATGAGAGTGAACGACTCCGGGATAGAGGAGACGGAGGGAGAGGGGCCGTATTTCGACTTCCGGGGTATCGGGACGTCCAATAGGGCTCCCTTCCCGAGAGCGTATCGCCTGGGCGACGTTCTACTAGCACCTTCAGCCGCAGAATGGCTCCGCGCATGAGCGATACTGTCGCTCGACAGGGTGAACGAGGGCAGCGATACCCGTGTTGCCCTCGATGCGAGGATAGGCTCCAGGGATACCTCTGCCGCAGTCGCCGCTAGCTCGTCGAGAAGATCGAGGGCGTAACGTGGAAGGACGACTTTCTCCATGTCCGCGATGATCTCGTCCCTTGGTCGCAAAGTAGTGGATGACGTGTAGATTCTGGCGACGCCGAGACTCTGGTCGAAATTTTCTGGGGGATCTTCTACACTTGGGAAGGTGCGCAATGTAACAGAAGAAGGAAAACTCTTCATAATAGGGTGAGCAGGGGATCCCGCCAGATCGGAATGAGCGCCAGAAGGAGAAATAATGCTCTTCCCTGGTGGTTGGCGCAATTTCAGCAGCATATTGAGCGGCTTCACGCGAGTTTGTGAGAGCGACGGCGAGCGCAATCTAATGGAACGAACATGGCTGATAGTCTGGCGTCTGCATGACGCACTGTGATACGTAGAAGACAGCGGTCTGGAAGGAAATTGCACACGAGTCTGCGATCGCTCAAAGAAGCGAGTCAGGTTTGTCCTCCGTCGAAGCTGATGGCGCGTAGGTGGTCTATCATCTGCTGCGGGTTTTTCAGCATTAGTTTGCGGCTTCATTATCGCTGTTAGTGACTGGTCCACAGCCTTCGATTGCTTGTCCCTGTCCGCGCCGCGTCGCTCCTCCATCCAGCGCGTTCGCTGCATCGGCCGGTAGTTTTGCGGCTCAACCGCCTCTCTACCGGCGAGACATGCACGAACTTTCGCAGCATGCTCTTGCGCATCACGCGCCTGGGCACTGAGAAGTGCAGTCACACGCCGTAACGCGCGGATTTGCAAATCCTGCGGAGAGGGCTCCACGCGACAGTGGCGAAAGGTGGTCTCTAGTGCTTGCTGCGCACGTGAATATCGCATCTGTCTGCGCACAGTGAGGTCGGTGAGTGATGTCCTCGTGGCAGAGACAATTGCTTCAGAGACCGGCTCAGCGTCGTCTTGAGTCTTTCGAGACACTGTCGTTGGATTTGGACAGCCAAATGTATGGCTTGTGTCGGGAGTCCTAATCAAGGGTTCGGCAGCCTTCAGGGCAAGACGAAGCAGAAGACTCACAATAGTAGAGAGGTACGGCGATGCATGCCGGAACCCAACCTGTGGGTCCTGTCCTGGAAGACATGATGCATCAGAGATCCCTGTCTGTGGATGATCGTGGAGACACACCGTTGATGCACCAGCCATCACGTCCTCTGTCATGATCCGCAGTGTCTTCGACTGCACGCGCCTAAGAGTGAGACCAGCTGCGGGAGGACTCGGAGCTGTAACGAAAAGCCCCTCGAAGGTGTTGTCGTCGACGTATGTTTTGAGAATTTTCTGTCCAATCATCCTGGTGTGGGAGCACGAAGGAGCCCACGGCGCAGCGCAACAGTGATAAGAATTCAGACTGGCGGATAGGATGACAGGGTCGAGATTGCGGGCAAGCACATACTTCAGTTCAGGCTAGAATGCAATGTTTCGAGTCAAAAACTTGAAAAACATACCGATGAAACTTGCTTGCCAGTGAGCGGTGGCCGTGGCTGTGCGCAGCAATTCGCCGAGTAGTTGCCGGCATCGGCACCCTCGGAGTTCCGCGGGCCACCTCCATTTCCAGCGAGAAGTTACTCAACGCCAACGTTGTCGATCTTCTTAAGAGACTCAGTAGCTCGTACATCCCCTTCATCTTCTCGATTTCTCCTAGAGACTGGCTACGCATGAGTTCTTTTTCAGAGATATCATGGGGGTGAACTGGAGCAACCACTCGAGCTTGACCGAGTGGTGGCCTGCCAGTGTGAAATGTCGTCAACAAGAGAAGTCGCTGGATCTATCCCTATATGGAAGGCCCTTTGTGCCCTAAACTCATGGAAACGGCGCAAGTCGCCACCTGATGGGAACCAAACTCTATTTGGCTTCAAATCCCATTGTCCTTGCCTCGTGGCGTGCATTGCTTTTCCTTGATTGGGACCTGACTCATGCACCTGAATAGCCGAAAGATCTTAGCAATAGATCTACACTTTGATCGAATTCAGGCTGCGGTTGGACACGTTCTGCCTCCAGCGTATAAATACCCGGGTCTGTTGCTCTCCTCTTTCCCCCATCGCCTCTCACCTTCTCCTCTGCGCCATGTGAACGGTTCGGTGCCTCTTCCTGGGTATATATAATCTGGTGCACAGCGCTGTTTCTCTCTATCGCCCTCTCTCTCTTTCCCTCACATACCCTTCCCTTCAAGCACAATGTCTTCTACATGCTCAAGCCGCCTTACGCAAGTTGCTATATGACCACGGCGGATGTCGAACACCAATGGTAAGTCTGCTTCCACATTGTTGTTCGCCGCATGCGCTCAGTGATTTCCTGGCCCCGTAAGCCACTCAGGCGTTAACTGCACGCTTGGACTGGAGCGACACAACGGCGTGAGTTCGTCGTCGTTGACTGGGTTCAACTTCATCTCTGGCGACGGTGGCCACCAATGTGGCCACATCAACACTCTGCCTTTCGACATTGGGCTTTTTTCTAGCAACGGGTGGGTGGGTGCATCATGGTGACATTCTCTTCCTCTGGCGACACTCTTTCCCTCTTGCTACACTATTTCCCTCTGGTGACGCTCTTTTCCTCTGGCGACGGTTCTCTTCTGTTGGACTTGGCGCCATACCTTCTTCTTTTTCTACTTCCCATTGCCTCCCTCCTTTATCGTTCCTTTTGTTTTCGTGACTCTTGTCGACAATCGCGTGGAAAGACCCCCCGAGGGCTGGCGCGGACTTCTACGTGGTCCTCGGGACGAGTACCCCGTCGCCTTCGAAACCAACTCGCGCCAAACTTGAACCTCGCCTGAATCCAAGGTATGTCCGTTGGTTTGATCCTCTTATATTCGTGGACTGATGTTTGGCCTTTTAGATCCAAGACGGCCCTCGACAATCCGGTTGCAAGATGTCGCTCGGACCATCGCCATTCGGGTTGCAAGGCCAGTGCAAGGTGTTGGTTAACATCGGCGACTAGCGTATGGAGCCTGTAAACCCCTTTCAAGGGCGAGATCGACGGAGAGCCGGTGTGCAACGATGTGGGCATTTTATGCCTTCTGCACACCACCATGGCTTTCTGTGACTGGTCGGCAGGTCGCTTTTCGTCCTTTGTTGCTTGCAAGGCGAGCACAAGTTGTTCGTCAGCATCGTTGACTAGCGTGTGGTGCCTGCAAACCCTTCATAAGGGCGAGATATCGGCGGAGAGCCGGTGTGCAACGATGTGGGCATTTCATGCCTTCCGCACACCACCATGGCTTTCTGTGACTGATCTGGCAGGTCGCTTTTCATGCGGTGTTGGCTGCAAGCTGTTCGTCAGCATCAACGACTAGCGTATGGACCCTGTAAACCCTTCTTCAAGGGCGAGATCGACGGAGAGCCGGTGTGCAACAATGTGGGCATTTCATGCCTGCCGGCGCACACCACCATGGCTTTCTGTGACTGGTCGGCAGGTCGCTTTTCGTTCGGTACTGGCTGCAGGTTTGTGCGAGCCTTGCGGTTGTCCTCAGCGGAAGACAAGGTGAGATCTTTAGGGAGTTCATTTCGTCTACGCTTTGATTAACAATGCTACAGTGTCGATGGACAAGAACCATGCAAGGCAACGTGAACGTAGAAGGCTTTCAAGGACTCCATATTCAATATGCATTGCGGCAACAGGTACCTCCAGGTGCGTCCATTCCAACCCCTCTTTTCTCGAGGGCGGGCAGCGCCTGCATCGCAGGCGCTGTCCGGGTGCGGACCTTTACGTGGTCCTCGGGATAAGTACCCCGTCGCCTCAGGGGTGCGGGGGAAACTAACTCGCACCGAATTGAGGTTCGCTTCAATTTCTGTCCACCGTTGTTTGCTAAACATTTCTCGGCATTCCAGACTTTTAGTATTTGATCCTATACGTCTGGAGAATCTGAAATCAAACGAATGTTCGTTCTTCATCGTGTTTCTCGTTCACTGACAAATGGCTATCCTCAGTCCAGACCGAGGATGACCGTTGCCTTCCCTGTCGCATGGTCAGCACGAGGTGCCAGCCAGCGTCGCGTGAGGAGCATAAGCACTACATCCTTACTCAAGGAAGACCGGCGGAACGACCCGGTGCGGCACTTGTTGCCTCCGCGCACTGTAGAGCTCTCCGTGTCTGGTCGGCAGCCGGCTCGTTACTCGGCGTTGGCGGACAGTTTGCGCTCACCTTGCGGTTGCCCTCAAGGGGAGACGGATTTGCTGAAGGATATCTTGCGATCTCATTAAGGTGTGCTGTCTCCTTTCGGGCTAACCGTTGTTTGGAGGTGCCAAGCCGAGGGCGGGCGCTGCCTTCCAGCCGCCCTCCTGTCAGTGCATGTTTCTAGGTGAGCAGCTGCTTCTCTCGTCTAGGTTACACTTGCTCTGGCGGCTTCGTCAAACCTACTTGTTGTTGTGTCAGCGTTCTCTGGCGAAAAGATACTGCGGGTCCCTTGCACGTACTGGTTCTGGTCTCTGAAGATAAGTCGACCACGGGAGTCGACTTTGGCGAGACAGGACTGCGGTTTTCTTTTGTGTAAAGGTGAGTCACCGGTGGTTCCCTGGAATCCAATCTGGCGGCACGGCTCTTGAGCGACGCTGCTCGAGTCTTCGGCGACGCAACTGTTTGGCGACGATTCATTGCTAGTCTACTTTTTTGATAATAGTCTATGAAGTCTGGCTGATTTGATGCTTGTGCTTGGCTATCTGGTGACAATATTATGTCGGTGAGTGTTGTAGCATGATATCGTCTTTTTTTCGTTTGATTTCTGTCAGAATGAATTCTCAAGTCCCGACACTACGTGATGTGGCAGTAATTAAATGATGTTTTCTATGTGGTTATTGGTGAGCGAGGCCTTCACCTGAGTTCGGCAAGTTTCTGCAGTATTCGTCTGCTGCTTTCACATCTGTATTGAACGTAGACGTGACTATATGTTCCACTTGAGTGCTGCTGCGATTCACAACTCTTTTTTTCTTCAGTGAGTACTCTCTTGGCCAACATACTACGGCGCTCGTCCGCTTTCACACTGGTTGCACGTAAAATCGCGACAAGACCCATATCCAGTACATCAATTACCACGCAAGGCCAAGTGAATCCAGGCGCGTCCATTTTCTTTTCCCGAGGGCGGGCGGCGCTTGCGATGGAGGCGCTGTCCGGGCACGGACCTTTACGTGGTCCTCGGGATAAGTACCTCGTTGCTTCATGGCAGCGGGCGAAACCAACTCGTGCCGAACTTCAGGTATCTTATCTCGTTTTCTTACGTGACTTCTTCTTGCCGCGATATCGAGGGCAAGAACACATTTAGATAATACGCTTGCTGGCCATCTTCCACCAAGCAGCGTGGCAAAAGAATGGTGAGTCTCATAAAACGTTGGAATCCTTTATTGACTTTGGGCTCAGCGTAGAAACTCTGTGGCAACATCTTTTGCGTTTCACTCCGCGGCGACGCTCGCACTGACTGATTTCTCTCAGCGACACCTTCTTCCTCTTCTGACTGTGACTGGCGACGTTGACTATGATACTTTTGGCTCGGTCATCTCTCGTACCTCGGGACCGTCTGATACCGGCTGACTACAGCGTTTGTGAAGACGCGAAGCAACCGCACTGAAATATCTCTGTGATTGCTCTTATCGACTACGTCGGTGTGCTTATTCTATCTCTGCAGTGATTAGGTTCTTCTACGTTGAAGCTCCAAGTCCTAGGATTCAGCTTGTCTGGTATGATTCAATTGTCTGTGGCGATCATATTGTCCTCAGGATTGCAACTCGAAGAAGCATCATTGCTCCATTTTCTGTTGGCTCTGTTTCTGAATCTTTTTCAAACGTTCGTGCAATGGCCCAAGTCTTGTCTCTGTTTCTCTCCGTTTACTTTCCTGTGTGCTGAGTCGGGGACGGATCGAGCCTGCAGACAGTGCAAACACGTCCGGGTACGTGGTCCTCAAGATACAGTAAGTACGTCGTCGCCTTATCATGAGGAAAACTAACCGGTGTTGAACTTCTCTCTGTCATGACTGAATATATTACATAAGGACCTTGTGGTACATGTTGTCCGCGAACCTAGACGAGTTTCCTATCGCACTTGCGAAATTAGGCTCGCCTACCATTGAGATGGGTGATACTGATACTGATAGCGTACGTAATCACATCACGTGTTGAGCTGGCCATACGTAGTAGCCGTTCCCCAGCTCCCTGGTGAGTTGATGGGCAAGGAGAAGCACAGACGGCTTCGTGGGTTGTGTACGCAGCTGTGTAGATACGCTTCGACGCTGCTACTCATGCGGCGCGACCGCGGCCTTCAATACACCAACATTGCCCTCGCATGAAATGCTACGCGAGAATATTGAGTATGCGCCACGACGCGACATGGCGCGACGCGACTCGCCAAGCCGTCGGCCGGTGCACTCTGCTCTTCACGGTACGCACGATTCTGTTTATTTTACCAGCCTTCAAGTACCGTCGACAATCGAGATATCGCGTTCTATCCACTCAATAATACTCCGCTTTCGCTTTTCTGATATCGCTGGGTGAACGTTTGCCGGCATTCAAGTTGGACGCGCGCGACTCGACAATCCAACAGCCGGGATCTTCAGGCATCGAAAATTCACGTTCAAGTTCACGGTGCGATGGAGAACGAAGAGCGCGATGAATATGATGAATATTTCTGGGAATTTGACTACGATTCCGTGGAAGCTGTGACGCCCAGGTTACAGCTTACCTCGAAAAATGTGCAAATGGAATTGGTGCCCAGGTAAGTGCTATATCTATTCTAATACTTACTCTGCATGCCAAACATGTCTTCTACAGTAAAAGTGCCAACAATTTTGATGCACAAAAGCAAAACAACGCGCACCAGCGATCCCTGTCCCTTCCTCGCAATGCAGCAGTCATTCGCCCCTCAGCCCCTCCTGTTTCCCGTTCCAACAGTACACGCAGAAGCTCCGATGAGCCACAGAATGCGCGACTGCGGTCCTTGTCCCTTCCTCGCAGTACTGCAGCCGTTCGCCCCTCAGCTCCCATTTCCCAGTCTGACGGTACGCGCAGAAGCTCCGATGAGCCGCAGAATGAGAAACGTGCTGTGCGTGCAAACACGACATCTACTGCAGGCAGCGTAGTGGTGACGCGCAAACGCGGGAGACCAAAGGGAACGGGACACAAGCAGCTTGCGCGCAAGGCAGCTGAGGAAGCAGGGGAGGTCAGCGAAGAGCCGATCAGACGTGGACGTGGACGTCCTCGTAAGAATTTACAGCTCGTTGCGAGCAGTGTACGTGTGGAGGTTATTCAGGTATGTCTAATTCTGATTTTCAAGGACTTACTAAAGCTGACATAACATCAGGACAAAATTCATATTCGAGGGACGCCGGGTACTACTGCATCTACCTTGCAGCACAAAAATGCTCCCACTATCGTGTCAGTGCCACCCATCATTGATAACCAAGATGACCTATCCCTAGCTCCTGGACACAACACCCAATCCCCGACAGACGTGACACAGCCCGTGGACATATCGTCCAACTGTGAGCCTCTTGACCCACCTCCTGCAATCCGATATGTACTGCCAGAGGAAGACCCGACCCGCCCGGTGGATGGTGTCGCTGACGAGGAGGCCGTTGACGGTGATGGATATATTGGATTAGTGATGGATGGATTAGGACAGGAGGACGATGTTCCTGTGGAGGATGAAGAGGCAGATCCTGGTGAGGTGAATGCTGGGGATTCTCCCACTGCGCCGAAATCAAAGCGCCGTGCTCTTCCGTCTTGGTTGATGCGCGAATTCAACGAGAAAGTCACCGAGGCACGCCAGCGTGGAGACAGCGATAAGTTACCGGCACTGTATCGGAGTGGCACCTTTTGGTTTCCTCAAAAATCTCGTTACTTCACTCTTCGCAGTAACAAAGTCTCTCCGCAAGATCTGTACTCGCCACAGTTCTTTCTATGGGACCCCCTTCCTTTGACGCCACATGGCATCCCCTGTCCGAAATGCAAGACAAAGCTCTATCGCGATGGACATGTCTTGTACCCTCGGCGCGTTGTTGACTTTGACAAAGCCTTCTGGATTATCGGCTACCGCTATCGCTGCCCAAGCTGCATATTTCCAAAGTCGGGCAAGACCGGCAACATCACATTTCGCAGCTGGGATTCTCGCATCCTAGCACAACTGCCTCCAGATCTATGTGCTGAGTTCCCTGCATATTTGAGCCGACGCAGTGGGATGTCTCAACAGGTCTTCCAGTTTATGCGCTCGTGCTTCCAGAATGGTATGGGAGCAAAGCAATTCTCTGATACGCTGCGAGTCCAACATCTTCGGCACTATGATCTCATGCAACTTCAGTATCTCCAATTCCTCCAAGGTCATCGTGCCCTCGGTGAATGGCTGGGGGACCGCACATTTGCACCTTTTCTTCCGTTTGATGACACCTCTCTCGACGGATACCATGGTTTTGTCCCAAGCTCGCAGTGGCTCCGTAATATGTATGACCAGTTTATGGAGGGGCATGAACATGATATCAATCAGCACACATCAATGCTGACTGCTGAAATCTGTGCAATTGACCACAGTCATAAGGTGAGCTCCATTGTATACTAGTGGTTCATGTAATATAACAGACCTTCATCCTCACAGATCACGAAACATGTTCTAAAGATGAATGGAGTTGAGATTTACTGCGGGCTTCTCACTGTCACCAATGAAAGGGGTGAGATCCGTGTGTGTAACCTTGTTGCAACCAAGGCTCACTCACAATTTGAACTTGCTCTCGTGCGCATGCGAGAATCCTTGGAGCTATATGGTCATCGGCAACCAACTCTCTTCTACACTGATAATATGGCAGACAAGCAATTTCTGGAAACATCTTTCCCTTCTCTTCGTGAGAATGTCATTCCAGTGGAGAAGTATGCTCATCTTGATCAACTTGTAATCCCATCGCATGTCAATGTCTATGTGAAGGAGACTGCAGATGCCATCCAGCAAGCGATACTGACAATCATTGATCAAGTTGATGAAAACAATCCAATAACCGTTGGTTTTGATGCAGAGTGGAATGTGGACTTAGCGGAAGCTGGTCAGAGCCATGGTCGTGCACGAACAGCAATTATCCAGATTGCTTTTGGCAATCAAGTGTACATCCTCAAGGTAAGTTGTTTATATCATGGATACATGCAGGACTGACTCGTCTTATAGATAGGGCAAATTCTTGCTGCAGGAGCCTTTCCAACAAGTCTTCAGTCATTTCTTTCTAGTCATCATATCCGGAAAGTTGGCCGCCTTGTGGATGTGGACCTGTGTCATCTTGAGATGGAGACACACTCTTCCATGCCTTTCACAGGTGGCTTTGATCTGGCGAAGATGGCAAAAGAACGACATGTTGTTTCTAGTGCACAAGTTAGTCTTTCAGACCTTTGTGCTATTGTCCTGCAGAAATGCTTGGACAAGTCGGTTCCTGAGCGTGTCTCTATGACATGGGAAAATGTGACTCTCACACAGGAACAGATTAAGTATGCTGCCCTGGATGCTTATGCATCTCTGCGGATATACGAGGAGCTTCAAAAGGTACCCGCACCTGGACCCTTGCCACTGAATCCACTTCCATCACTTCCAGTGCTGCTGTATCACACCGACAACACTCGCTTGATTGCCAAAGGAATTATCTCACACTACGCCAGCAAAGACAAATATGATGAGATCAATCTCACATCAAAACGGACTGTGATTCAAGTTGATGAAGTCCTTGTTCCTGGTGCAATCATTGGAACACATCACAAACGTGCTCTCACAGATTTTGGATCACCACCCTTTGACCTTGTATGCTTGCGGTCACATCTTCGTACACGCCAATCAGATCTGATAACTTCAGAGGCATCCCCCTCTGGATCGCCTCCATCAGTCATATCTTCTGCTGCTGAAAACAATTCCAGACATTTTGACGCACTCTCTGATGGACCTGTGACTGGTTCACACTGCTCTGAAGATGAATCAGTGTCACAAGACAATCTTGAGGGCATTGGACCAGCAGTGCTTGACTGTGAAGAGGCTGAGCCTGTCCCATGGGATTCTGACATCAGTGGTATTGACCGAGATCAGGACAGTGAAGCTACTGGAAAGGCTATTCTAGATGCTCTGCCTTCTCAGTGGGACCTACCAATTCGAAGCCGAGTACTCAAGGATCCATTCCACGTGTTTAACATGCTTTACATCCCAAAGACACATGGACTGTGAGTTGCATTTGCCCAAGCATTACGTGACACCATCTTCATTCCAGATCAAGGTGACAAGCAGAAAATTTGTCAATATCTCTCCAGTCTCAATCCATCACGTACTTGGGAGGATATGCGACATGTTTCTCCCAAGTGGCTTTGGAAGCGCTGCAAACGTCTTATCCCTCCACCAGAATTGCTGTATCCTCATGTTGCTCGCATTTTTCAGGCATATGGACCACTGAAGGATGCAAAGACAGGCTTACCACTATTCAATATAGCAGCTTGGCATGTTGCAAAGAACATCCTGTCCCTGATCCAACTGGGCTACTTGTCGGATCCACCTGGAATTGCACTCTATTATACTCTTGGAGTGGATGAAAAGGCAGGAAGACTCCCCATGTATCGATGTATCCGCGGAACTAATTGGACAGAGGGCGGAGTGCATAAACATCTGCGGTCAAGATTACCCATATCCGGTGTATCTCCACGACATATGCTCTCTTGCTTGCTTGACTTCATTTTGCGACACAATCTCTTGAGTACCAATACTTGTGCTATGAAGCATTAATGGTTATGATTTTCCTCAGGTCGGAACTTACAATGCCACGGGTCGGCAATATTCAGGTCATTACGACATCTGGTTGACCAATCAGCTACAGGAACTCACCGCAGTGACCGCTGACATTATTCCTGATGCTCGTCAGATGGGCAGTTGGGTGAATGGCAATCTATACAGGCCAAGTTCTGAGGTATTCGGCATCCTACCTATCCCAGAGGATGTGAGGGTGCATAGCGGCATGCAGCAATACCAACCAACCTTTGATCAAAAGCAGCAGCATACATACCTGGCCGCCAAGCAGGAAACTCGGAAAGCCGTGCTCCCACTTCATTCGGGAGCAGAGTACCAGTTATTCAGCAAGCTTATGCAGGAGGAACCAGCCTTTAATCAGACTGACAAAGAACCAGAATGGGTTCAAGCTGTGAGGATATGGAATCGGGTTGCGGAGTCCAATCCCGAAATTTTATACAAGGTATGTATCCGGCACGCTCACAAGCAACTTGGCAGTCACAATTGAATTTATCACAGCTCGTTGAACACCTCAAGAGCTATTATGCAACATGGAAGAGTAATATGAATGTCAAATATACTCTGGCACAGACACACGAGAGCAGAAAAACTATTGATACCACAGTCCGTGATCCACTCAGATCGAAGCAGGCGCCGCAAACCTGCATCGACACATTCTACACTCCAAGGGCCAAGCTCCTCCATGGCATCTCCAACCACTCCGCTCCTTCTACCATCCACGGGAATGGTCAACCCTGCACGTCAGTTGGAGGCACTCGCGCGCAAACGTGCGCTCGATGCAACCTCCGTTGAGCGGCCGATGAAGAAGGCACGGAAAGAACGTACCTGTCCGAAATGTGGTTCCGCGAAGTGCAACGGACGGCAGGCAGCATGGCGCTGCCCAAACGCATGCCGCGACTGCGGCAAAAAGGCATGTCGAGGTCGTAATAGCAAAAGGCCGAATAAGCCATGTTGGGATGGTTGGGTCGATGGCTAGTTGTAACAATAAATAGCTGCATAGCGAGTACGAGATTACGATCAGACCGCGATAGCGATCGGCCTCAGTATTCAAAAGTGCGGGCGCTTATCTATTTTCTTTTTATTTTATTTTCACCCATCTCAATCGCTATCGAGCCCGAAATTATATCTCCGTTTCATCCGATCCGATCGGGTGTGTCCTAACCCTAATTCAAGAAAACTCCTAACCCTAAATAAAGCATGTTTGATTTAAACCGACTTCGATTCGACTTTGACCACCACCAAGTTCCTCGCCTTCCGCTTCACACCTCTCTGCGTGGCACTTGTCAGATAGTGTGATACCCAAGCACGAAATGCATTCCACTCTTGTGCGGCTGGCTGAATCTATTTCCAAGAGACCTCTAAACCTCCAAAAAACAAGTGCTATTCTTCTCCCACCCCTACCGTGAGTACTAAGCGCAGGCTATTCAGAATAACCGAGTTTATGGCACGGCAGACTATACCGGAGAATCCTTCGTGCTCATCGCTCACTTCCGTATGAGATGCGGTCACTAGGTGACGACTACGTCAGAGCCGGTAAGATCCACTGCCTCACCGGAGTACTTGGTTGACCGCTGTCTCTAGAATTCCGACGGCATCAAGAGATAGAAAACAAAGTACACGTAATTGGTTTCCTATCACAATGGAAACAGTATCTCGATGAGCTACCTGTTGGCCCCGAAGCTAAGCACTTCACGGGCAAGAAATTAGATCCGACAGTTCTGGAGAAGGTGTGCGGGCCCAGGAAATAAAGGAAAATGTCTAACCATATGCTTTCAGATGTCTGCAGAGCAGCTAGGTCAGCTTTACGAGTTGATGCATGCCACGAAGGACGTCTGGAAGCCCGTTGGTGAGGATACGGAAGTAGGCGTGAAGCCATGAGTATAATGCTTTCTTCCGCTATCAGTGTAACATTGAAAATACGGTGTTTTCCTCCGTGAGTCTTCGCGATCTGTTTGGTCATGAGTCCTCAACGCGCCACTGTCCAAACATTCAGTACGTTATTCCTCCCCTCGAATTGACAGTCTCATGAAGCACGTCAAAGGCCGTTTCGTCCGAGCTTCCCTCTTTTTGTCTGCTTCTACACATCAAGCATCTCTTCGGCGGTCATGACGATATGTACTGGGAACAAAGCTACTATCCTGCACTCGGACTCGTCACAGACAAACCCCTCCCTTCCGGCTCATATGTGTCTCATCTACCCCAGCCCTCTTCAGCCACTTATTTCGCGTCTCACGTTGTCCGAGCTTTCCGAACCGTCGCTCTTCGTGTGATCGGGCTCGCTCGGGATTACGTATGACCAATCACAGCCGCAACCACAAAGTGCCGATGGATCACCTGATGAAGAGATCACGTGGCTACCTAAGTCGCTCTCTTAAGAACGCGATCATCTGAAAGGTCTCGAAATTCGCATATCATCTGCCCACTCGTTCAGTCACCTTCTAAGTCTTATTGTTTGCAGACAATGTCCCAAGTTCTGGTCAGTGTGTCGGATTTCTGGGAGATGTGTACTGACGCAGAGCAGACAGTCAGCCCTAACACAGAGCCGTTCGCCGAGCTTCCCCCCATCTGCGCTAGATTGTTCGAGGCCAAGGCCAAGCAAGGTACGACATCCACATCTCTGCTATGAAGTCTCGCAATAAATGGTGCAATGCACGAATTGCGCAGGCTTGACCTTTGACCAGATCGGCAAGGCCATCGGCCGCGATGAAATATGGGTCGCTGCACTCTTCTACGGACAGGTGCGCAACATCTTATCCTTGTCTTTAGCACGCGCACGGTTTGACCTTTGTCTTTGTGCAGGCGAAGGCGAATACCGATGAGATTGCCAAGTTATCTCAGGTGCTCGAGCTCCCTGGTAACAACCTCTCCGAGCTCTGCGATGCATGGATCCCTCGTCGCGGTCTTGGCCCCATGCCCCCACGGGACCCTGTCCTGTACCGTCTGTACGAGGGCGTCATGGTCTACGGCAACGCCATCAAGGCCATCATTCACGAGAAGGCACGTTCCTTCCTCCCCACTGTAGTGTTGCTCACCCCGCTTTGGGTTCAGTTTGGCGACGGCATCATGTCCATGATCGACTGCAAGGTCAACGTTGAGCGCAAGCCGGACCCCAAGGGCGACCGCGTCGTTCTCACCTTCGAGTGCGTCTTCTTTTTCTTGGCATGTCAGGGTATATCAGTTTAACCGATGCAATTTTCTCCGTGTCTGTGTTATCGCAGTGGGAAGTTCCTCCCGTACCTCAAGTGGTAGACTAAAAAATGCGCGTGAGCGTGGCACAGGATGTACGATAAAGACATAATGCATGTAAGAGTAGGGGAGACGACAGAGATGCTTGCGCTTGTCGGTACAAACTGCACGGACGTTTATTCCACAACAATACATCCATAACAGTGTGATCTCATGCTTGTTCGCTCTACTCGCGCAATGACAAACCAGGACTATCGTCAGTTCACATAAGAAAATGCGCCGTGCACATCTAATCCTACAACTCCATCCCAGGCATAGATACTACGGTACGACTCGACCGAATATGGACAATACACCTCGCTCACGCGACCTCGATCATGAAGCCCATTGACTTCTTCGCAATGGGGGCCTCGACATCCTCCGGCCTGCCAACGCCAGCGTAATCAATCTCGCCGTGGCCGCGAGGGAAATCGGGCGGCGGGATGCCCTGAAGGAAGCTTTCCTTCTGCCTGACCACGTAGTCGGCGTTGGCAGGGGTATACGGGACGGCGGGAATGTACATCACTATCGAAATTGCAAACGCACGGTTGGATAACCGTACGAAGTGATGAAGTGAAGTTACGCACCCGCAGAGTCGTCGTTGCCGATGTGCTCCTTCTCCACAGCGTGCACGACATCGCAATGCCAGAAGACCATGTCGCCGGGGTTGACCTTCGGAACAGAGACCATGGTCTCATCTAGCCTGAGGTGAGGGTGGGTCTTCGTGTTGGGCCAGGGTCCGCGGAAGCCAGATCCGGTAGAGTAAACACCCGGGAAGTCAGACGAGGTGATGTCTAAGGTCAGACTATCAACGGGCTAGTAAGCGCCAGTACTTGCAGGATGACGCACCGTATTCCCAGTTCTTAGAATCTATGACGTCCTCAGCACCTTCCTTGGGACGGAAGAAGGGGCGCAGGATGGTGTAGGCGTTCGAGAGGTAGACACTAGGAAATACCTGGAGGGTGCCCTCATGAGGAGCGGTGCCGCTGCAATACATCAGTACATCGGCGCAAATTACGGATTTAACCATGTTCACCTCACAGCGAGCCAACCCTGGTAAGTTCTGAAGATAGTTGCCTAAGGAATATATAGCGTCAAAACTCAGTTTTCGTTCGCCACTAAATTCGCTGACCTGGCCAACACGGCCGTACATCGAGCTACGTGCGTTGATACGGTCTTCCAGGTCATAGGGATCATGTTGGCGCCAGTTGCCGCTCAGGATATCCTCGAAACAGTGGCGGAACGTGGGGTCTTCCCACCGCTCGATTCCGCCACCTGGGAAGTGATTCAGCCATCATTCACAAGCAAATACCCTACGTGAAATACCCACCATCAACGTGAGGAGGGTGAGCATCCCACTGCACGCCCGGGTGGCGGATACGGAAGCGATCGGCGTACATCAGAGGGGTCGACAGGTCTACGTTCTCAATCTGGGCACCAGAGCGGACGTGGTACATGTTGTTCAACCAGCTCGTAGCTGCAAGTACATTCGGGTGCGCACGAGCACGCACTTGCGAGCGTGTCCAGCTACGCCATCACGTCAGCATACAGTCGGAAAACTCGAATTACGCCACTCACTAGAGCTGGAAGAACTGCTTGTCCTCGGCGGGGAAGCCTAGCTGTCGTTTTAGCAAGGATCGCGCACGTCGGCCAGAGCGTAGACCAACCATCGATACTCGGGTTCTTGGTTACATATTCCCGCAACCATTGTCTCCATTGCGTTGCCTCTTCATCATCAACCACATCCTTGATGACAAGACTGCCCTTGCGCCTAATTTCCTCAATGCGCTCGGAGCTAAGGTTTGCAAGCTCAGAGAAATTGACCTGAGGGACGTACTGAAGACAAACATCAGCACAGGCCAAAATTAAATGGGTTTGTTGACCTACGTCAGAGCCTTGCGCAGCGATCTCAGATGTGACGGTGTCGAGCTCGGCTAAGAGCTCGTTCCACGCCTTGGTGACGCGCTCTTGGAAGTCTGGGTAGGAGGACGCGATGTCCTTCTTGATCTCAACAAAGCGAGGAGGGCAGGGGCCAAGATCGGGCTTAGACATGGTTATGATGATACGAGACCTCGAGGGCACTGAGTGCAACACCTTGCAGCTTTATATCTTGTAGAAGCTCCGAACATCGTCTCGGACACAGACAGTGATCATACTCGCGGACCGTCCTCCGAAATCTGGCATAGATCACGCGGTTAGGGCGTGACTTTGAGAAAGCCTTGAATTTGCACAAACACCTGCAACAACGCATCAGTAGGTGTTTCTTCCCTAGTCGGGAGCCGTCGTGAATCATCCGCCTCTTCTGAAAGACGTACGGCCGAAACCACGCAGGATTGTCTTTAAAAACATAGAGTTCATCCTCGAAACACTGAGAGCTATTTCTCTCCGGGCACCGAAAAAGCGATGGATGACAATTGATGCGGAGAAACCTCGGTATACGTTCGTTCCTCTCATCCTAGGTACGGGTATCGATGTGAGCGTTGGTGTTCACCTGATATGATGGGAAAGAACACTTACGCGGCGAGATGTCTTCAGCCCCGTGGGAACCCTAGGGTGCCGATGGGGTGTCTCACTTATCTACTGCAGCGGATATGTAAACGCCAAACATTAGCAATGACTTACTTGTAGTGCAGATGCGCCCAACATGTGCTTGCAGGAGTAAGTTGCAGTAATATTACGACTTGTTGGATGCCAGAAATAGATCTTACTGCAAGAATTTCGACAACACGTAATTAATAGAGTAGAGGCGCACGAAGGAAAATTTCCGGAGATCAGCAACGGGCATGATACAGAAGACCAATAACCACGACGAGTAGGTGCACGATAGATCAGGCAGCTTCTTCTTCAGCATACTCCAGCCCCTCTTCAAACTCCTCGTTATCTTCCGCTTCCAGGGTCGCTTCTTGATACTAGATCGAGGAGTCAACGGAAGCCCGCGCTGGATCATACTGCGTTCCAAACATACCTGTTGATACTCGGCACTGCGAAACAGCTATAGTTAGCAACGGCCCAGCTGCACGCATCAAAGTGCGGGTGGCTCACATCAGGTCATGCGTATTGCTTTCTGCTTCAGAGAACTCCATCTCGTCCATTCCCTCGCCCGTGTACCAATGCAGGAACGCATGGCGCTTGTACATGGCAGCGAACTGTCGAAAACCCCAGCCACATCGTATGATGTTGGACACAATCCAGACCGTTAAATGAGGACACGAACCTGGGAGAGAGTGCGCTTGAAGAGTTCCTGAACAGCCGTAGAATTTGCTAGACATGTCGCGGACTAACGATCATTGCGCCAGTTAATTTTTCGTGACGGTAAGGGGAGGACTGAGTACCTGTTGTTGCCCAACCGGAGGTACTGAGCACAGAGAAACGGAAACATTGTCCGGTATCCATCTGGGAGCATTTCAGTATCGCATTCGAACAAGGAGTATCAACCCAACATACTCAACGAACTGTGAGGAGTTCTTGCGCTGAAGCTCCAACACAGAGTACTAGTGACGTTGGGTAGGCAATGCCACGTTCTTACACCAAGAGAACGCACTTACTTCCACCTGCATTCGATGTGAGCAGAGAAAACGAGGGGACTGGGGACATCATGAGCAACTCGCCTCCCGGGACGAAAGCTTCCCTCGGAAAATAGTCGCTGCAGTTAGATAGCGGCTATCGAGACATTGAACATTCATGATCGCCCAGACACATGCATTCACTCACCCGAACTTGGGATCGCAGGCGACAAGGAGGTTTCTCCGATCAAAGAGACTACAACGTGATCGGCGATCGTAAGGGGAAAAGCTGGGTGAAATTTGTCACTGGCGACTCACGCTGATGTCAGGTCGGGGACAGTGAGACGCATGAACGCTCTCGCCTTCGGATCGTAGAAGGGTGCATAACTCGGCATCAAGAAGTGCAGCTACGTTGGGACACAAATAGTCGGACACAACGCGAGGAAAAAAAGGAAGGTAGAACCACTTACACGTGGGAAGGGGATAAGGTTCAAGCCAAGTTTCCGCAGATCACTATTCGTCGTACATTCAGCATAAGGATGCGTTATCACCCGAGCAAGAAGACGCACCCATTCAGCTGACCAGGGAACCGCAAACTGGTGCTTACACCGCACATCACTTGTGAGACCAACTGCGAAGGTTGAGATTCAAATCGCAGTCATGCGAGTAACACTGCGCCTGGACCTACCACGTTGAGATCTGAGAACTCCGGATTCTTAGTGTGCAGCGTTCGCACAGTGATGTCGTACCTGATAATAGTGAGTATACGGTGTGATCATTTTGCGGAGTACGCACAATGCCTCGTTATCAATACACATCGTCAGATCACTGTTCTCAACGAGCTGGTGGATGGACAATAGCGCATTGTACGGCTGCGTGCCATCAGTTTATCGTCTTACCCAGATACAAGCTCGCGCGTACCTCGACAACCGTTTCCGACACCTTTACATGGAACATTAGTGCGCGTCCCTTCTAGCAGATTACGCCGACCCACCTTAGGAGAAGGGAGAATCGAGAAGGTAGAGAGCATCCTGTCAGGAAATTCCTGAAGTATTCACATCAGGGAGCAAGCCAACAGGTTATCAGCGAACACAACTTCTCGGAATTTCGACAACAGCAGTGAGCCTAAGCCTGAACCGGTACCTCCACCCAGAGAATGGATCATCTGAAAGCCTTGTAGAGAATCACAAGCCTCGCTTTGCCTGCGGACGATATCCTGAAATAGCCTTGTTTAGTAGCTGGGAGACTCTAAAATGCGGCGGGTGAGACTGACCAAGATCGACTCCACCAGCTCGGCCCCTGGAACCCAGGGTTAGCACAGCAGATATAGACATGTCTAATTACCGTACCCTCCGTGTAGACTGATAAATAGAGCTGGTCAGCGCACGCTGCGGCAACGCACGGCATAGCTGCACTTACATCCTTTCGCCCAGTTGTTTCCGGCACCACTGTCACCATTCACGAATGTATCTGGCCGGAACAAAGCTCCCATCTTACTTGCACGTATCTGATATACTGTGAGTCTCTCGTGAAACCCACACTGATTCCTGAAGCCAACTTACGCGATCGCACACGCCTTGTTCGAGATCAACCTGCACACTACGGGGAACGTACTTCTTCTCGCTGCCAGACTGCTCGACCTCGGTGAAGAAAACTCCAACCTGCACCAAAATGACACTCAGGTAGGCATTTTCTTTGGAAATCTCAAGACGTACCCTAGCGATTTGCAGCGGATCATTCCCCTTATAAAACTGACCCTATCGCGTCAGTTCGGTGCCCGAGATTCGGGAATCGCGCACTCACACCCTCCGCATCGAGACCATGTTCTGCAAGGAGAATCTCCCAGAAGCTTTCGCCAACCTGGTTTCCGGCCTTTGTTCGCGAAATGTTAGATCTCATAGCTGGAACTTTCTGACACCTGGCTAACCTGGCCAACCTGGTCGCGTACGGATAAGCTTAGAAATTGGTCAACTCTAATGATACACATACCTGAACATTGATGATTTCGCGCGTCATTCTGGGAGTGTGAGAGGTGAGCAAGAAGTTTTGGCGGTGAGTGCGTCAAGCTCTCTCAACAAAACTCGAGCCGTCGGGCCCAGGGTGAGTCGATAGCACACGCGGCTCACACGTGGCCAACAGTGACGCAAGGCGATCGAATTCTTCCAATCAGGATCGTCGTTTAAAATTTCACGCGTCAACGAGTCCGACGAGAAGATTTTACAAAGAATCGCTTTCAAGGCAAGAATTTCACAAACGCGAAGACATCAGAGTGGGTGGAGGTATGGTCAACCTTAGCGAGAAGGTGATTCAGGAGAACGAGGAGCTTGGCATGGAGATCAAAGCTCCTATTAGATCATCGCCTTTGTCTCACGCGCGGTGGGTTCACAGAAGGAAAAATATTGAGAACATACTAAATTCGGAAAACGAAATAAGATTGTGAAAGGATCGATACCACAATATCCAAGTGATTGTCAACGATCTCGTTTCTGTTCACTCACAAGTCGCTCAAACATCTCAGTCTGTTGTGAAGTACAGCACTTATTGTTGGGAATGCCCGGAGGAAGCGATCCGAGGGCACCCATGGAGCCCGCCACAGCGGGGAATAATTATGTAAGGGAACTTTATATAGAATGTATATAAAGAAATCTATTTCGGGAACCCGGCTGAGTAATCGGGTCTTCCCTTCACATCATCGCGATATTCTCTGGGATTTTACCTATTATTCTCAACAGGTTATGAGCCCCGAGACCGTCTAAACCTCGGACTTGTATCCTACTGCTGCTAACAACCAATAAAACTATCCTCACCCATACAAGAAAAACTACCCCTGTTCCGGGCGACACGATGTCGAATGATGACAAGGACATTCCGAACAGTATGTATCGGATCCATCCTCTGAAGGAGGACAACTGGATGCCGTGGAAGAGGCGCATGACTGCATTCCTGGATGAGAAGAAGCTTCTCAGCTACATCACCGGTGAGATACAGAAACCAGAGCCGAGTGCTACACCACGTGAAATGCGAAATTTCTAAGACCCAGAATTTGGTTAGGTTACATCGATTCGGAGGAGGTTCTGAGTACATTCTTATGAAATCCTGCCCATCACAGAACTTTGTCGGTTTAACTAGGTTATGGCGATGTTCCTGAGAAGTTTCAGGTAGCATTCTGGTCAAATTCTGTTCAGTCATGATCAGGCTTGTGTAATTCACAAAAATTCCCTATATGGCAGTAGAAAATGAATGAAAATGCATTATTTTAGACGCGTTCTCGGACGCCCAAATGACACCATAGGGATTCGCAGACAGCTAGCGTACTACAGGAAGACGATGACAAGCCAACGTGCACATAAGTCCGGACTCAGAGACGGGGAAGAGCAACCTGACACCCCACTTGAGCACCCTGCTATCGGTCATGGCTAGCAACTCAGCGCCGAATCCGAATGTTGCGAAGCTCAACGCTGCCGTCGAGGAGATAGAAAACTTGAAAACAAGTTTGTCAGCATACAAGGAGAAGACACAGAAGATCGTACAGGTTCTGCATGGGGAGAACCAGGTCCTCAAAGGCGAGCTGTTGGTGATCCAGCAGCGGGTTGAATATCTTGAGGAGCAACTAGCATTGCAGTCGAAGACGGTGACAACAGCGGGCCGAGCTCTGCACAAGAAGTTGACGCAACGGCAGGAGAAGTAGAGCAGCCCGCAGATGAGATGGATGAGGACGAGAAAAAACTGGAGCTCAGTCGTGATGCTGCAGAGAGTAAGCCGATCAAAGTACGCACGCTAAGTGTTATCGGCCATATCAGCCAGCTAAATACAGTGATTCAGGATGCCGTCAATATGGCATTCAAACATTTGATGGGTGTTCCGAAGATTGACCCCAAGTCTCTGCCGTTCTACCCTTATCAGATATCACGCGAGCATGAGCTGTGGCCTAAGGACCCGGGTACTCACCAGCCACTTATCCGTTTCATGTGGAAGCACTCCGCATCTCAGAAAGCCAACGCCATGGGTCTTCGAAAGGTGTTAGAGACAGTTCGTGCGCTCGGTGCCCAATGGGTGCTGACATGCAAGAAGTTCCTAGAGGACATCCTCGATACAGACCTCGAGACCCGAATCAGATCAAAGTATGACTACATGGCATATGAGTGGCGCAAGATCAACAAGATTGCAGAGAGCAGTGATGACTTACAAGCCGCTGAAGATGATGGCTTTGGTGAGCAGGTCGTCGAAGGTGGTGGAGAGGATGAGGGGCAGGTGTTGCCTGTAGCTACCAAGGATACAAGACAGAGTAGGCCCCGCGGAGCACAGAATTCCCGAGTCTCGTCGGTGAGTTTTGATTACAATATCAAAATGCATCGTACTCACATTGCGCCCGAAAGAAACTCAAAGCTCGCCAGCGCAAACGCGCACACTCCACATACACGGATGCTAAGTTTGACTCAGCATTCATAACCAACGCCATGTCAGATGATGAAGACGATCCAGATGCAATCCCGGGGGAAGGAATGAAGAAATGGATAAGTCACGCGCCCGACTATCGTAGTGATATCGTGAGAGTTCTCACCATTTCTATGCATCTACGAGGACTAATACCAATCACAGGTTAAGCAGTTATACCAAGACATCGACGCGATTGCTGATCCGAGCCAGACAAGGCCAAGGCAGCGACCACACGTATACGAGGGGCAGAGAAAAAGGATAGTGTTCCACTAAAGGCCAAGAACTTGAAGAGTCGGATTCGTGCATGGCAGGTAAAGCAAGAGCTGTTAGATGTGAACGAGCACTGGTTTACATCTGGGAGAGTCACTAAGAGTGGTATGGCGTGGGGAGACCCGGAAGATCCAGAGCCGGAAAGTGAGAAGAAACGCAAGCACGATGGAGAAGGATCAAAGAGGGGGAAGGGCAAGAAACGCGCTATAGATCGGAGTGCAGTGGAGAAGTCCAGGGCGGAGCTTGATGAGTTATTGAATGGTGAGGACATGAACACAGTTCTCACCTTAGAGACCTGATTACTGCGAGTCGCAGTGATCACTGTGTGCGATGTCGGCCATGTGGCCTTCATGTTTCTTGTTCATCATCCTGATCTTGATCGTCGGGTCTGCCGTCGAGTTCTTGTTCAACTTCATTCAGCCAATCATCAGTAGGTTCAATGCCCGTCTTTGTATCATCAGAATTAGTGTGTCTATGCAGAGGTGTAATCACTGCGGCGATGAGACTAACCCGATCAAACGAGTGAACTATCCATAACGGCACATCAGCGCCAAGGCGGCGAGAGGTGGTTGGTAGTAATGCAACTGCAGCTGCAAGTTTATCGGTCGGGACAACCTCAAGGTCATGGTAGGTGTCATGATAGGCGACGTAGATGCCGAGTTCTGTTGCACTGCACATTCCGTCAGTTGGTGCACAATTTTTCACGAAGATATTAGTTGCACTACATTGACCATGGCATGGTTGGAATGCACTCGTCTGCCTTCATCCGTTGGACAATAGAACAGAATACATGTGACTTGCCTGTAATACTTAGCTTAAAATGATACAGCAGGCGGCAGGGCACTCTGGAGTGTGTAAAATCAACACAAGCATGGCGGTCTGCTTGAGATCGGCCATCTAGCGAGGATCCATAACGTATACCATCCCTGTACAGGAATGGTATGCCAATAGCGGAATGAGAAGCTGACAGGGGAATGAAACCTGCAGATGTGGTGAAGTCATCAACAATATTGAGGTCGGGCCATGCAGAGCGAGCGTAGCTTAAGAGCAAGCCATATACTTCGGCATGAGGTAGGCTTCAAAGATTGATAAATCTTGTTTCCTTCTTCCTACGCGTGGAGTTCGGCATCCTTATTGAACCATCTGGGAGACTGTATCACTCGCGGCATAACATATTCGAAAGAAGACCGTCGCACCTGTACCAAAACCTGCCAGTTGTGTGTGCAGGGTACCTCGATTCATACCCTTCTGTGTGGTTACACGAGACATTAGTTTCCGCTCCTCTGGGGATGCGTTCTCTGGCATAGAGACAAACTGTATACCGAGAGGAGTATCAGCAGTCTCCAATTGCAAAGATTCAAAGTACTTCTACCAATCCATACAAACGCTGTTTCGCGAGCCAATTGCGCATCAGTGTTGTCTCCATTTCTCCTTCGGCATGCCCATTTAAATTGACAGCTTCTTGCTCGCCATTGCAGCGCTCAAATGCGAACAGCCACCATGCATATGCAGGGCCAAATGATTTGAATACAAGTGAATAATGCATACTCATATGATGGTTGATTACCAAGTGTGCGCCAAGTGCGAGCATGCCTTGAGAGAACTTCTGCAAGTAACGCTGGCCACGGCCAACCTCGTCCATGGAAATAGCTTTGCTGGCCAGGATCCGTTCAGCAACAGAGAGGTAGATGAGGAGTTGGTACACCTCATCAAGATACCATCAGAATGTCGGTTCGTGCTTTGCATTCGAAGGAATCGGTGGTTCTCTGTGTGGAATTTTATCATTCTTGTCACGCCAACAGATCCACATTACTGTGGTCTGCACATTGACCCAACGACACCACTGATCTGCCTTCTGCAAACCATGGTTGTCGCCAAGCTCAAGACATCAGGTTAGCAAATGTTCCAAGACAACTTAGCGAGCTGCTCACATTTTTAGGAAGCCGACCAATACCCGACGGCCAGATGATCGAGTTCTGACTCTCCTCCATCAGCCTCCAGCCTGCAGCATCTAGAAGGTACCCCTCATCCAAAACTTTGTTGTGCATCTCTTTGATGATACCTGAATGAGAGCATACAGTCAGCTCTTCGTGCATGCACCAAATAAAACAAACCATAGAAATTATGCATATAGTCGAGTGCCGTAGTTGCAACTGGCATAAATCCCGCACATTCGTTCAAAACAGAGTGTCGCACTCCACTCTGGTCGAGTATTTCCTTTTGCTTTTTCTTTGTTTTGGCGTTCTTCGACTTGAATCCTGATGCGAGTTGTTGCCAATCATCTCGCAGAACAAAATCTGGAGTGTAAGAAGGTATGCAAGAGGAATTCATTACAAACAAATTGAGGCTTACGGGCGATGCTATACCCTGCTGCGGTATTGATGTCATCATGCGATATAAGGCAGATGTTGCAAGGGTGTGATTTATGAGAATGCCCTGCCGAACCGGTGACTTTGTGTGCTGCTTGAATGTCGCTGACATGCAACTCCAGGCCGCCTTGAATGCGGGGTGGAATTTGTCGGCTATACATTAGCATGATGACACCTATACACACATTCAAAGTGATGCTTGAGCCCGATATCATGAAGGAATGATCTTATCGGTATTCAGCAGATGCATCTCCTTAACCAAGGGATCCAGTGAATAGTTTAGTTGCTCTAAGCTTGGTTCCTTCGGGCCAGGAATGACAGTAGCGAGGTGAACATTCTGTTGGAGAAAGCGCACTGAGTGGTGCAAGTTGTTAATCGTGAGATACACTCCACCGGCAGAATGAGGCAGGTTGTCGGTGATGCCGAACCTATAGAGGCACAAGTACTCTCGCAACAGACTCCTGCATAATGTAAGACTCACCAATCAACATTGATAGTGAAGCTTAGCCCCACATCACATTCCAACAATCTTCTCCTGGTACCTTCAGAAACCTCAACATCTGACACTTCACTGTTTTGGTTTACCACGCGCTTCGTGCCCACTTCTAGAGTACCGTAGCACTCAGCGTCATGGATATCACTCATGAGCTCATAAGTAGGAATAGGACGATGGCGCAGAGTAGTGGGGTCGATAAGATTCTTCACGAAATTGGGACGCAGAGCGAAACGGCGGAGCGCTTTGATAAGAGACGCATATGGCTGTATTTTTGCCGGCATTCATCTTTCTTTGCCATCGAGGTCACACTTCACCCTGTAGGCAATTCCTTTGCAGCGGTGAGTAGTACAGTTGGGGGCAGCCAATGTAGCGATCTCGTCAGAGGTGTAGGGCTTGTAACATACTGTGCATATAGCAATCCTCTCGAAGTAAGACTCCACATCGAGCCCCAGTCGCTGTTTAGCAGTAATGAGGCTTCGTGCAGGTTTTGGATAAGTCGGCAGGCAGCCACATAGTTTTATGACATCCGGGTAAGTATTTAGACTTTGCTCCGAAGCTGCCACTGTAGAAGAATCAAAGACATTGCCTAGAACTGCATCAAGATATGCAAGTCGCACCGGGGGTTGTTCACGGAATGCAGGTGCAAGTCCACTATCATCCTCCAGAAGGCGAGCACGTTCTTGCGCATCTTCGTCCTGTCCTCCAGCGGCATTTGCATCTTCATCTTGTCCTCCAGTGGCATGCGCATCAGATTCTGCTCCATTGACCATTGCATCTTCCCGAGAGGGATTGCCATCATTGGCTGCAGCTCCAAGCTCATCAGGTATATCGTTAGGTATGACATCGTCGTCAAACACAGATTGCGCCGGAGATGACTGATCTGCGCAGTGAGAACCTTCAGGAGAGTCAGGACTGTCTAAGTCTCCAGCACTAGGAAAAGTGACACCAGAATCATCTAGAAGGTGTGTAGACTCCTGTATCTCGCCAGTGGTAGAATCAAGTGCCCCAGTCTGATCCTCTGAAAGTGCGACATCAGCTTGAGTGGTAACTGTATGCAGTCCTATGCGAGACACCAGAGGTTGTGATTCCGCGGCTTGGGCTTGTTGCTGAGTATCTCTCTTCTTGTGTTGAGCAATTGTTTGCTTGGACTGGATCTTAAAACCGCGTATGCTCCGGCTGCAAAGTGAGCAAAAGCAGGCTTCTTCAGCTTGCCACCACAGAATCTGTACCACTGAGAGTATGATTAGCATATGGACTGACCAAGAAGACCTATCGCACAGATGAAGGCATTTATCTCGAGCTTCTCCAATATGTAGCGGTGTTCAAGCAGTAGTCCGGCAGGATAGTGTTTGGCAGTGCGTCGTAGCTGAGCATGTCGGTGGCACGCGTGCACATTGTATGGTGGTGTGTATGTGATAACATGAGCGTGCATGAGCGCGTGCACTCTTAGCTAAGGTCAGAAATGACTGGGAAATCACTCTGTTATTGGCAAACTACTGGGACATTCCGGTAAGGGGGAAATCACGACAGAATCACGACAGAATCATTCCAGAATTGCCGCATCCTAACCAAATTCTGGGTCTTAGAAATTTCACATTTCACGCGGTGCTAATCCGGATACCAGAGAAGTGCGCAATGCCGAGATTCAGAAGTGGGGCGAGAAGGATCAGAGGGCGAGGAATTTGATCATTATGTGCCTGGACAATGCACAGGTGATCCATATGGAAGGAGCGACAATGGCACATCATATGTGGGATCTGCTTTGCACGGTAAAGGAGCTGAAAGGACAACATGAGATCATAGCATTGAGTTGAGTTTTCTACGATTACCATGCTGATGAAGGTGTGAATATCCCGAAGCACATCGCCAAGCTTCAGGAGATACGCGAGCAATTACAGATGATGGGAAAGCAAATAACAGATGCAGATTTTAATGGGATCCTCATCAAGTCCCTGCCCAGCAGCTGGGACTCATATATGGTGTCGTACACTGGCACGATAAGTTCTCAGCCAAACTCTCTGCCAATGACAGCACTGGAATTGATCGCTGTAGTCATCGGCGAATATAGGTGCCATCTTGACCATGATCAGCATGTCGAGCCAGAGCAAGCGCTTACCACCCAGAGCCAGAAGCGGAAGCAAGACTCGATCAAGAAATGTTCCATCTGTCATAAGATGGGACACACGGCTAACAAATGCCGAAACCGAGGCAAGCCCATCTGTTCTAATTGCGGAAAGTTTGGGCATGTCGGGAAAGATTGTTGGACCAAGGGCAGCAGCAAGGAGGGACAAGCGCCTTCCAGAGTGGGACCGTCCAATGCCCCATATCGAGGTGCATCATCCAGAGAACCTTCATACAAGCGCCGAAAATTCGAGCAGATGCGCGATGCTGGCGGCAAAGGCAAGGACAGAGTGCACGTTGCACGCGAGAATGATAAAGAAGATCGCGATAGCGATATGGTATCCTTAGGCACTAGCTCGGGGAATGAAGATTTCGATTCCTTCTATGACTGGTATGCCGATTCAGCGACAACGTCGCATATCGTGAAAAATTGTGATATATTCATAACCTACAAACCCCTTGAGCATCACACGATAAGCGGACTTGGCACTGTCCAAGCCTATGGACGGGGAACCATACAGCTCGAAAGTAAAGTAGGAAATAGAAGAATTAAGTTCCAATTGCGCGATGTACTATATGCACCGCGGTCCCCCTGCAATTTACTTTCAATACCGAGACTTGATGAAGCTGGTGGCCAAACAGTCATGGGAGATTGGCACGCAATCTTAATTGATCACCGCGGAAAAACCCTTGCTGTCGCCAAAATGAAAGGTAGATTATATTTATTTCACGCCCGAGCGGTTAAGCCGCAACAAGGGAGTGCATACATAGTGTCCGAGAACGACCCGCGCACCTGGGAAAAGTGGCACCAATCATACGGACACATCAGCAAAGCCGCACTACAAACTTTGCAGTGCGACCATCTAGTTGAGGGCTTACAATTTCTGCCCAGCCCGGCCAATATCGAATGCACTGCATGCATTCAGGGAAAGGCATCAAAGAAGCCATTCCCTAAAGTGGCAAGCGGGAGAAGCCGTCAGCCCGGTGAGTTTACACATACCGATGTCTGGGGCCCAGTGTGGACCGCTGCAATAGGTGGGTGGAGATATTTTGTAACCTTCACAGATGATTACACACGATGAAGCACAGTCGTGTTTACCAAAATGAAGGATGAAACTACAGACAAGATAAAGAATTATATGACCTACCTTGATCGACGTTTTGGGAACAAACTGCGAAAACTCCGCGTAGACAATGAGCGAGAATATATTAACACCGAATTAACAAATTGGTGTGCCGCCCATGGGATTGAGATAGAGATGACTGCACCGTACTCTCCATCCCAAAACGGAGTCGCAGAGCGTCTCAATCGAATGCTACTTGCCCTCGCGAGATCAATGATCTACGCAAAGGATCTACCACGTTATCTATGGGCCGAGGCTGTATCACATGCAGCCTACATCAAAAATCGAGTGCCCACCAGCGCGCTCGACCATGCCACCCCTGAAGAGAAGTGGAACCAATCAAAGCCGAATATATCTCATTTACGAGAATTCGGCAGCGTCGTCTGGGTTCTCACAGAGGACATCACGCTCTCAAAGCTCGCACCAAGAGCCAATAAATATGTATTTGTTGGCTATATAGACGGGCCGAACACTATTAAATATTACGATGCCAAAACACGTCAAATAAAAAACGAGCGAAATTACCACTTCACTAATCGGGATCCATCTCCAAATAATGCGACATTGCAACCACATGAGGGAGAAGGACCCGATGCCCCACAATCGAGGACTGCAGATGTGCAGCGTAAGGGGGAGTCTTCAGATTCAGGGGGAGACGCGCTACAGTCCTCCGTCAATAACCTGCTAAAGCGCAGATGCGAAGAAGATGAGGATAGAGATGCACCCAATGAAAATGAGCCCAGATGAAGCAAGTGCGTAACTGTCAGACCAGATTACTGGTTGCTAAATGGTCCCGACGCTGACGCCGAAGATAATGCGGACACAGATGCTGAGGATAATGATAGTGCATCAATCGCTGATCTCATATATGTGGCGATGAGTGAAGAAAACATGGAGGCTAATGAGCCTAAATCGCTCAACGATGCGAAGAACTCACCTGAATGGCCGAAGTGAGAGACGGCTGTTCAAGCAGAACTTGAGCAACTACACAACATGGGCACTTGGGAATTAGTGGACTTACCCCAAGGGAGAACTCCGGTAGGCAACAAATGGGTCCTGGTAAAGAAAATGAACAGAGAGGGAGAAGTAATTAAATTCAAAGCGCATTTAGTCGCTAAAGGCTACTCACAGATTCTGGGAATGAGCTACACGGAAACATATTCTCCGGTGGTCCGTCTCGAGATAATCCGTGCAATTCTCGGGCTAGCCGCAATTCTCGATTGGGATATCCAACAGATGGACGTCAAGGACGCGTACCTGAATGGTATCCTAAAAGAGGAAATTTATATGTGCCAGCCGGAGGGATTTAGTGACAGAACACCCTCTATGGACTCAAACAAGCCAGATGCGAATGGAATATAATACTGAACCGCAAATTACTCGACGCGGGATTTAGACAACTATTCACGGACCCATGCGCGTACATCAGGATGAGAGAAGGAAAAACAGAGATTGTCACTGTATGGGTGGACGATTTATTACTGTTCACAAATGATCGCGACCTCATGGACCACCTGAAAAAGGAACTCCAAAGTATGTTTGAAGTTACCGATCTAGGCGAGCCCAAGAAGATCGTAGGAATAGAGATCGAGCAAAACTGAGAAAAGAAAACAATAAAGGTATCGCAAAACAAATATATTGATTCTATCCTATGAAGACACGGACTCGAGAACGCGAACCCAGTAGAGATGCCTCTCAACCCGAACGTCACCCTCGAGAAAGATGAGGATAATGCAAATGAGGTGCCAAGCCGAGACAGCGGATATGCTTCGCTGATCGGATCTCTGATGTATGCGGCAGTAGCCACGCAACCGGATATCGTGTATGCTATTCAAAGATTGAGCTCGTTCACGGCTAGGCCGAACCTGACCCACTGGGCCAAATGCGTGCTCCGCTACTTAGCAGGCACACATGAAGCCGGAATAGTATACGGTCCGGCGGATAATGAAGGGCGCGATGCAGACATGCTCATCGGGTACACAGATGCGGACTTCGCAAATAACATTCGCGACCGTAAATCTATTTCAGGATACATTTACAAAATAGGAAGAGGTGCAATAACGTGGAGTTCGAAGAAGCAAACAACAGTTGCTTCTTCATCCACAGAGGCGGAATATATGGTGTCCGCTCTCGGAGCAAGGGAAGCCATCTGGCTACAGAATCTATTTAAGGAAATAGGCTTCGACCAGGAACAGCCGACGATTGTCTACAGAGACAACATGGCTGCGATCTCAATCACCCATGATCCACAGTATCATGCGCGCTCAAAACATTTTGATATAAAGTATCATTATGTGCGAGAAAAGATAAACGACGGAAAAATGGAAATAATCTACTGCCCTACAGAAGATATGGTAGCCGATATTTTTACCAAACCCCTCGCAAAGCCAAGGCACCAAAAGCTTATGGAAATGCTTAGGATGCCCATCGGCCCGAGGGGGAGTGTTGGGAATGCCCGGAGGAAGCGATCCGAGGGCACCCATGGAGCTCGCCACAGCGAGGAATAATTATGTAAGGGAACTTTATATAGAATGTATATAAAGAAATCTATTTCGGGAACCCGGCTGAGTAATCGGGTCTTCCCTTCATCCGAGACATCATCACGATATTCTCTGGGATTTTACCTATTATTCTCAACACTTATTTACTATGGAAACAACGTAGTGAACATCATGTACTGTACTTATGAATAAGGCTGCGTTCGGCACCCAGATACTGGCCAGCATCTCCAGATACCAGTATCCGGACGGTGTCGGGCCGGATGTGATCCTGTGTGACTGATCATGACATTGTGTAACTGAGACTTTGATTAGGGTTGGGGAATAATTTGTACAGATCGCTACTATTCTTCCAGCCATAACCTGTTTTCATGATATTCTGGGCCTCCCTCGACCTCCACGTGACAAGCCGACCTTCCGGCTAATGATCGTCCCCGACTCCAGGAACTGGAGGAGGGCTTTGGCAAGGGGAAACGGCAGACGCCTCTGCGAATGAAGTTGTGCGAAAACAACATCAGTAAATAAGTTGAGTAACAACACTTACGATTTTGAGTCTTGACTCCGTCTAGGCTTCCGGTCGCGAACGTCGCTGTTGCACTGGACCTGTCGACACTGTTCGAGCGCAGGTCTATTTACGTAAGATCGCGCTCGCGAACGTTCCGCCCTTGCGCTCGACCTGCCGACGGTGTTCCAGCGCAGGTCTATTCACGTAGGATGGTGCTCGCAAACATCACGTGCGCGCTCGATTTCTCGACGATGTTGGCGCTGCTGGACGACGTTACACCTCAGTGTCGCTCCTCGACGAGTCACTATACGACATCATTCTGTTTTGCACGTGAGTGTATTCTTCTTCTCGTATTATTACTAATCTACTGATTCACCACTAAACTATGTAGAATCTACGCGGACCTGCTCTCTTGAAGACATAGTTTTCGCATTTTTTGCGACTGTTTCAGACAAGTGTACGTGCATCTATGCTTGTTGACTTGTTCAAATGGATACTTACAGTTTAATTTGCACGATACAGTTGCTATTTGTGATACTGTGTTCACAGTTTCACTGTGCTGTTTTAATTGAGTTTGTGTCTAAGCACGTTAAACATTTCGTGTTCAAGCACGTTAAACATTTCGTGTTAAAGCACATTAAATATTTTGTGTTCAAGCACATTAAGTATTTGTCTTCAAGCACGCTAAGTGTTTGTGTTCAAGTACACTAAGAATTTGTGTTCAAACACATTTAAATTTTCGGACTGAAGTAGTGTAAGCGATTGACTTTAGCCATGGCAGATTTCAATCCCTCATGGTTCTATTTGTCCGATGAACAGTATTTGTGTACACTCCAAAGGTTAAGTCTTCATACTCTGCAGTCTGCAGCTGTGTCATCTCACTGTTTAATACCTCAGAAAGGTCGTAACAAGTCTCAGATTTGCAGAAGACTTCTTGTTGACTTTCAATTGAGTCGTGCATCTGTTGCTATCATGTCCAATGAAGATGTAGCAAAGTGTCTGCATAGTGATGATCAACTTCTCAAATCTTGGTATGCTCTGCTCAGTGCTCTGTATATTAAATTGTATGGTGAACCTGTAGCACTAGCAATACGTTCTGCGAACTCTCCACTTTTTGAGGAACATCCATTAATTGGATATGCCATATCGCCTGTAAAATTATGTATAGAATTACTCTGGTTTGTCACTCCAGCTAGTGTTCTCATTCACTGTTTGTCATCTGTGTTAATGCGAACACTTTATAACTATGGTATTACATTTATAAACCAATTGCCGGTAAAATGTCATGCATGTTGTACAGTTATAGTTGAGCATATTGTTGAGTTGTCCCAGTACTTATTCAAAGTTGAATCTTCAAAGTTTTTGAATACTATCTTGTGTCATTTACCATTCTTATCTCAGAGTGAGTTATGTAGTCCTCGTAGTGAACTCATTTTCAAGCTACTAAAGTCAAGTGTTCCATCTGAGATTTTTGATAAATTAAACATGGAGTCTCATACAAACAGTGATGCAAAGAAAGAGCAGCGTAGAGTTGAAAAGGCATTAGAAATTGAACAGGACAGTGCAGAGACAAAAGCATATATTGATGCATGGCCACAACTTGTTCCTCACGATGTGATTCTTAACTGTCTGAACAATTATTACACTCATACTCAGTGGCATTCACCTTCAATTTGTGCTGTATGTGCTCATCAGTCACATGAGATTCATATTTCTGAATATAAGATGGATGGTTTACTGCTGAATAAGCAAGTATTATCTGCATTCCAAATCACAGATCCTTTCATTCTAGAAAACTGTGTAGTTAAACAGAATAGCTCTAAGTTTCTTTTTAAGGACTCAAGGTTAGATGGCTGTATGTTGGATAAGAAAGGGCTGACTTATGATAATGGCATGGTCACAGCTATCAAAATTTCTTCGAGCTGCTATACAGCAATACAACATTGTACTACACCACAATATGGCTTAGTTAATAATCTGTATTGTGGTTGTCTATCTGAGCAATACAATGATATAACCTGGGTTGAAGAAATGGTTTGTGCAATCTACCGTAGCACTGCACATGTCACAAGAATTTACCAGTCATCTGACCCTGCACAGCCAAAAGTGTTTCATGGAAACACATGTGCACATGATTTAAATGTTGTTTCCACAGCATCAGTACTTCCAAGAACACCTGCCGATGTTGCTGGTATGCTTACAGTTGTTTTTATTGGTCCACATAAGTTTAAGCCTGAGTACGTAGGAAACATGTATCGTGTGCGGAAGCGTAAGATTTGGAGCTTCTTACTATGGCTTAAGAGTTATAACAAATTGTATAAACATATGACTTTTGATCTGTCTGCACTTGATATGTATCCTGAAGATGATGTGTTACCAGGTCTTAGTTCATGAATTGTTGAAGATCACAGAATGGATACTACACTTATATTTCAAGATGAAACAGCAGGCTTTTCAGAACATCCTGCAGAATTATTTGCCAAAAGCTGTCCTCTACCAAATGAACCACAACTTATGATGGAGAAAATGGGCATGTCAGATCCAGAAGGAGATAAACTTAGTGGGAGAAGCTTTACTGCTGCGGCAATAAGAAGTATAGTTAATCCAACTGCATCGCAACCTGATCTTGTAGTTCATCATGGTATGCTGCCTGTCTCTGAATACAACAATCCTAACTTGTTTTCAGGTATGTTTCCAACACTATATCTATTTGGCATTGGTGGGTTTGAAGATCCTAGTAGGCCAAAGCCAATAGAGTTTGATACTCAGGCCAACCACTATCTTGATCTTGCAGACAAGGCATTTCGGTATCATCACATGTTTATGTTCATTGCACTTAATATATGGCAGCGTCGCTCTGCTCACTTACACACACACTTTGCAGTACAAAAGCCCTACTTTCAGACTATCGCTAGAAGATTAGTCACTCTTTCACCCTCCTTGCTTATGTCAGTTTCTAACCATCTTGAGAATGAAGGTAAATATGCAGATTTGACTGACCAGCAGAAAGGTGCATTAGACTTGCTAAGGCATGTGAACACTATTGGTGGACATATTCCTGGTTCTCAAGCCTCAAAAATTCAGGTCAGAAATGAGATACGTAGCTACTTTGGTTACTTTGGCATGCCACACACTTACATGACCATAAATCCTTCGCCTACACATAATCCAATTTTCCAAGTCATGTATGGTGACACTACTGTAGACTTGGCCAAACGATTCCAACTAGTTGTGCCTGCATATAAATGTGCTTTGCAGCTGGCCAAAGATCCAGTTGCAGCATGCGATTTCTTCTACTTTTGTATACACACTATATTTGAAGACCTCTTGGGCTGGGATTTTTCTAAGAGATGCTCCAAAAGGCAAGGTGAAATCTTAGGAAAGTTGCGTACATTTTATGGTACACCTGAATGTACTGAGCATGGTACACTGCATGGTCACTTTGTATTATGGCTACTCGGAGGTCTGAATCCTTCTGATTTGCATGCAAGGTTGCGTGACAGTCATGAGTTTGAATGCCAATTTTTCAGATACTGGGAGAGCATTATATTTCATCACTTGCCTAATATTGATATGCAAGTTGATTCAACATATGAACCTCATATTGAATGACCACCACAACCACCTATTGTTGGTGAATTGGCACTCAATATTCTGAATGAATGGGAGTCAGTGTTTGTTACTGAAATTAAAAAATGTGGAGAAGTCTTGCAGTGTCATCAACACCGTAAAGTCTGTGAAAAGTACGGCAATGAAGGTAAATGCAGATTTTTATTTCCCCATGAGGTTGTTGAGAGCTCATATTTTGATCGTCATACTAACTCTGTCATTCTGATGTGTAAAGATGCAAATGTGAACTACTACAATCCATATATTCTGGTTTTTTGCAGACATAATCATGACATTAAATGTATTCTTTCTGGTAAAGCTGCGAAGGCTGCAATGTTTTATATTACAGACTATATTACTAAGGTTGACCTAAAAACCTATCAGATGCTATCATTATTATCAAAGGCAGTAGCAAGTTTACCCAGTGGCAATGACCAATCCTTGCAATTGACTAGTTACAGTACAAAAACCTTACTAAATAGGTGCTTGGCTTAATTCTTGCGTCAACAACAGATCCACTCTCAGCAAGCAGCCTGGTACATACGTAAGAGAGACGATAGTATTTCATCACATCCTACAAAGCCCTTGCTATCTATTTTGTTACTGCTTTATGTCAAAGAGCATTATTCATTTGCTATGCAAATTGAAGGTCAGAGTGGTGAGGATAATCATTCTGATGCTGATGACATAGAAGAGTGTACTATCAATATTAAAGTGAATAAAAATGGACAGCTACTCAAACAGAACCAAATTGATGATTACATCTACAGACCACACACCCTTTCTTACTTAAACTTCTATGACTTCTGCAGATACTTCACATTAGAGTCTAAAACAGCACAGCATAACCATCATACACCAGATGACCAAC